GAAATCAGAACTTGAAGCAGCGAAAATCGACAGGAACTGATTAACTGAAATGCCAACTTGAAGATCCCACCATGGTACTAGGAACTCGAGTTTGTCCTTCTTGTTCTTGCGTGCCTGCCATTGCACTATCCTTAGGTTGCTTGGTACTGTTAAACCTCCTCCTACAACAAATTCAAAAGACAGAAAAAAAAAAAAAGCTTTAATCAATCAGACAACAAAGTAGAGAAACTCTGAGTCTAAAACAAAAGGAAGATGTTTTTGAGGATGTGTGTACTTGAGCAAGGGAACCAATGATCAAAACCCCAAGCAAGAGGAGAAGCTGAATCAGCGTGGAAGTAAAGAACATTCCCATACGGATCTATCCGAATAACAGCCGGATCAAACCCAGCATTTCTACAAACAAAAAAATCAAAACCATAAGAATCTGAATCTTAAAATCATAATTTGTGTAATGAGAATAAGCCCTTACCCTAGATGATTAAGTTGTTTCCAAAGAAGACTGAGGAAGATCTTTGGCTTTGTTGTTGGTCTCGCTTTCGGATCAATCACTGGGAACATCTGATCTACTTCTCTGCATCTTGAGCTCTTCAGGACAAACAAAAAGAGTATAGCTTTTTGTCATTACAGAGATAAAAAACCACTCTTCCAATTTCACATCTCAGGTTTTGTAAGAAGCAAACACTTAGTTTGAAGATCAAATTCAATATAACTGAAAGCTGAAAAAAAAGAAAAGAATCTCTGACTCTGAGCTTCCAATTATCCCAAAAAAACCCCAAAATAAAGCAATTTAGGTCTGGCTAATATATGATTGGGCCAAAATTTACCTCGTTCGGCTGCTGAAGAATGTATGGAATGAAGGTAAAAGGAGGGCCATTTCTGTACGGAAGAGCATCAAAATCGCGACAGATCTTTGCGTAAGCTCTCGGGTAGCCCTGAGCTTCCTCGATGACCATGTCTTCCTCCGTTATACCATAATCGCCCAACATCGTCGTCACGAATAAAGAACAAGATCAACCGTTTCTCTTTATCTCTCTCTATATTTTTGGTGTTTGACCTTAAAGAAAACCAAAAAAAATGAAACAAAGGAAAGCTTTTTGGGAAGATTGAGTTCTGTTTCGGGCAAGAAGAAGATAAACTCAAACAACGGTCGGATTTTCTGTGTTCTTTACGACGACAAGTCCGTTTTTATTATTTCTATATATTTTTAAAATAATAATAGCTGTAGTAGAAGAGAATTTAAAAAGAACAGTCGCGCCACGTAAGCATAGAACAGCTTGTGGGACCATAACGGCTATATGCCACGTTGGACCCACGCTCCTCCACTTCCCTTCTTTAATGGAGAGTAGGTTGTTGATGATCACGTATCCAAACTTCATCTTTGTCTTCGTATATCCCACTCCTGAAACATATATAATATTTAATATTAATTGTGTGTTTGATTATATTGCGAAAGATAGAAAAGTCTAACAAAGAAAACAACGAATGGTAAATCCCTAGTTTCTTACAAAGTTTTCAAATAATATGAAACGATTTTGGAGTTAAACAAGCCCGATCATCAAAAGCTAATTTTAAACCACCTACAAATCTAGAATTCCCGTGATGAATAATAAAATATCTCTTATGTCGGTTGATTCATCAATACGAACCCGAGGCTATATAGCCACCTTTCAAATGAAATTTTTACTATTAAAAAATAAAGAAAGTTAAGAGAAGAGATCTCTATGCCCCGTGTTCTAATCAATGAATTCCACCAGCACCTTCTCTGCTCTTCAAACCCCAGCAGCAATCAATATAGGGAAAAAACTGCCTTGGAGGCTGGTGACTGCCCAATAACCAATTTGATCCCAAGTCTCAAGAGTCATAATTACGTTCTAAATCTCTTATACATTCACAATACGTATCTTCCACACACAAAAAAAAACAAAAATCAAGGGAGGTATAATTTTGATTTAATGGACGACCACATATATATCAATTAAATTACAAGTATGTTCCATATATATATATATATATATATATAATTACAATATGAGTTATGCAACGGCTAACGCTTTTTATATTATTACTAGATGAATACCCGCGTAGATACGTAGATTTTTTTAATAAATATATATGTTTATGTATATGTATTTGTAACATGATAAATTAGTGATTTGATTAGTTTTTTCTAAAAAATTAATCATCTAATATACAAATTTGAAAACTTTGTTAAAATAAATATTTTCTTCAGATATTTGGTCATTATTTAACCTACATCAATATCACTTGAACATGAGTTACATAATCAGATTAAAAAACATACCATATTTTTTATGATATTAAACTTTTTACTAATTCGTTTGTCCTAAAGCAAACTAATCTAATTTTGTTTGATATTCGTTAAGTTTTATGATTCAGCACTCAAATTATTAAGTACTTGGTTTTCTTTGTTCTATTTACCAACCACTTTGTTGTATTTTATTTTTGATTATAAACATCGGGACATATATCTTACATAAAAATTTACCGAATTATATAAATAGTTTTAAGGTGGATGAATTGTTTCTTTTACATTTTCTATTAAAATATTGGATAATTTTACATTATGGAACTCTTATTTATCATTTTTTTGTTTGTTGGTAACATCAAAAGAACGTGATGTATCAATGTAATCTGTTTTGGTTTACTTTCAATTGTTCAGAGGTAAGATACAATAGTATAATTTAAGTCACCATCTTCATTACAAAATACATCAAGTTAAGAATCAAAATGTAATTCATTAGAAAAACTCTTTGCCTGATTATTTCTCTTAAAATTCTACATTGAATATATATTTCTATCAAGTAACATGGAGAGTTTGTGATCCTGTTAAATAAATATGCTAGTTTATTTCTGAACATTTGTAATAATATAACTTTAATTCGTAAGACGTTATTTTAAATTATAAAGACAGAGAAATGAACTTTGATTTGAAGTGTTTTTTAAAACTAAACATAGAACAATTGCCAGAACCCATAATTTTAAGAAAATAGTGAAACTAATTGTCTATAAAAATCGACAAGTATTTAAAATAGATGAAAAATCAGTATTTTGTTTAGTGTTCGTTTTATACTGAATAACTTACTTTGCTATATCTTGAAATTTCTTCAACTTGCAGACATTTTTTTTTGTTCAATCTCTTCTGTTTCTCTGTTTTTTTTGTTCAACAATGGATATTGTAATGTTTTTCTTTTTGGAGTTTCGTTCAGATTAAATTACAATGTATTTTATTATTGTAGGTAAGGTTGAAGTAATTATTGTTAGAAGGTTGAACGTGCATGATAAGAATTTGTAACGTTTTTAAGGTGTTTTTACTTTAATTGATTGTGGACCAATGACAGACGTTTAATTTATCTCAGCTATGGATTTTTTTTATAAAAAATTATTTTAAAGAGCTGATGTGGTAAATGATGTGTCTTAAGGATATAACCTTATGTGTCAAGCTTGTGAGACTCAACTGAGTCTTTATATAATAGATTCTCAGTATTTATATCATCTCATATAAAGCACACAATATTTTGGTTACATGTGTACAGTCAGAATCAAGAGAATATTTGGTTGGACGCATAAAGGAGGTTTATAAACCAATCTTTACCGGAATATATTCAGGCAATAATATAAGTATGAATAGAGAACAAAATGCAGGTATAGAAATAGGCAAATAGCTAATGTTGTTGAAATATTGAAATGTATTGATTCAGTTTTATCAGCTTTTTTAAAGTAAAAGATTAGAACTATTAATTCTGTAGCAAAAGATGTACAAAATTAGCATATGTATATCTAAATTTATTTTAATAGAAATGGGAAGAAGAATCATTAGAATTTTTGTTTTTTTTTAACATAAACCCCGCAAAATAATTATTTGTTACATTAAAAAAGGGCTGAGTATCTGTTTCAGTGTTCTCGGCGGCTGAGAATCTGTTGCTCGTGGTTCAGATCTACATCATTAATTCATTTCTTTACGATTCTCAACTAGACGAGCACACCCATCTTCCACAGACTTGCGGCTCCTTGAACTGTATCAAATGTCGTCGTCAAGTAGAAAGCCAATCCCAAGCCTAGCTTGGAGGCCACAAATATCATAGCTCCTGACCCAACGATCGCCGAAGAGAATCGTAATTCTGTAGCAAAAGATTAGAACTATTCATTCGTAACTGAAGAAACTTGCCACATATAATATTCTCGCACTGCAGAAGTTTGTGTTGAAATTTTCCACATATTTGAAATATATTTTAATTTCGTGTTTCCATATGAACCAAGAATCCAAAAAAAAAATTATTGACTTTAGTCCAGTTTCTCATTCAGATTCTTTAGAAGTAAGAAAACGTTTGTTCAAGTAAACCTAGAGTAATTTTAGAACATATTGACATCAATGGGTTGTTCGTCTGGGTAGTACACACGTTTACAGCGCTGGATGACATTAACAGAGAATACATGATCCCTTTATAGTCTTATATATCTTCAGTTGCACAAAAATAGGGCATTAAGCTATTGATAATATATAGTGTTAGTCAGTGCTGGCCATGTGAGACGAATATATAGTGTCAAATGCGCCTAATACCATTTGTTTGTTATGTCTATATTCCACTTTAAATTGTCCCCTTATTTAAATGAATACCACATTTTACACAAGGAGAAGCTATAATAATAATAATAAAAAAATGTTACAATTGTTATAGCTATGTTTACTTGCTCTGGCACGACAATGAGACACTATAAACATAATATAAAATTTTACATTAGTTAATAGTAATAAGTCACATCATTCTTATTTTCTAATTTCCTTTTTTCATTGTTATCTTGATCCACTATGATTGTATATATTAGGAGGACTCGTGGTCCATGACATGTGAAAAACAATGAGATTGTACTCCATTGATGCGACTTTTTCTGTCTATATAATCAGGAAGCGATAGTCTTTAAATCTTCACGTAAACAAAAGATAAACTACAATCTTAATTCTTAACTTTTAAAGAAAAATAATGACAACAAATTCAAAACACCTATTTCTTCCCCTTGGCCTTCCAGTCATCGACTTCTCAATTCCAAACCTCAAACTGGGAACTCCAGAATGGGACTATGTGAGATCCCACGTCCGAAAAGCTCTAGAGGAATACGGATGTTTTGAGGCTTTGTTTGACGGAGCTTCAGTGGAGCTACGGAAGGCATTGTTCAAGGCCTCGGAGGAAGTTTTTGATTTACCATTGGAGACCAAAGTGAGTGCAAAGTCGAAAAATCGTAACAGTGGTTACTCCGGTCAGGTTCCGGCTATGCCATTGTTCGAAGGCATGGGCTTTGACGGTGTAGAAAATCATGAGGTTGTTAATGACTTGACTCACAAGGTTTGGCCTCAAGGCAACACCACTTTCAGGTTCCCCGGCCTCTTATATACTTTTTGTTTTTTTTCTTATGCAAGAGATATTCAATTCAAACAAAAAATATTGTTCATGCATGTCCCTTGAATGAGATTTTATCAAAATTGAACGTTTATTTATGGAAATTTTTTTGAAATGGTAGATATAAAATAAAATATAGAGGATGTATAAAAGATATGTGTTGCACAATATAGAAGATTTTTGTTTTTTTAGACACCAATGATTTATATTAATCTCAAAAGTATAGAAGATATGTAGATGTTTTAGTAATAATTCTAAAGATTGTTTCAATTCTATAATTGTAAACTAATATGTATAGATAATTAGCTCTAATAACTAAAAAATCGTTAACACAGAAGTATCGTAGAAAAAAATACTAAGATCTGCGATAAATTTCAGCAATACTGTTCAGTCGTTTGCGGAGAAGTTGATAGAACTAAACGTGAAGGTGAGAACAATGATCATGGAAAGTTTCGGGCTCGAGAAATACGTAGAGGAGCATCTTAACTCAGCGAAGAATCGCTTTCATTTATTTAAATACAAAGGACTCGACGACAATACTGAAGCGAATGTAGGCATTGACCCTCATATCGACAGACATTTCCTCACCATATTATGTCAGAATGACGTAGTAGATGGCTTGGAGATCAGAACCAAAGACGGTAAAGAGTGGATCAAAGCTAAGCCATCTCAAGACTCTTCTTACCTTGTTATGGCCGGAGCTTCTCTTCATGTAAAATTAAGTTTCCTTGAGTCTCAAGTTTCATCCTTTATAATCTTCAATTTATGTGATATATATATCATAAAATGTGGGTTTTGCAGGTACTGTTGAATGGTGAGGTATTTCCTCCGCTTCATCATGTCGTTATAACCGGAAAGAAAGATCGGTATGTGGCTGGACTGTTCTTGCGTCCTAAAGAAGGACTTATTATAAATGCGCCTGAGGAGATGGTTGATGATGAACATCCTCGTCTCTATAAGCCTTTTAATTTTGAGGATTACTTTAAGTTTACCTACATAGACACCAAGAAGAGAGATCTATCTGCTCTCAAGACTTACTGTGCCCTTTAAAGATTCATGATGCCATGCGAATAAATAAAACTATGTATCATTTGATCACTGTGCACTTGTTGATTTGCGCTCGATTTGGTTTGTTGTTAACTTTACTTTGCCTTGTTGACTCTTGAGGTTGTAATAAAACATAACTAGCAGAAACTCCAAAATTGCTTTCTTCATTGATTCCCTCCGAAGAAGGAATATCAATAATTAATCTCGAGCACGACAAACACATACTGAATTTTTATTTTATATCAGTTTTTTAATGATGCAATTAAAAACAAATAATAATAATTTACGGCTTAAAAACTTTAAAAACTTTTAATATTTGCCAGTTTTCTACCCGAACTTTTTGTGTTGCCAGAAAATTATATGAATTAATTTTTTGCATCAAAAAATTACCTGAAATATTTTATGATTCCAGTTTCCAGCTCATGATTTCATGGCCGTTAACGGTCAAATAAAATTAGTAAATTCCGTTATTTTCCAAAACAAAAAAAAACTAAAAAAACCCTCAACTATTTAATATTTGCCAAAAAAATACCTGAACTTTTTACGTTATCATAAATTCACATTAGCTAATTTTTTTAAATGTTGAATGATACTTTATTTAAAAACCAAAATATCAAAGAGTTTACAACAACTAAAAAAAGTTGTCACCAATAGAATTCGAAATAAATTACAATATATTTTTTTTTGAAATTCGATATATTTATGGCTAAAGATTCTGCAAATTAGTGCTTTATTTTACTTTTGGACTGATTTAATCTCCACTGAAATGATCTTTGTAGATGATCAAAACAACTATCATACTTTATCTCAGTTAATCACCTGCTAATTTATATTTATTACTCTATTATAAGTTCCTAAGATCATTGTTCCAAAGAGTCGATTACTTAAGAGCTTATATTCAAATTGCGTTTCGGAATAGATGTGGTCAACGATGAGAAACTAACCAATACCAAATGAATAACTATTAGCGAATGAAGTTGGGGAAAACCATTAATGGATGTAAAGTAATGGGTAGAAGCTGAAACTGTATAATATTTCAGGTTTTTTTTTTACATTGGAAAATTAGTTTGTGTGGGTTTTTGGCAACATTAAAAGTTTGGATGTTTTTCTAGCGAAGATTAAATAGTTGAGGGTTTTTTTATCTTTTTCTTGTTTTAGAAACTAACGGAGTTTACTAATTCTGTTTGACTGTTAACGATCGTGAAATCGTGGAGTGAAAACTGGAACCATAAAATTATATATATTTTTATCCAGAAAAATTAGTTCGTATAGTTTTCTGGCAACGCAAAAAAATCGGGTAGAAAACTAGCAAATATTAAATAGTTAAGAGTTTTTTAAGATTTTTTCCCAATAATTTAGTACCAAACAAACAAGTAATAACGTCAGTTATATTAATTAATCAATGTTAAACTACAAGATTGGTATCACTTGTCAATAAACAACTCTAATAATTATCCATATGGATTAGAATATTCACTTGATTTTGCTAAGAACTATGGATTTTTTTTTAATAATAATGTACACGCATTCTACCGCCCTTAAGTCTTACACTACATACCATAAGACTACATATCAGGATCATGAACTAGAATTTAAATGTTGTAAAAATTAATCCGACATTTAAATCGATAGTTGAGTATAAAAATGTATTAGTTTAATTGGTGCTCATTTTAGATGCCATCAGATAACGTGTCAATGTTTGTATATGCATTAACTAAATTCATTTTTGTATTACGTTATATAGTTTTAGGCAATGAAGTCTACATATAATATAGGTGATCATCTAGATATTATATACATTAATGGAAGCCCTTGGTCTAGATTATATATGAACCGGTTGCCCCTTACAATACTTAAATATCTATTTATGTGTGTGTGTGATTTTATATAGTGGTTGTTAATTATTTCGTAGTATATGTCTGGCAATTGCCTAAATTACAAATATTAAAAGATATATACAAGACTGGCTAATTATATACGATACTGAAGATAAGAATTTTGGGTTTAACGTCATAAATCTTTTTTTTCTACCATGCTAGATCTATACAAGGGGATTGTGAGAAATGGTTTGCCCACATATATATCTAGAATAAATAACACATAGTATAGCCTAATCATCGAATATGTTTAGCATATATATATATATATATCCCAAATATTAAATTATTAGGTTGATTTCAGTAAAAAAGAAAATAAAATTCATTTATATATATATAATGTTTCATGAACTAATGACGACATCATCACCATTATAAAGATACTTACAGAAAATAGCATCGTATATTTCTGGAACATCCAATGTATTAGAGATTTAGTTTCTATAGAAGAAAAAAAATCATAAAAACAGAAGTATACTAATCATAGATTGTAGAAAATTGTTAGATTTGATAGTTTACCTTTTAAAGTTCCAAATTTAGTAATTAGAGAAATGCTATTTAAATTCTGCATAAGACTAATATATTTATTTTGTTAATTTGTCTTCAACCATGACCATAAGGTTGCTGACAGGCAGATTCTCATTTTTTAATACATCCTCGCTTATAGTCTTTTTGTATTCCAATTTAATAAAGTGGAGTAAATTTAACTAAGGTTACAAATTCCTATAAATATTATTGTTTAAGACCAAGCTAATGTCAACACTTTCTTCCTCCTCTATATTTTTGTTAAAGTTCTCCTCCTATATAATAACCAACCGAGTCTTCGAAGTATTTACAAAACACAAACACTATCTACAGTTATAATTCTTAAAAACTATAATGACGATAAGTTTGAAAACCCAATTTCCCCTTACCCTTCCGGTCATCGACTTCTCGAGTCGTGACCTCAAACCGGAAACACTCGAGTGGGACTCGGTGAGAGCCCGAGTCCGAAAAGCCCTAGAAGAATACGGATGTTTCGAGGCCTTGTTCGATGGAGCTTCAGTGGAGCTACGGAAGGCACTGTTCGAGGCTTCCGAGGAAGCTTTTGATTTACCATTGGAGACCAAACAAAGTACAAAGTCTGACAAACTCTACAAAGGATACGTCGGTCAGGTTCCAACTATACCTTTATACGAAGGTATGGGCTTTGACGGTGCGGATAATCCTGAAGTTGTCGATGACATGACTCACAAGCTTTGGCCTCAAGGCAACGTCACCTTCAGGTTCTCTTACCTTTTTTTTTATACTCTACCATTTTGTTATTTTATCAAATCCACCATTTTTGTAATTTTTTATAACCAAAATTATAACTTTTTTTTGGTCAAAATTATAACTTAAAGTCTCCAATTTGTCAAATTTATAACATTATAAATTTGTTAACAATCAAAACTAGGAAACAAACTGATGAGTTAAATTATATTTTAATAAACTTTTGTATGAACAACAGCAAGAATGTTCAGTCATTCGCGGAGAAGTTAATAGAATTGGACGTGAAAGTAAGGACGATGATCATGGAGAGTTTCGGGCTCGAGAAATACATCGATGAGCATCTTAACTCAGCGAAAAACCACTTTCGTTTCTTTAAATATAGAGGACTTGACGAAAACACCGAGGAGAAGCTAGGCCTTGACCCTCATATTGATAGACATTTTCTCACCATACTTTGCCAAAATGACGTAGTAGATGGCTTGGAGATCAAAGCCAAAGATGGTGAAGAGTGGATCAAAGCTAAGCCATCTCAAGATTCTTCTTTCCTTGTCATAGCCGGAGCTTCTCTTCATGTAAAATCAAGTTTCCTTGAGTCTCAAGTTCCATCATTCATAATTTTTTTAATTAAGTGACCCATGATTTTTTTTTTTTTTAATCAACATCAAATATGTTATTTTGTAGGTACTATTGAATGGTGGGGTGTTTCCTCCGCTTCACCGTGTGATTATAACCGGAAAGAAAGATAGGCACGCGGCTGGACTATTCTTGCTTCCTAAAGAAGGGCTGATCATAAATGCACCAGAGGAGATGGTCGATGATGAACATCCTCGTCTCTATAAGCCTTTTGATTTTGAGGCTTACTTTAAGTTCACCTACACAGACACCAAGAAGAGAGATCTATCTGCTCTCAAGACCTACTGTTCCCTTTAAAAAAAAAAGATATATATATATATATATATATGCCTTGTGGATAAATAAAACTATTATGTATGATGTGATTAAGCTATGCTTGTTTGATTTGCTTTTGCGTTGGCCTTTGTTGTTACCTGTACTTTGTCTTTAAGCTTGTAATAAAACCTGATTTACAGAAACTCCATAATTATGATTTTCACTGATTACATAAGAGGAAGAAATATCAACACACCAACTAATAAAGGGTTGGGTGGAGTGAGTTTTGTTTCCCGTACAGAGATTTCATTTTGAGTTTGTTACAATACACAAACTCAGAGATTTAAAAAAAGAGAAACTGATACACAAACACTTAAATGTACAAGACCGTAACTTCACCGTAGTTGACCATGGAAATGGCCAAACCATAACATAAGAAAAATGTCTTGTTCTTGAGGATGGTATTAGTGAGTGCTATTTTTTAAGACTTGTTTTTGGCTGATAAGTCCGACAAAATTCCTTCTGAGAATTTGCTGGATCTCTCTGATTATCCGAGCAGAAGATGATGAGACAGATGTATCTAACCGAGTTATTGATGTGAGTTAGACCCCTCCAAAGAATGAGAAGTCTTGCCCCTTGTTTCATTTCTTTGTTGGGATGGATATTCGTATCATGACGTGGGAAAGATGACCAGAATTTCTGGGATGATTAATCATCAATAACCAAATTTAAAAAAAAAGTCCGACGTGAACACGTTTTGATCGTGGAGTCAATAATTAGACGGGTAGATGACATTTGAGACTGGTATTCAAATGTTTCGGCTAAATCCTTCAAAATATATCCGCATTGTATTTGTTTGACTAAATCCTTCATAAAATAAAAATTCCACTTAATTAACCTCGGTTAGCTTTTTAACCCTTCATGTTAAAAGCATTGCACCATCAATAGTATTGGATGATGGCAACATTAATTTTGAGCCAAAAAAGTGGAATTAGGAGGGCATGGGCTGATATTTTGCTGTTTCTGGTTCGCGATGCACATGGCTTTACCAAATCAAACACACGTAGGTCACAGTTGTAACAAATCATATGTGGTTGTTTCATAATCAGATACCTTTTTCATTTAAATAAAACCGAGTATTTAGTTCTACAGAAAGACAATATAGAACAACTAGGTCGTCATACCAAACATGTCGGTGTGTTTAATATAACTGATATTAAATATATCAAAAGAAAGAGAGTGTATCGTTAATTTATAGATTCGTCCAAAAAAAAAGAGAAGATCATCCTAAAACTTATAAAATGCAATCTTAACTTAATATGTCAAATTATGATAATGAGAAAAACGATTGACAAGTTTGGAGTTAGAAGATTATTTAAGCGGCAAAAAGTAAAAAGCTTATACTAGATCATACAAAAATAATCGGAAAATAGGAAGAATGAGTTCAGAATTGAGAATAAAAGTTAATAAATATTTAGACTATAATTATCAGATATTCCATTAGAATTGAGAATACATTATATATACCATTAAATTTATGTTTAAGGTTATGATAAAAAAACATATTATGAATTTTTATTACAACTTTATAAGTTGACTATTTGTAGTTTTCATCAGAAATTTTTATTGCAACTTTACATTTGATATTTACTATCAAAATTTACATTGAAAATCTAAAATGATATTTAATTATTAAAACAAACAAAGTTTAGACGATACTTAATTTAAAATCTAATGAGTATATGGATCTAGGATCTCAATAACGGTAAAATTTAAACAAATGATAATGTCTTGACTCAACATTCAAGAAACAAAGTAGTGTATGTATATAGCTGTCTTTCTGAAAATAATCATACAAACCATAACTTGAATTCTGTTGCAGAATAGTACTATAACAAATATTTATATAACATGAATAGGAAAAATGTTCTAAAGGATCTTGATCAAGTTTAAAGGTTAAATTAATTAACCAGCTTCTTGCTTCTTCTTCAAGTCATCATCACTCGTCTACTCCTCTAGGCTGCAACCCAAAACCTGTAGCATCCGATCTTTTCATAATCCTCAGCCTCTTGCACGACTCTATGAACATTCTGCAAAATCAAAGTATCCAATCCCATATAAATATAAAACTGTGACATATATAAGTTTATAATGAGATATAATCTAAGTCAAAAGATATGAACATACCCCCAAGGTACATCTCCAGCGAGCATCCAATCTCCATCTTTGTCTTCGTATATGGTAACGTATTCGCAGTTATCACCATCTTTCAAGGCCACTCCTGAAACATATATGCATACGTAAACATTAATTGTATGTTTGATTATATTGCAAAAATAGAAAAGTCTAACAAAAAAAACAAATAGTGAACTCTGCCTTTTTACAAAGTTTTCAGACAATATGAAACGGTTCTAAAGTTAAACCAGCCAGATCATCAAAAGCCGAAACTCATCATCAGAGATTTTAGGACAAATCTTAAACCACCTAAAACTGAAATTCCAGTGATGGATAATAAAATATCTCAACGCTCGTACTAAGTACGTATTTAACATCGCTAATTAACACAGCATTATTAACTAAATTAACTAACCTAGACGTTTTCGTTCCCACATGTGCTAGCTCCTTAATTATTTCTTGCATTACTTAGAAAACATCAAAACACAACGATTCTTAATCCCATCTCTGGTACAATCAATTAATTTTTTTCTTTCACATGATCTAACCACTCTACTTTAACCGGATAAAGGAAAAGAAATTTGATTTTACTAACCGATGCCACGGAAACCGAAGAGCTTATCGAGAGCAAAGGCTAAATCATAGTAACCTTGGCTTGAACCAAGATCCATCTTCCTCAAGTAAGGCACACCATCCATGCTCACTTTCACATACCCTAATCCCACTTTCGTCGTCGAAGTTTCCTTACAGCTGTTTTTCTTCCGGTAAGAGCAAACCGGCGGCCACCCCACCACCTGACTTTTCGCCGCCGGAGAATCACTAGCAACCTTCTCCACGTCACCACCTGATGAAACGACGCCGCTTTCACATTGATCACTATTACTACCAGAAGACGTCATGATCATCTCCGTGAAAGCTCTTTTCTTCATCAGCTTCTCCGCCACATCTCTCCCCGGAAGACCCAATCTCAGCTCCGTTATCTCAAGCTCGAGTCCATCTTTCTCCATTTCTTCTGAACTTTTTTTCTCTTTATTATTCGATATAATTATATGAAATATGATAACTTTCGTCTCACACACACTTCTCTTATTGTAGCAATGGTACTACGTAACGCGTCGTGCTTTTTATATGTTGCTTCGTTGGTCCACACGATAAAAGCGATGAAAACCAATCAGTAATCGACACGTGGAGTCGTTTGATATCTAAAGTCTTCTTCTTTCAGTTTGTGTGGGGAGACAAAGTGGGGGCAAAGACAGGTCAACTGAGGATGCGGTGGTCGGTCACATGAGAGACATAAGTTTGGTGCTGTTTTTTTTTCTATCTTTTAATTTTCTACGAAATTAATAAAAGACCGGCATTACAAGGTGGTTAAGGGAACAGATCCTACGGTTGTGAAATTTTCTTTTGATTTTTCTCTGACCGTTGGATTATTAGAATCCGAATCTTCTTCTCCTAACATCCCATGTGTTTTCCTTTTGTAAAGATTCTTGTTCTAACTAGTAAATCACATCTACGGTATGCTTTTTTCTAATAAGTTAATGCTATTTTGTTATTTAATAGTGTGAATAAGTATAAAGTTTAGCCTATTTGTTCGCTTTTTCTAATAAGAGTATAGGAATATTACATGAAATCCTACCATTTTGGGATATGCTAGTTATCTCTCTTGGCATCCTTTTTAACTACTAAATTAGCAACATTTAGCTTAATAATAAGATATTTCAGCAATGATTTTGATTGGTCACTGCCTTAATGTCACATGGAGAGAGTATACAGCAGATATAGTACGATTTAGTTTTGGATTAGGAAAAAATAAAGTAAATAAAGTAAAACTGTATCTGATAACCGATTGATTTAGTATTATTTATTTTTGGGTTCAGGTTCAAATTATGTTAAATCATAATTATCTTATTATAAATATATAGCTTTTAAATTGTGGTTTGATATTTCCTTGATATGTATACATATATATATATATATGTATATTTGCGAGTTGCAGTTGCTAGATCTCATTTCAGACTACTAAGACGATAACAATGTATTACAGTACTATTAAGTTAGGGTTCTTCATGTAATATACGTATCTCCAATGTTAGAGTCGAACCAATGACTTCGAGCGAAGCAAACTAGTTTCGGAAAGGTTCAAACTCATTTTACACCCGCATTGTTAGGTTATTGTTAACTATCTTTAACTCATCGTACCAATAAAACACAAGAAGTAATGATGGGGTTTAGAAATGTAGGGACACGAGAATAGAAAAGAAGATCGACCGTGTGTATGTGTGTGAGTGTGTGTGGGTTCACTCTTGTCTACAAACTTTGATTGATTGATGAACAGCAACAGGTTGGGCCACGTGAAATTATATGAAATCCAACCACATAAAGAGAGAGATATTGAGCCAATATTCCCATATTTCTTGTTTAATCTCAATGGTTTCAATGACTCACAAACGACATATTCATTTGGCACCAATTTTTTTCCTTATAAATTTAACATTGAGTATTCCGGTTTCACCGAATTCACTTCGAAGTGTCCAACTAATTTTGAGGGTGAACAAATTAATCTCTTGACTCTTGGTAAGGATTTTTTCTTTTTTGTATATCCACCACATGTAAAGTACCCGAATCAAAGCTCAAGTGACCAAGTGGTCCACATGCAGTTTGCAAACAGTAGAATCGAACCTGAGACTATAGAGAAAACACGCCAATTGACCATACGTGGGTTTATAACACCACGATGAAAAAAACAATGTTCCTACGAACAAGGCCTGTAAAAATGGTTTTTATATATATTAAACTCGTTGGTACTTTGAACAAAAAAAAACTAGTTGGTACAGGTTTTAAGCTTGAACAATGGCTGGTTTTACATCTAAAACGGACACATGTCATATTCAAAAAATCATGTATTATAATTTATATCTAAACAAAAATATTTAAACCACAAAAATTTCATCTAAAACGAAATTTTTGTTAACCATGAAACTATATATAGATCTTTAGTTCATAGTTTATGCATAGTACCAGTCTTTGATAATATTTATAACAGGATTACAATGCATATACACCATACCTACGACTGATCATATATACATATAAATTTATACTCAAATTCGGATTCAATAACACTAAAACAATATATTTCTAACCGACGGAGCTAATTAGTGTACTTATATGGTCATAGATCGCATCAAAAATCGGAGTGCTTCAACCACTTAAAGCCTCGATTTACCTATAGCATACGATGTTTGTGTTTTTTTTCCTCATGAAAAATGAGTAGGAAACCTGCCATTGAACTTGGAAACTATCCACCGTTTGCTATTTGGAATAATGCCATTCAACTTGGAATGTTTAATTGAAACTCACTTCCCAAAATATATTATGCTTTCATTATAATATATTTAAAAATGTCTAATATAATTTCATGTGCGTCTACTCGAGTTTTGATCGGAAAACTTTTATAGTGATTGTGACCTGTCTCATGTTTCTTATACGTTAGGTCGTTATCCTATCCATGATTCTCTTGCTTATGTTTTCGGTTACTTAATAAAATATTATAAGCCTCCAAAGTCATAATTATGTTCTAAATCCCTTCTACATTCACAATCCGTATCGTCCAGAAAATCAAGGGAGGTATAATTTTGATAAAATGGACGACCAAATCTAAATTAATTTACAAATATGTTCCATTGTTCCCACTAAGCAGCGTAATATGAGTTTATTTAACCGAAAACGCCTTTTTATTATTATTGTCAGAATCAGGAGATTGTTTTGTTGGGAAGCATGAAGGAGGTTAATAAATCAATTTTTACCGGAATAAATTCAGGCAATTAATAATTTAATTATTAGTAGGAGAGAACAAAAGGCAAATATAGAAATAGATTATTTTGATGAAGTATATTGATTCAGTTTTATCAGCTGCTTATAAGCTGTACAAATTAATAAAGTTTATGTTTAAAAACAAAGTTATAGTGATATTTTTTAGTTTTTCCATGAAAATAGTTCTAATAGAAAAAAGTGGAATTATGATGAATGTACTTGTTACTTACAAAAAATATATTTATCATTTCCGATGAAAAGTAAAACATTAATAGCTTATTATTCTTCTCGAAAACTATACAATTTAAATGATCAATAATACGAAGTATAAATTATTTATAATTCTACTTGTTATTAAATAAGTTTGCGTTAACAATAATAAAACATTGTCCGACAAATGGGCAACATGCTATAAAAGGAAAGCACGAGTGTTTAGCGGACGCTTAGTCTCTGTAATCGAGCCTTTTTTAAAATATAAAAAGTATAAATTTTTTTTATTATGCGGATAGTCGTCGGATACTAAGATATAGTTTCATGCATATTAGTATCTTAGTAAAGCATAATTAAACAGAGAATACAAAATGTGAACGGCGTAGGATACAGAAAATGTGTTTAAAGTACGCTAGGCTTAGAGTAGGGCTTCTTGGCTGGGCAGCCTGTGCTTTTATTCGCTAGCTTATCAACCCAACTTGAATCTCCCGACAAATGTCCCGTTTCTGCGATTATAGTTTGATTACATATAAATGTTATATTTTTGTTAAAAACGTATAGCCTTTGGGAAAACCATATATAATACATGTGAACTTGGCGTAATAGACTATAGCAGAAAATAAGATTCAAAGTACTCTTGATCTTCATCGAACCCGATACGAAGTAACGCAGTTCCTGATTTAAAAAGTCTATCGAGCCACTCTTTTGTCCTGTAAACTAGAGCGAGCAAACAAAAGAGCTTATACACACCAAAGACTTGAATACACAATACAAGAATGAATGATAGTTTAAATCGAGGTTACAAATTTAGTGGCTAAAATTTGTTACTCACCTCGCGTTTTATTAGCAGTTTCCCACCAGATTTTGGACACACTGAGAAATAAAAGCACGGTCATCAATATAAAGTACAAGTGTTTAGCCATTATGTAACTGAATGTTTGTAATTATGTATTGTAAAATTCGTAAAGACTAGATACGTAAAGAGAAGTAACAGAGAAGAGTTGATTTATATAGACATCTTCATTAACTACAACATTTTTGAAAATGATTATTGACCATGTCCAAACTAATTTGGTCCTTACATTTTGCCCCTCAAGACACGATGGAGAAAGACTAGACTTGCCTTTTTTTGTACACAGATCTTACTTATGTCACACGCTGGAAAAATATTTAGATTTTTTTTTGGTCCATTGGACCCAACTTCATGTCCACCAATAGCGTTTAAGATTTGGGAATCGATATACATAGTACATGAGAAGATTGATTTGATATGATTTCAGCATATTGATTTTTATTGCTTACCACTTTCACCCATATGAATGGCTTTAGATGAATTGGGTCTTCTTATAGAAATTCACATTCGAATTGACGTCGTACAATCAGAGATGAAAAGATCCAAGAAATTTTGAAATGATTTCTTTGAAACTTGAAGCAAATTAATAAATATAAGATGTATAGGGTAAAAATAGAAAGTGCACATTATTCGTGATAAAGACAGTAAAATACATGTTTTTTTTAAAAAAAAAAGACTGAATACAAGATTTCAACTGATTAGGCCGGAAAGAGAGGAAGGTAAAGCCCAAAAATGCAACTGCTTCCTTAAACATGTGTGTGTTGGGTTTCTCTTATCCTCATTTTCTCCTCATTTTCTTAATCAAGGATCTAAAAAAAGGTGAACGAAAAGTCATTCAATAGTTTTTTTTGTTATCGCGAAATTGTTCAATAGTTTTTATTGTTATCAATAACACGTAGTATATTAGATTTTAACTCAGGAAGTGACACAATAACGATACTAGTTTAAAACGAGTAGTATGCTACATGTCTTGATCAATTATTCAAGAGTAAAAACGCTTTTCTTATTTACATTGCGTTTATGGCTCAATCACTTAGAAAAGAATAGTTTTAGACTAAAACTTTTAGTAATGTCATATCTGTATTCAAGCCTGATCCTTACATTTGGGAATATGTATTATCTAATGGTTGGTGTGAAACTTACTCGGGTTTTTGTTAAGTATAAGAAAAGAATATACGTGTATTTGTGTGGGCCTTCAATTTTGTGTATATGTGGTGATCAGGATATCCTAGTACTACTAGAGATATTAAAAAAAAAAAGGAACAAAAACCAAATTCAGTTTTTGTACGCATATGTATATGGTTTATTCTCTATACTTGTGCTGATATATTGATAACATTTTTAAATTTATTGAAGTGCAAAATATTTGTTGAAGTGTAGATTATAACCGTAGTATTAAGTAAGAGTAACTTAATTTGCAATATGGCGGACTTCCTTTTCTTTTATCATTAGTCTTCTCTAAATGCAAATTAGTTAGAATTGTATAAAGAAAATAGCGTTTCCATCAAAATTTGATGATTGGTAAAAAAATATAATTTCCGAGATATATTCCGCCATTTCACAAAATACGATTTGAAAATTCTCTTTTTATGATAGTAGACGACGGAATAAGCCTATTGTAAATATTAGGCCACTAATATCCGCGAAACTAAAATTCAGAAAAGAAATATAAAAGCATATGTAAAGTAGAATATCAACGGTAGGATTTAAGAACGGAGCCGCAAAAGCTGCAGACGATGGCTCTCCAAGATCTGCAATAAATAGGTATTAGACAAAACCTCGTCGAAGTCTTCATGTCGGCGACTCTTGCACCACGTCGGCACCGGGAACAGATTCCAGCCGCCGGTTTGCTTGCTTTCATCTTCTTCTTCTGGTCCACCAAGAAACAGAAACACACCATTTCTCAATCCTTCTCCAAATTCAGAAATCAAAAGGCAGTGGAAAGAATAATAATCTTGTAATCACACAGGATTGTGGTGTTTCTTGAAGATGCAGTTAGGTTGGAAATGTACGTGATATTGCTTCAGTGATGCACACGTGTTTGGTCTAGAAATTTAGTAATTAAGAATATGCTTCGGAACATTATATTATATAGAGACTATGATATTTGAAAGATTTTTTTGACGTGCGTACACACGTACAACCCCCAACTTCTAACCGAATTCTTCATTCTTGATATTTTATAATATGCTCTTATTTCAATTATATATTTTTCATTATTTCAATTTTATATTAATTCATATTTTCAAAGAGAAATGAATTCTCTATATATATAAAATTCAGTTTTAATATAATACTTTATCGTTGTGACGTTCGAGATTAAAAAAATTACATACATCTGTTGTTACGTGAAGGCAAAATATGTCATTGATGAATCAGTGGATTTCTGGCACGTTGATAAGTGTAGTTGGGGGTTGAGTTTGTCATTTTGTTTGCTCCCTAACGGTTAACGGGAATATGGGTCATGAGAAATATCCCATTCTCCAATCTCCACCTTGAATTTCCAATTTCTTCACATTCGAATTTCTTGATATTTAACGCTCCACATAGAAATGGGCCTAAAACATATCCAACTTGCACTCTTTAAAAGTCTGTATATACAATTCGACTAGCTTACTGTAAGCCCAAAGTCTTAAATTTTTAAGATTTTTTTTTTTTTTGTCCCTGGCGACGGCTCTGAGTTTTGCAGTTAAAAGGAAATAACAAGTTTTTCAAGAAATCACTCACATTGTAATTTTAAGGTTATGAAGATTTACATCGTTCAGAGTTAAACGGACTGAGCATAAAGAAAAGATGGAACAAAAATGTAATGTCACTTTTTTTTGTCCGCTCTGCTCTACATTGTAATTATGGGGAGACTAATTGTGCACTTAATTGCACGATTGATCAAAATAAAATGGTCACTTGTATAGTTGTATTCTACATAACTTCATTATTTTCTTCCAAAGAATACAAGAAAAATGGTCACAACTGACAGGTAATTGTGTACTTTTATGCACAATTAATCAAAACAAAATGGTCACATGTATTTAACTAATGGATAATATTGCCGTTAAGACAAGAAAGTGTTAGGTATTGATGATAAACTAAATACAAACGGGACAAATTAAACAAGCAAAATTGAAAGTAGAGTTACAAGTCAACGACGTGGTAGGTCGCTCTGCGTGCGTCTACCAACTAATCAGGTTACTACTTCGTAAACTATTCTCAAAGACCTTTTAGATTCTTTCTACTGCTGTTCTTTGACTTTTGACGAATATTATTTTACACATAAAACCTAATTATATCTCCCCTGCATTTTAATTTAATTCCATAATCTCCCACGCTTTAACATAACCTATTGTTGAGCAAAGAAAAACACCACAGGTCCACAGGTTACCGTCTTCTTTTGGCATAAGATAAATATGATTTAGCTAGTCCTGAATTTATAATTGATGTTTCCTATACTCTTTGGAATAAGAAGTCTTTCTTTTAGTAAACATTTTAAATAAAAATGCATGGGATCTTAAATATCACAAAACAAAATAAAATTGATGTAAAAATGCTGAGATATGACAGAATACAATTTTGGAAATCGTTATCCATATCAGAAAATAAAAAAAATTTCCTCCGTGATAATGTTACACAGAGAATGGTGATACAAACCAAAAGAAATGTTATTTGACATTTGAGAAGATATAAGAAAATAACTTCACCTGGCTGGTTATGTGTAGGAAATGGTCATGGACCCAATGGTCATGTTTGGATATGAGGCTTCCCGCATATGTGAACACAGAACACCGACACTTCATTTAATAATATATTAATTCTTAACAAATCTTAGTATTTCACCATAGGATTAGTCCCCACACACAGCTGAACTATTTTCTCTCTATAAATAACTTTCACAAAAAGTAACTTGAATTTCTGTTAATTGTTATAAGATTTGAAATATTCGATGTAGCCTGCACCCTGTTTTGCGAAAACAAGATTATACAACATAAGAAAGAAAAACGCATATAACATAACTTACCTACTTTTCATGTCCTTTTGTAATATGACTTAAGTATTGCTATATATATATTTTTTTTTTTCTTTATGTTTTGTCTCTTACACTCTTTTAACAAATCGCCATAACTAATTGTGAAATTTAAACCAAAGTGAATTTTCTCACAACAAAAATCGATAAGACAAAAGCAAACGGTCCAACTTATAAAAAAAAAAAAGCAAACTTTCATTTTATGGATCTTATCAGTCCTAACTCCTATCAAATTCTATAAACTAAACGGATCTTATAACAAATCTGAATGTGATGAATCTAATTAAGCAAACTTTAATAGGTCAAGTCTACCTTCTTTCAGATCTCGTATTTGCTGATTATATTTCGTATTTGCTGACAATATTTCGTTTAGTTAAAGTTTCTTAGTGTTCACTGGTCCGAGTGAGTGATAATAACAGTACGTAAAAAGGTCCTTAGCACAATCCATTTTTTGTTGGACAACAACTTTCATGTATATTTTTTTTTTCATATATTAAAATCGATGTTTAGATTAATATATTGCATATGCCAAAAAGGAAAAAAGAATAATCTATTGCATTTTTTGAAGTCGAGTAATCTCTCTTTGATATAACAACCATTTTATGAAAATTATAATTCAATAGAGACGAGACAAAACATCAGAGTATAATTTTGATTTTTAGCCTCAGATCCTCAACACATGATTATTTATTAAAAGAAAAATCAACGTTTAGTCTTTTGCGTATGTAGTCCAGAACTCAATAGCTATCAATTCGAATTTCAAATATATAGCTCAAAATTCTATAAGATTCATATTTTCAAAATGAAATTAATCAAATAAAACCAGAGGAAAAAAGTCTATGCATAAAGACGCATATTTCCGGAAATATTTGCCTTTTTGGGTGTGTGTGTTTGTCAAAAGAGAATGGTGTAGCAAGTAGGAATGTAAAACTTTAGACTTTAGTGTTTTGTTATTCAAAAAAGAGCAATTAATAAAGCCGGTGGGGTAATGCTCCCTTCTGTTTCCCATACGCATTTTACGTTTTCTTACTACTATTCGTCAAACCATTGGACCCCAAAATCCTTAAAACTTTAATTTTCTCCGGTCTTTTGCATAATACATATTCTATAATCAGCGGGAAGTATGATTAAAAATAAACATCAATGATTATATCTTTAATTTGTATTGTATCCCTTTAAGACAGCGCGTAGTCGATAATATTACATCCAAAGTTAACAAATAAAAGAAAAGAAAACATACTGTACTCTAAAGTTTGGGAGGGACCTATATTTGAGTTCGGTTCCCAGTTTGGGTAATCTTGGTTTAGCCCTGATGGCCCGGTTATAAATTTATTTCTGTCCGTAATTTCGGCGATTATCAGAGGTTATCGATAATAAATATATAGGAGTTAATATCATTCCAATTGCCATTACAAAAATATCGGATTTGTGTGTTTTTTAACTTTCTTTTTTTTTAATAAAAGGGGTATAATTCGAAAAGCAGAAAATGGAAAAAGAATCTAGTTGCTTTCTGGGGGATAATTATGTTTTACGAGGGTTCTTTTTTCACGTAAACACGCACGATTAGCGGAGAATCCAAAATATTGACAAAGATAACACGTGTCGACCTGGTAAGTGGAGAGAGTGCCAGATGTACGGCTGCTGTTTACTGATTGAACTTACCACTGGTGATAATTTGATTCAAGCAATCTTACGCAATGGATGTTCTCTCCTTTGTAAGATCGCGAACAGCCTGACAAGTGACAATGTCACCTCTTCGTATCTTTAGAATTTGAAATTTGATGTGTTATGTTTCAAATTAAAATATTTTTATGTTATTTTTTTTTTTTGTCGTAAAAAAATAGTGGAGGTGATCTCGAATCTTAGAACACAGAACACAGTGCATGCATGCTAACAAACGTATCTACTAGGATTTCAATTTCACGTCGTCTCTGATTGTTAGATCTACGGGCTATCAAAATTTTATATGTACATCTGTCGGAATTGTTACAAAATTTTGTTTGTTGTTAGAGTGAGATATTTATATATAAAAACAATATTTATCGTGAAGATGCATAAATACTCTAAATTTTGTCTCTTTTCTGAATTCTCATCTTAACCCCCTCGAGAACGCGTTTCTTCTTTGAAAAGACTTACACATGGTCTCTAATTTTTTATTTTGTTAACCATGGCCTGTAATTCTTTTTAAGAAATTCAAAATTTACGACTCGGTGATCGAATATAGGATCTAATAAAGTATATAAATTTCATAAGTTAAGTCTATTCACTAGCTAGTGATGGGTTAGTATACCCAATGAAACTACAAAACAATCAAGCAAACATTTTTGACTTAGTTGATAGTAGTTTTCCTTTACTCTATAAATAACAAAAAATTATAATTCAATACATATATCGCTTACAATTATATATAGTTAGTAAGAAACTGCATATAATTGTTTTGTAGTCTTAGGTTTCATGAATAATATTCATTTGATAGATTATATATTATATGGACGTTTGCATGCTATTATAGTCTATTAAACCCATACAAATATATGGTCTACAGAACCCTATAAACGACAGATATAGTAATTTTCAAAATTAATTACTGATGAATCAAAACTATTGTTCACAATATTTAAAATTATAAAATTTACTGTAACTCGGCAAAATCTTACAAAGCTTGTTCTTTTGTTGTGTATATTGCTTAATAAGTAAATAAGTAATGATATAAGTTCAATGATTATTGACTGACAACATCATGAACTAACTCGCATGAGATATTATTTATACCTCATGACCATTGTGGATAGCGCATCCCTAAACTACATCTACAATAAGGAAAAAAAGGAAAATGAAACTAGGTATACAGTATTTACTATTAAATACTCAGAAGGTATATAATAAGATAAATAAAAGATTAGAAAAGGGATTATCTCATAATGACTTTCTGTTAGGAACCTACAAATTAAAAATCTAGCGACTTAGCGGGTTTTTTTTAATTCAAAATGTAAACCCAGTGGTTTGAAAATGCAGAAACCGACAAGCACAGAAGTGAAAAGAAAGCGCGTGAACATGGTAAAAGACCAAAAGTTGGAAAATTTCCCTTTTCCATAATTCCTTTTTTGCCATTTTTTCTTCTTCTTCATAAGTTCACTCTCTCACCTTGATCCTGTGACGATACTCTTCCACTTACCCTACACCATATCTCTTTCTTCTTCTTCTTCATCGTCCTTGATCTAATTTCAGCTCACTCGCCACTGGAATTGCTAGATTCCGTTATTTGAAAGTCACTCAGATTCAAGCTCTCGAGATCTGTTTGTTTCCCGAAGAAAACAGCTTGTTTTCACCGTCTTTGATCCTCTGCTACTCCTGGTACTTGCTTCTACTTTACTTGTTAGTTATATCTTCGTTCTCGTGAGCTTCGAATTCGAATTTCAAATGTGACGAGCTGATAGATCGGGATTTTTTGTTATTGTCGTCTCAGATTTACCTCGAACCGTGTGATCGGAAATCGAGAAATCATATAAAAATGGGTAAAACCGCCGGGAACAGAGACTGGACTCAGATCTACGCGATATACGGGATTGAACAATGGCAGACGCTCGTCTTCCTCCTCTTCCATGCCTTCTTCTTCTCCCTCCTCTCTGTTCTCTTCCTCATCTACTTCGACCAGATTTGCCTCTTCCTCGATTCCTTCTTTCTCTCCGGCGCCGCCAGACTAGCAGCTGGTTTCACCGGCGCCGTCACGGCTCTCTCCGCCGTCTGTCTCCTCTTCGCCGCCGCTAATTTCGTCTACTCCGACGTTCCTCTCCAGTACGAGATGGCTCAGCGCATGGTCAGTTCCGTCGGCGACTGGTCCTGTGTCAAGACGGCGCTCGATCTCGGCTGCGGCCGCGGCATCCTCCTCAATGCCGTCGCCACACAGCTCAAGAAAACCGGTAGCTCGGGTCGGGTCGTCGGGTTAGACCGCTCCAAACGCACCACTCTCTCCACTCTCCGCACCGCCAAACTTGAAGGTACACTTCCCCAAAATTCAGATTCCAAATTTTTCCTTATATATAAATTAAACTGAAATTCAATCGAATGAAAAGGTTTTAATATATCGTTTCTCAGGTGTGCAAGAGTATGTGACTTGTAGAGAGGGAGATGTGAGGACGTTGCCGTTTGGGGATAACTATTTCGACGTGGTGGTGTCGTCGGTGTTCGTACACACGGTGGGGAAAGAGCACGGGCAGAAGTCGGTGGAGGCGGCGGCGGAGAGGATGAGGGTGCTTGGTGAGATCGTGAGGGTTGTGAAGCCTGGAGGCTTGTGTGTGGTTTGGGATCTGTTGCACGTGCCGGAGTACGTGCGGCGTCTTCAGGAGCTGAAGATGGAGGATATCCGAGTCTCCGAGCGAGTCACGGCGTTTATGGCCGGAAGCCACATCGTGACTTTCCGGAAACCCAGTGAACTCGTCGCCGGACCCCGTGAAGTCCGCCTCGATTGGAGATGATGACGTGGCTTTTTTTAAAACGGATGTTGTGTCGGTTCGTTTATATAGAAAACGGCACACGTTGTCCAAGTCTGGAGGTTCGAGACGATATAATTGTTATATACTTTAATTACGAGTCTAAAAACTAGAAAATATCAAATGTATGTAGCGTCTGGGGAGGCCAAGCGGAACCAGATCCTTTGTTGAAGAGGCTAATCGCTGAGTTTACGTTTTGATATTGTATTTATATAAACGATAGTACTATCATCAAACAATCTATTCAGCGATAGTCTCTTATTATTGCGTTAGCGTTTCAGACGCTGGTCTGTTAACGTCATGGAGAGAAGTAGCTAACGAATCAGTTTACGATAGAACAGAAAAAAAAAAAATCGACCATGTTGAATGTTGAGTGAATTTCAAGAATGTCGTCGTCTTGTAAATATCGTTGTAACATTAAATGACCTGTCTTTTTCATTTTCACGTCGATGTGATATATATCTGTTCCATATTTATTTTTTTAACATTTCCGTAAAATCAGGCAATGCATAAACGAATTCTCAAAACGTCGAGTTGTTTGATTAATAAGAAGTAGAACACCATTGCGTTTTCTAAACTTTCACAGAACGCCACGTGTATCCATTCACATATATCCACATAAGCGGCTGGAAGATGAGGCGCGCCAACAAAAAAGAAGCTCATCATCTTTCTCCTTCCCTATCCTTCTCTCCATCACTTGTATGTCTCCATCAATGGCTTCCTCTTTGTCTTCCTCCACCGTCGTCACTCACCGGATTTTATCACTCCACCCTTCGCCTCTTAATCGCAGCTTACTCTTCCTAAAACCCAAATTACCCTTCAGTCGAACTGTTCCCGGAGATTTCCGCATGCGTTTGCATTCTACATCCAGGAATTGTGGCGCTAAGGTCGGGTTTAAAGTTCTCAAACTATCTTTGCCATGTGAACAATGCTCTAGAAAAGTGTCACATTAGGGTTTAATAGATTATCTAGCATTTAGCTCAAAACTCGATCTACAATTTCTGGGTTGGTGAAAAAAAATCGCAATTTTCTTCTGAAAACTTGTTTTCAACAGTGCAGGAACTTATACCTTCCTGCAATTCTTCAATTGATTTGAAGTTGAACCCTTTTGAAGCTGGATCAAAAAGTCTCGAGAAATTTGTTGCAACGATCCTGATATTTGTTCAAGTTTGGTCTCCGTTGCCCTTACTTGGTCTGGACTCTGCGGAGGCTGTTCTTTACTCTCCAGACACTAAAGTTCCAAGAAGTGGGGAACTTGCTCTAAGACGGGCTATTCCTGCTAATCCAAACATGAAGACTATACAGGCATGTCACTGTCTTAAGACTGGTTTGTTTGTGGTGGATTTAGTTTCTGACAGTATTATGTGTCGGTTCTTAGGCTTCATTGGAAGATATATCATATCTTCTCAGAATTCCCCAAAGAAAGCCTTATGGTACCATGGAGAGCAATGTAAAGAAAGCTCTAAAGGTAAACTTCGTTACTCTTGGTATTCTCTATATATGCTACTTGACTTGATCGATCTTGTTTCAAATGTTTTGAGAGTCTCTTGGATTGGTTCTCGACTTGTCTTACGTGAAGTAGAAGATTGAGTTCCTTATTGAAATTGTTTCAGGTGGCAATTGACGATAAGGATTCGATATTGGCTAGTATTCCAGCAGACTTGAAAGACAAGGGCTCAGAACTGTATACATCTCTGGTTGATGGCAAGGTACTTCGAAATTAAACTGAAACTCTGTTCTCAAGCTGATGGATTGTAATCCCTGAAACAGTTTCATTAATGTCTGGTGAACTGAAAGATGGTCTGGTGGTGTTCAATTGAAAATTTCTCTTACTTTGCAACTCATTGCACTAGGCGGTTATATATTATCTTAGATTCATTTGATAAGCGGGTAATAAACCTTATCTTCCTGTGATTGATAGGGTGGACTTCAAGCACTTATAAAATCAATAAAGAATCAAGATCCTGATAAAGTGTCCATTGGCCTGGCATCATCACTAGACACCGTTGCGGAGCTGGAGTTATTACAAGTAGATGCAATTCTTCTGGGTAGGATTGAAACGCATTAGCACAAGATCTAGTTCCTGACTTTGAAAATTGTTGTTGCAGGCACCTGGATTGTCATTTTTGCTTCCTCAGCAATACTTAAATTATCCCAGGTTAGACATATTTTCTGTCTCTCTGAGTTATATTCCTCTTAAGAGCTGTAATTGAAACAGATCTTATGTGGAACTTTAGGTTAGCTGGAAGAGGAACTGTGGAAATCACCATTGAGAAAGGTGATGGTTCGACATTTCAAGCTGAATCGGGGGGTGATCAAAGAAAGAGTGCTACAATCCAGGTACCAAAGTTAAATCTGATCTTGCTTAAGCAACTGTACTGGTTATTTACTCCATAATCTCTCTAGCTGTTCTTTCACGAGACAATGCTTTTGCTTATATAATGGATTCATCAGGTGGTCATCGATGGATTTTCAGCACCACTAACAGCAGGGAATTTCGCAAAACTGGTAAGGTAGTTTACTCTAACTTCAACCTTTGTTGGCTATAAACATCCTGAACCTATGAGACTGTACTCTTAAATCTTAAAAATGTGTGGCACCACAAACTGTTGCTCTCGTGTTTTTCAGGTAACTAGCGGTGCATATGATGGAGCCAAGCTCAATACGGTGAACCAAGCTGTTATCACAGAGGATGGAAGTGGTAAGGTGGAGAGTGTTAGTGTTCCATTGGAAGTAATGCCTTCTGGACAGTTCGAACCTCTCTACAGAACCCCATTAAGTGTCCAGGTATAAGTAAGACAGCTTCTATTTCCAAATCAAAAGCCGGAAAAGCTGACTTTGCTTCTTCTTTTTTTTCTTGCATTTTGACATTGAAAGGATGGGGAGTTGCCAGTTCTTCCTCTATCAGTTTATGGAGCTGTTGCAATGGCGCACAGCGAAAACTCAGATGAATACTCTTCTCCTTACCAATTCTTCATCTACCTATACGATAAAAGAAACGTAAAGCCTACTCCAAAACGTCCTTAGGCTTGATCCCATTTTGGAAACTAAAGGAGCTTGCTTTTGATATTGAAGTTTTCTTTTTTTTCTGCAGTCTGGCTTAGGAGGTTTGTCCTTTGACGAAGGGCAGTTCTCGGTTTTCGGATACACAACAGCAGGAAGAGATATTCTTGGGCAGATCAAGACGGGAGATATCATCAAATCTGCAAAACTAATTGAAGGCCAAGATCGCCTTATTTTGCCTACTCATAACAACTCATCCAATTGATTCTTCTTCTTTCTTTGCCTCCAAAATGTTCTAAACACTTTCTTGTTCTATAAACAGAGTACAAGTTTCTATTATCGGAAGGGTTCGTTCCATGAATATCTGCGATTGGGTCTGAATCTTATTCGATTTCCAACATGACCATAACAAAAAGATCTCAATTTTATTTACATTCAAACAAAAACAAAAAAGTTCTCAGCTTTAAGTATCCAATTTTATAAATCAAACGGAAGACATTCTACAGAGTCGGCTAGGAGTTGGCCGGAAGTTTAACCACCGGAGATTCATCCGCCGGATCGGAGGCGTCAAAGCTCTCCGCAAGACTTCTCTGCTTCCATCGCTCGCCTTCCGCGTAAGCTTGTCATCGCTTGGCACCATAAACCCGTGCCGTACACACTTCGTTGAACCAGGCCGTCCCGAACACGTACAAGCCACTCGAACTCTAAGACCCGACCCATGACTCCTCCGTCTGACCCGGTTCGTCTCGGATCGTTCACGCATCTCTACGCCTTCTCCTGATGGGATTCTTCTCACAACCTGCATTAGTTTTTCTGATTATTATCTACAGATCTTTCTTGGAATTTTGCAATAAACAAACAAAAAAGCTGTTGTTTTTATGAAATGGCTGTGAGAGAGTGAATGAAATTCTTGTGTCTTTTTATATTTATGTGGAAATGGAGAACACCATTGACTTGGTTACAGACTTTCTGTGATGGAGAGGTTGGTCTAATTTTCAATTTCTGAATGCTCAATTTGTCAAAGTTTGAATGTTCGACCAAATCCACACTTCACCTACGGGTCAACGCGACTCTTATGAAGAATAAAATGAGAAAATTCAATGCGGTATTATTTTATTATTATTCAGTGAAGAACAAAATGAAACATGCATATGCTTTCTGCCAAACTCTCTACTAACTTTATTATTTACTCCTTACTTGTTGCTTACACAAAGGCCAAAACTATTTACAATTTTTTTTTTTCGGGTCCAATCTATTTTAGACCATATTGAGAAGAACTAGAAATTTTGTGAGGTCCATGCAATTTTAATAATTGGTATTGTCATTTTGTATCATACTGGGTACAAAATGGGCTTTTGCCTTGGATCTATGGATCTCTCTTCTTCTTCTTTTTTTTCTCCAATGGTACCATTTTGTGGGTCATTAATTTTGCTAAAGTGGAATGTACTTGTGTATCTAAAACTGCAAACCTAAATGTATTTGTGACAAAATCGAATACAAACGAAATTTTTTTATTTTATCCCGTTAACAATTCGTCCATTTGAAAGAAGAAAATTTGAAGAAGTATTATTTGCATAGCTGAAAACTATATTTAACCCAAGAAAAAAATATCAAAAGATATAGATACTAAAATATTCGAAAATATTATTTGGGATTCATATGTCTTGCTGCAAGGCGTCCATGAATCCCATCTTGTTGTAATGAGGACTCAAAAATATAACCGAAATTATGAAGAAAAAAAAGTTTTATTGTTTTTTGCTAAAAAAAGTGTTTTCTTATCCTTCTACAATAATAAATGATTCTATTAAATATATTTTGGAGGGTTTCTAAAAATTTACTCCTATCGTAATCAAAAGATCGTCATGTAGCCAATAGAGAGTTGAAGACAGCGTTAGTTCATATTCCCCGATCTGTCCCTATTTCATCCTTTCATTACCTCTTCACCAACCAACCCTTATTTACCTTCATTAATATTTTCTCCTTACTTTTTTGGTAATTTATAAATTAAATCTCAAATTAATCCACGTAGAAAACTTCTAATCCACATATATATGTGTGTTTTTGTATGTGGCAGTAATAAAATAACATAATTGTGTTTACGAGTTAAATCAAGTGCACTCGTATTATAGTGCTGCCACTTTAGTTCTCTTTTGTTTCACGTTTTTTTGTGTGTGTTGTTTACAAATGTTTTCAAAGTAATCTCAGGTGTATTTTCTTCTAGTGGAATAATTTATCTTAGTGTACAATCCATTATAATAAATTGTATTACTGGTTTTGGGTTAACCTCTCCGCATATGTAACGGCTGTTTTGCTTTTCTGTACATAGCTGTCGTCGATCTTCGTTATGCATTTTCCTTGCCTCTTACTGATCCATCTTTTTAATTTTTTTCATTTCAATCACTTTTTGTTATCTAGTTTGCTAATTCTATGTATACCAAATTTTTCTTCCACAATCGTTTTTCTTTAAAATTCTATCTGATGTGAAACAACGTACAAGATATATTACATGCGCATTGTTTCCTGTGGAACAAATTAATTATTACCAGGAAGAAATTTCAAGGAATTAAATGAGCATGAAGGATAATTAAAAGAAAAAAAAAGTAAAAAACGAATGGGTGTGAAAAAATATGGCAGATGTTTTCCAAAAATAATGCTAATGATGTCAAAACTTCTGAAAGGTGGTTTGTACTTATTATCCAGAATAGAATGTAATTAAAGGAGTTTTTAATTTCGTGGTTTAAAGATAATGATTCCTTTTGCTGATGTAGAAGCCTATGGTCCATTGCTGGCCATATTTTTCTAGTGCTTTTTTATGCATACATCGTATGCCTTTTTCCAATCTCTTTTTCTCAAACACACAATTTCTTGATTATAAAATTAATTTCTGTACGTGGACGACTAATTCTATATAAAAAAAACTGCGATCTTTTAACTATTACGATTCTTTTTTGAACATAAAAACATACATAATTTTTGTTATCACCTTTTGGACCGATAAGACCCGACTCAATAGTCGTAATAATCCTACAATATATGCTTGTATAGTTGTATGTATTTCTTGCGAAAATATATTTTTCTAAATAAAAATCTCGAATTGACACAAATACTTTCAAGTTGACTGTTTAATTATATTGTTTACTAAATAAGAATATTGGCCGCTCAGGATTGAACCTCACTAGAACCATACATAAATTAATTTTGTTCATTGACGATTCAACTTACGACATATAGGCAAAAGATTTGATTGTATCTCCTTCCCATGGTCTTTCCGTTTAATTAGCACTCGGAAGATGTTTTCTCCCGTTTGGCACAGGAAACCATCAAACACTTCAAGACCACATGAGACGTATACTTTGAGTTGTATGAAAGACAACATTGCTCTGACTCGTCGAACCTAGAAGATGCATGCACCAGCCCACATAACATGCATTAGGTTCGCTGGCTATATATGTCAGAATCACAGTGATAACACATCTTCTAAGTGATTTTCACGTGGCAGATAAACCTGAACTAGGCCCCGATCATCCGGGATCCAACGTTCTTGACGAACTAAACTTTATAAGTCAATTCCGATTTCAACTTCAGTGGAGGTTTTTGATCCTTTAAGACAATTACCTTACATAATATTGTATAGTTATTACATCTGAAGTTTTCGAATGCCTTGAGCCTCAAAACTCAAAAGATCTGCAAAAGACAGTGTGCCTGCATGTATATATCTTGGGCAAATTTGACCATCAGTTTTCCAATGGTGTACATGTACCGAATTATACTCTCTACCACTTAGCGTCTATAAATATTTTTAACAACAAAAAACATTCAAAAGCAAAATCTTTCATCGATCACGAGTTCACGACCTTTCTCGGCTTTCTGTCAAGAAAAAAAAATAAAAAATTTCCCCCAAAAATGTGATTTATTTTGTATGCTTGTAATTGCATGATCGACCTATGGTTAATGGGAATCTAAGTTCTGAGCAGATTGCCAAAAATCAAAAGTTGTGTGCAGAAAATGACACCCGCACCTGAACATATCTGGAAACACTCTTAATCAGGGGGTTGTTTGTTCAAATCATATTATTAATTATGATTGAGTAAAAAATAACTACAGTTTGAGGTAAGATAAATATGTATAGCTAATGGCTATCTTAATTTATATATTGTGTTTATTACATTAATCTTTAGACGTTATAAAAGCGTTTTTGCTTAAATGAAAGTGTAACTTTAGCAGTATGTTATGATTACTAACTTAATAGAATTAACAAATAATTTTTTACTAATTTACTAGATTGTAAACATAGAACAAACGTAATATTTCACGTTTTAAACAAGAAATATCTTCTTCTTTATTTTTTGTTAGTCCAGTTGCGAATTTGTTTGGATCTTGCTTCCAAAAGATTATGGGTTGGCAATACAAAAATAGTTTCTTACAAATCGAGGATTCGTTTGGTATGAATTTAATGGTACATGATTTTTTTTTTAGAAAATAAGAACAAAAATCACAATCAACGTGAGATGGCCTCGTATATGTAACATAATATAATGCGATATTATATTTATAGCTTTACAAGCAATTATTGAAATTTCTTATCTACACAATGTAGCCGATGCTTATCATTACTTTTGATCAGTTCAGGATGTTTCTATAGAAGATTGGTTTTCACTATTTTTAATAATATAATGTCTATATATTATAATGTTTACATACACAAATGGCCACTGCGTCGATTCAAAAAAAAAAAAAAAAATTGGATATAAAGCAAGTCATGGCTTGGCATAATAGATATAGGTCTATATATATATTCCACTTTTCGATTGATATCGTAAGTATAACATGATATCATTTCAAATCCAAGACGTGAATTATAATAGAAAATAATGTATAATTACGGAGGTTTATTTTTTTTAATAAACTGATTTTTCATTTTTTGTGTGGTAAATATACAATTTTAATATTAGACCATGGTTTTAGTAATAAGACTGGCCGAATAAAATAGTTATGAATCTTTAATATGTAACTTTAACTTAGTGATTAATAAGCATCTAATGCTTTTCATATAATGGCTTAACGTCGTAAAACCTATTGAGCAAAAGAAAATGACTTACGTCTAATCAGACTCAGTCCGAAGATAGTTAAGCTAAGCGACGATTTACGACTAATTTAAAAAATTACTAACTTTTTATTAATAATAGTTATATTTTTAGAGAAACTGAAATTTCCAAACTACAAATTTTTGATTAAATCATACAAACCTTTTAAATGTATCGTTTAAATTTTGAGTTTTCGATGGTAATTTTTTTATTCAAATCAAACCTTGGCTCTAATGCTTTTTTTTTTTCATAAAAAAAGCTCCAGGCTTTAGAATATGGATTAGTACTTGGTAGTATTTCTCATCCAAAATTTCATAAAGCAACATCTCATTCCAAAAATAACTTTGATATTGAGCAAATATCTAGGTGAAGAAAAAAAAATACACAGCTAGCTACACAACTAGTTTTTTTTCTTTCATTTTTTTAATCATTTCTTTTACACGAGAATGCAAATTCAAAAATATAATGGAAAAGACTATATGCATCTATACAATCTATATATATATAAACATCTAAGTATGTAATTTATACATTTCGAAATTTAAATAAAGAAAACAGTATATTTTTTTTACTCCTATGTTTCTTCTATATGTTTTGCCTCACTTCTTCGCCTCTCTAAACCTCCTTTCCTCTAACCCCTATGGTCAAATCTCCAAATGACCAATAAATTAACCCAAAACATATACACAAATCTCGAATTATATATAATGCAAATAAATGACCCCACCAATTGGAAAATTCGTAAGTCCGAGATTCTTCACTGTCACGGGAAAAGCTTTCATACCGGTGGCGGAACAAATATCGGTTTAAGAAGAGTACCAATTTAAACCAGGTAACTGGTACGACGTCGTTCTGAATAACCCGTCTCCTAAAACACCACCTTGCTGTTGCATCAATGGCGGATGAGTCTCCTCCATCATCGAAGAAGACATGTTGGAACAGTCTCCTCCTCCTCCGCCGCCACCGCCGTGAAACCGTTTGCTCGGAGATACATCCTGCTCTTCCTCCGGTACAGGCCAATACGACGCCGGAAGAGCTCGTTTCAGGTTCGCCATCATCATCGGCTCAGACGACGAAGCCGGATTCAAACCGACGGCGTTAGTATTGCCGTTAGAACCGGAACCGTGGTTATGATCGGTACCGATGCTGTTGATCATACCGGCGTCGTACAAACCGGGATCGCCGTCGGAGAAAATACCGTAACCACCGGAGGAGAATTTTCCCGGGAAGAAATTCATTGATCTGGAGACATTGTGGTGGAGTCCGGTAGTAGCAGCCGCCATTGAAATCGACGGAGGAATTTTTCTGAAGATGTAATCGATCATATCGTGATCCTTATCGTTATCCACATGTCGACCTGCGTTGTTCTTCTTGTAGATTCGACATAGAACCCAATCATCAAGCTACATAACCAAAAAATTACCAATAAAAATCAATAAATCAACAAACGAAATCAAAACGAAGATCATTCTGGGTAAAGTAGAAAATTACTCGGAGGGAGTTTTTCTTGTTGCCGAAATCGCAGCCAGGAGGTCTGTTGTTTGGTTTGTTGTCGATGAGACGATACTCATGCATGATCCAATCGCTTTTCACGCCTTTTGGAGGTTTGCCACTGTAGAAGACGAGAGCCTTCTTCACGCCGACCTTTTGGTTACCTTCGGAGGTAAGCACCGGTTTATCTGTACCGGTCGCTTTCCAGTATCCCGACGTCGCTGCTCTGTTTGGCCTTGCTCCGTTTGGATACTTCCGATCTCTTGGACTGAAGAAGTACCATTCCTGTTCTCCAAACGAAGCCTTTGCTGCAACAACAAGGAACCAAAAAAAATCCAGAAATCAAAATTCAAAAAAAATATAATAATAATCAAACGTCACACAGAGAGAAATGATCTCTGGAAATTTTGAAAAAAAATAATCTTACAAAAGTAACAATAAATCAAAGAAAAGAAGAGGTGAAAAACTTGGATGATGATGATGATGAGATGGTGCGTACCGGGAAGTTCCCAAGGATCGAATTTATAGAGATCAACTTCGGCGATGATGGCGACGGGTAAAGGAGCGGAGGCGGCTTTGCGTTTGAGGTAGTGAACGACGAGCTCTTCGTCGGTTGGGTGAAACCGGAATCCCGGAGGAAGGTTAGGCTGAGGTGGCGGAGGACCACCGGAAGAATCGGTGCTTTCCATTTATACAAAGCTGCTGTTTCCTCTCCGTTGTTCTTAAAATCTAGCACCGTGATCGGACGATTTGTTGGTAGTTTCTCGGATTGTAGGAGGAGAAGCTCATGTTACTCTGAGATTATTCTCTCTCTTTTTTTTTTTTTTGTTGTGGGGAAGGAAGGTGGTACTGAAAAATGCTTCACAGAGTCGGCGTTATCATTCTTTTAAATGGCCGCATAAAACGCCAATTTGTGGGTTTTAATCCTCTGTTATTATTATATACACCCTCGGAGATTCACGTAAAATTATTGTTAACTAGTAATACTGCTAATGATTCTTTTTTTTTATAGAGCATTAATATTAACTATTACATCATGTATGTATCTGCATATATTAATTAGTAAAAGAACGGGATAGAGTGATAGTTAAGAAGTATGAAAAAGTAACGTTGATACAATCATGCAAAAATACGATATTACTACCCAATTGTCTTAACACAAACGCAAAATAATTTTCAAAATTACTATACCTAGTAACCGAGATAACTTTACATTACTGCGTACACGTTTAAGCTTTAGTTACCGAAATAATTTTGAATCACATAAATGCTGTTAATGAGAGATAATTAAAAAAAAGGTAGTAAAATTCCCCATATTTCAGCCGATTATGTGTTTTGGTTACACTAAAGGATCTAAATGTGGCGACAATGCGACACATATACAAAGCCTGACTAATCATGTCGAGCCTGTGTAATTACTAGATTAACCAAATCGCATGAGGGTACATTAGTCATTTCTGGCGAGATCAATAACTATAATTAACCATATAATTAAAAATTAATATTTTCTCTGCGTTTATATATAGGCTCGACACGGACGAACTACGACAACGAAGAGGAGGCTGCAATTAACGTCGAAAACGATATATCTTGCTACTTTTTTTTTTCCTTTGGTGACAAAAATATATATTATTTAAAGTCTAAAAAATAGCAAGATATGTATCGCTTTCTTCGTTAGTTGATGACAAATTACAATACCACATCAATTCCAATAATCGATGTATCTTGCTATAATAAATAACTATAACGATGTAAGTATATCGCAAAATGAACAAAAGTTTGAAGAATTTCTAATTTCATTTTGTAGGCTGTAACAAAATTGGGTCAGTTTTTTAATTAATTTGGTATGGCCACAATTACTGGTTAGTTTTCCAATGATAACTCGACACGTGTAATTCCTAGTGGGAGTGATATTCACACGTGGCAGTCGAAGACGTGGGACCCATATAATCGCCACAGAAGGTAACAAATTGATGACGTGGAAATAGATGGCCGGGTGGGTGTGGGAAAAAAAGCTTTACGTTTCAGATGTCATATGTCATGCTTTTGTTATTGAGATAATCGCACCACCAGAAGAAAAAAAAAACAGATTTTAAAAAAAAATAAAAAAAAATAAGGAAACAAACAAATCGACCCATTTCATGTGATTTTTAGTTTCGATTACTTTATTGTATTTTATTATAAGAATCTCTTCTTCATTTTTCTCAACGTCATAAGTTATAACCATGCATAATTTTTCGAGCACTAAGAGCATTTAACGCGGTTTTCAAATCGTTTTTTCAGAAACTTAATATTTTTTTAATCATGCAGCGTCTCCTATTTGCCCGAAACGTCTTCTATTTAGAGACGTTTTCACTCATTTCTTCCGACACGTGGCGTGTTTGTATTCCTTAAAAATATAGAGAGAGTTTTTTTATTTTTTACCTCCATCCATTTTTTTTGTTTTGGAAACCCATTTGGGACTCTTCATTGCACACCTAAATTACTAAGTCTCTAAAATAAGTTTTTAATCTCACTTTTTGCTCAAAACTAATTAAATAATAAGCTGAAAACCTTCATGAATCTCTCCCATTAAAGTTGCTGTAATATTCCTAGGATGTGTTTCTCGTTTTCGTAGGACTTTTGAGTTTTTGACTTCTGACCATGAGATTCCCAAAAGTAAAATATTAGAAAGTAAAATATTAGATAAAGTTGTTTTGCGTAATAGTACTCGATCTTTGGTAGTTGATTTCCATGTATCAAAATTTATTAACTCCTCTGTCTTTGCCAATGTGTGTTTAAGAAAATAGTTACATTTATTAAAGATGAATCAATGATTTCAAATATGTTCCTTCTAATTTTCCTATATCAATTAACATTTTTTAAGTATGTAAAACTCCAAAATATACAACTTAAATAAGCCGTTGGAGTAATTTATATGTTTGCTCATTTTTTAATTTGTTATAACAAATATTTATAGATTTAATCATCTAAACAAAGTACTATACCCATTTATAGTATATATATATATATATCTGTTTACGTAAATATTTTTGACTCCATAAAAATAAATATGTATTTAATTATTGTAAGTATTCATATATAGAGATATTTAAAATATATTTTGATAATTATTAAAATATAAATATTAAAAAAATGGTATTTTATTTTTTACACATTTATAATTTGTCTTTGTCTCACATATGTTTATTTCTTTGGTATATATAAAGTATTTTACAATTAAATATTCATAAATTAAAAGACAGTCTCTTTTGTTTTGTGTTTTTTTAATGTCAATTTAAAGACAGTATATCCCCAGTTTTGTCTTCAGAGCACTTCGTTTATAAAAGGATGGAAAATGTAAAGAAACGAGAAAGGTGGACCATATTTTACACACGTTGTACCAACTCAAATAAATGCTTGCCTCTAATTAGTCAAATTAATTACATCATTTCTAAGTCACATCCATCAGATCAGTATTTCAATTTTCAAGAGACATCCTATTTGTATTCACAGAGATTTCTAGTGCTTTACATTGTTGCGCACCTTTTTTTTTTTTTTGTTAACGTCCAGAATCTCAAAACAGCCACACACACCTCCTGATCCGTTTTACATTATTCGAACCCATAGTTTTTTCTTTTGCTTTTTGTTAAAGAATATTTTCAACTTTGAAAAAACAAGTGTAAATATACCAGTCTTACGTCTAGAGAAAAAGAGAAATTAAGCATACACTTCAAACCATGAAAGAAGACAATTTCGATCATAATTTTCAATCTTATAATTTTAAGGTCCCAGCTAAAACACATTTTCAACCCCTTAATATAATCCCTTCATGCATGGGATGCGAGCCTGCGAGGGCGATTCGAACACTTGATACTTAATAATAACTATTATTCAACAATAACAGCAGGTTGGTAAATTTCACTCTACTACCAGGTATTTAATAATAGTAAACCTAACTTCAAACTTTATACTATATTTTAAATTTTCCACATTAAGAAAAACTTTATGCAGAAAAAAACGACCTACTTTCGAATGATCCAGTGTGTGAACTTTTGTAACCATAGCTTTCATCATGTGATACAATACTTTTATGCCATTCAGAAAAATATCTAAACCAAATTAAGTGTCATATTACACGCTCTTCTGTAACGTGACAAGCCAAACATCGTTACACCTAGCTTAAAAAAAACATTTTGATATTTAATTTCGAAAATCTTAGCTGGCCTTTTGCCAATTGTTTCACTTCCTAACCATATTCTAGCCTATAGATAGTTTTGTTTTGAAATTTATATGTCTTTGGTTCACATTCATTAATATATGAGGTAACCAGGTCCATATGTGATGTCTTGATGCTAGTCTTATGTGCCTAACCGAACCAGCCGATACGATTACTATCAGTTCGTTCTATAAATTTATCTAAATAGAATTTCAGACACAAATTAGGTCCCTAGTCAGATGTAACTCAATTTAATAGTCTTAGACACATGTTTTTTTTAGAATCTAAGTAGATTGGTTTAACATTTTTATATTCAACGTGTTCAATTTAGGGTCTTGTTTCAAAAGATGCTCTCGAGTCTCGAATTGATTTGAGTGTTTGCCGGATATACTAATTCATGAGCACAATTAATCTGGTAAATAAATGAGAATCATCAAAGATATATAACTACATACCTATCATATATAGATTTTTTTTCCGGTAGGTATATCAGTATATGCATCTTTAAAATGCTGGACATATAAGGTGATCTTTCTAGACTTTCCCCTTTCTTTATTTCGCTTTTTTAGATTTTGTTATTTGTGAAACCCACAAAAAAAAAATTTTGGTCTGAATAATCCTTCTATATACATAATAGACTCATATTTAGTGTAATCTCCAAGAGTTAAGAATGATATCAAAGACAACACATGAATCTTATGACACCAGGGAAAGCTACAAATTTCTTTTTATTTATATTTAAAAGATGCAAAACGGATTTGAGAAGAGCTCTTTTTGCATGACCCTATTTTTATTTTAAATGCGTGCCCTTGTATATGTTTCACGACGAAATGCAGTTATTTTCATTCAGTTTTTAAAATGATATATGTGTGTACAGTACCACGTGTTTAAAATCCTGGTTATCGTTGTAAGATTGAACCAAATTTTGACGTAGAATATAATTAAGAGTTGTAACACACTGAGTGAACCGGAAAGCCATAAGTCGAAGACTATATAGAGTTTTCAGGAGCTTATACAAAAGATCCATAAGATTTGTGATTATCCAGTCATACAATCAACAGAAAAAAACTTATATAAATAGTTGCCTCATTTTCTCTCTTTTTAATTAATTAACGTTTTAGAAGTTCATCTCATTCACAACAATGCGTTAGAGACCAAGAGTACAAAAATCAAACGAAGAATTAAACGAAGAAGTTGGGAAATTAATTTACGTAATCAAAATCCACTATGACAAACAACCTCTGCTTCCGATGTGGGAAGGTCAAAGTTCTTCATCATCGACCACCACGCGCACTGTACGTTTTAGTGAAGCAGTGATCAGTGTTCTCTGATTTGTTGAAATTTTTAATTTAAATCGAAGTCACTAAAGTAATCAATATGAATAGTGTGTATAATCACACGTGTCGTATATATTTAAATTGCATACAAAGAAAGAAAAAGCAAAAGACAAAAGAGATCTTGTGTACCCCCTACTGTCTTACTATTAGATAGAAGTTAGTCCAGGCGTAGCCAATCCCTTTTAAGTTTTCACCATAGATCCCAACACCCGCCAGTTTTATTGTTTCATATGTGTAAGAAAATGTACATATAACAGATAATATCATTTTTCTCAAAAGTATACCTATCATCTAGTTATGCTCATAATTTATATATGCAGAGCGTTTTTTTTTCAAACATACATAGAAAGTATTTGTTAATTAATTTTCAAACTAATTCAAATACGTGGCCTTTTCTTGTAGTTGGAATCATTGTTTTCAAAATTTAATGATACCATCATCAGTTTTCAAATCTCCAAATTATAAACAAACCAAATTATAAGTTTTTTGTTTTTACAACATAAATAAATATTTTTATATTTTTTATTATTGATTTTTTCATAATTATCTTCTGTAGACTGGTCAATATCTAATACATACAACATAACGTAAATATTATGTAAATATTCGTTTGAGATAGAGTTTAAATATATATATATATATATTTATATATTGATGGTCATGATTAATTATGCCTAATGAAGGGATCTATCAAGTAGATTAAGACGTGATTCTGCTGAGACTTTGCTTTATTTTTTCTTTCTAATTTTTGTTTTAAACTTGATATGGAAAGTGATTAAGGACCTCCCCAATTGTCTGCTTTGTTAAATATGATAAGTGACCTTCTCAACTCACCGGAAGGCCGTAGAATCAACAACAACAAAAAAGGTTGTCTAGGTTAGATGTATTTGATCGCAAATGTCATTGTTAAATACCATACGATATTGCATTTTAATTGCACATGTTCGATATTTAGTCGGAATAGATTAATTAAAGTGACGCGAATTTTTTTTTGGACAATCTAAAACTTAAATAGTGAAAAGTATTAAGTTACGCGTGAGTATAAAAATATTGCATTAAAATTAGTACATATATAGATAATTTCATTGGTTATTAAAATTTTATAAATTTTCCAACTAACGGCAGCATATACAAACACATTTATATAGTTGGGTAAGTAAGTTCAGTTTTAGATCAAAGCATGTATACACATATTCCATAAATTTCAATATTAACTTTATTTATTTAAACTTGAACTCTAACACGGTGTACGGAATATAGTTGTAGGTGTAGTAATTAAATAAAACAACAAGTGAACTCTAAAAATCATGTAGGCATCCGGAAAAAATCTTATCATCTCATCTTTTTTAACCTTTTTAACTTTTAGATCTATCATTCTACAAAGTTATTCTTAATGATAAATATGCTACATATATATTAAAAAAATATTAAGCTGGCAAAGAAAGTAGTCGAATCTTTCAATTTTCACACAGCAAGAGTATTCTCGATCAAGATATTTTGTGTTTTCGAACAAAAACAAAAACAAAAAAAAGGAAGAAAAAATGCGTTTGTTAAGCTCTAATTAACTAGCCCAATAAGGAGGATTAATAATGTAAAATGAATAGGCCCAAATGATCCCAGTTTTGGCCCATGGCACAGTTGATATATATAATATATATATATATATATATTTTTATCCGCAATATATATATATACACACTTTTTTGGGTGCAATATAATTATATAAATACTAACTACGTGTGATATGTATGGTCGAACGAATGGTTGGACTTCAACGTACAGAAACATCTTGAATTTGGACCACAAAAGTATTGTACTAAAACTTTCGTTTTCATGTATTAACGATAGAATATGCTCTTCCAACGGGTTGCGTTGAGCTTAGTCCAACAAAATTTACATGTAAAAATATGTATCCCTTAAACTTAGAAAATTTTCAACTATTAGTTACAAAATAAAATAAAATTCAACTTTTAAAATAATAGCTCAACCTTAATTATCACAAATTTTAACGTAATAAAAATGTTTATAATCCAACTTAATGGATATTCATTTGTAGACTGGTTCCGTTTTCAATAATAATAATAAATTAGTACATTGTTCTTTAAATTAGAGTAAAAAGTGGCCTAGCATAAAAAGATATAAAATGTGTTTTATTTTAAAGAAAACACCAAGTTCAGTAACTTTATAGATTGTTTATCCTGTTTCAATTAATTTTAGATAATTAATTAACTAGATAGATAGCTAAAAAAGATGAAAATCTGCTAAGACGAGTAAAAAGTGTTGCTGTGTTTGAAACTTGTACGGCGTGAACTGTTGCTATTTTAGGAAAGAATCGATTCTAAAGCTGATCAAAGAAGCTGTCCACGTTGACCCACACGTGCGATATCGGGAAAACCCAAACGGTCCAATCTTATCCCAAAGTCCAATTGGTCTTTAAGGTTTGGTCAGCTATATTACCATCACTATCCTATTCCCATTAAACAGTACACATATCCGTTTTGATATATCTTCCATTTCTCAACAAAAAGTTTAACCTGATCATAATTCATGTCAACAGGCAACAGCTGTACATGACTATTTCAAACATTGCGTATTGCGTCTTGGTATACGTCATCGTACACAAAACGAATATATGCACAAGTATCTCGTGCGAAATTATATTCTGTCGTATGTACGTTTATAAAAATAGTATTAATTTTAAAATATACTTGTGTTCTAGGCTAGAGAATAGCGATCATCACTAACAGATACCCTCAGCAAAATATAACGAATCCTAATGTTTGTTTTTGCTGGTGTTAATTTATCGTACAAACGATGAATGATATATAGTGATCTTCGTTTTGTAGTTGCAATTAGAAAGAAAGATATTAAACGCTGAAACTTCTAGTGTTATAGATTATGAATGAACAAATAAGATTTCGTCGCTAAAAGAGTATAATTGTTGTTAAAATAGCTGGATATATGAACGAGAATGAGAAGATTTAAAATATGCTATAGTTGCTTAAATAACTGGATGAACGATAATGAAACGATTATCGTTTTATTTTAACGTTGTTGTTTGTCGTCAATGATCGACTGCGAAGGGACGAAACAAAATATATCAATATGCAACATGTTTATATATATAAAATCATTAATTGATAACAGAAAGGATCCAGCTAAAAGTTTGCAAAATTTTATCTTTTGAATACAAATGACAGATGAATAATAAAAGTGGAAGAGTACTGGAACCTAAACCTAACCCCAAAGAATCCCAATTCTACAATATATTAATTGATGAACTAATCTGACTCGGACAAAAACAAATTATATTCTTTTTTTTTTCTATTACGTTACCATTACACAATCACATAAACCCGAAACCATTAGGTTGTTGACCCGAGTACCCATATCTGTTAACCGGGTCAACATTCTGATGAGGTAACACGTCCGGATTATTAAACAGAGTAATCCCTTCACCATGTTGCTGCGTTCTACCATCTTCTTGGATTGTCTTCACACCGTGAAAATAACCACCACCGAGTTCCGAGACCGAGTTCTGTCCACCAAAATTCGTCCAATCGAAGCTTGGCTCCCTGACCAAACTATGAAACCCGGTTTTCTGCTCGGTTAAAACCGGTCTATGACTATGGGGAATCGCATTCGATGAACTGGCGGCAAATCTCATACTTCTGTTGTCGATCTCGTGTAACGACTCGAGAACGTCGTCGTATTGATGAGACGAAGAAGAAGTTGATGAACCGTTGTTGCTGTATTCTCGTGTCATTAGATTGCTGTAAATCTGTTTTTGTGCGCTTGATTGCTTTTTGTATATTCGGCATAAAACCCAATCATCAAGCTGGATATAAAAAAGAAAATGATAATCAGAAAAATTGTTTTCTCATTTGAATATAAACAAAGAGTATAATAATATATACAAAATGATTCATATATATACTTTAAAAAAAAAAAAAAAAATTTAGGTTACCTTGGTGCTACCATTTCGGCGAGAAGGTTCGAAGAGACGATACTCATGCATGATCCAATTGGTTTTGGTGCCTTTTGGAGCTTTTCCAACGTAAAACACCAAAGCTTTCTTGATACCGACTCTTCTTCCTTCCGTGGAGATAACCTTATCTGTACCGGTGGCTTTCCAATAACCCGACCCGGCAACCCGATTGGGTCTCGACCCGTTCGGATACTTCCTATCTCTCGGGCTGAAGAAATACCATTCTTTTTCCCCAAACAACGCCTTACCTACATACAAAAAGAACAACCAAACAAGAAAAATGAGATAATTAAACAAGGAAAATCATAGATGTGGTTTAAACAAAACCGGGGCCGGTTTAAGGGTTTACTTGGTAAAACCCAAGGGTCGAATTTGTAGAGATCGATTTCAGCGATGAGCTGGAGAGAGAAGTCGTGACCGACGGCTTTTCTGCATAGATATTCAACCATCAGCTCTTCGTCCGTCGGGTAAAACCGGAAACCCGGTGGCAAGCTCAATTGGGCTAACGGGTCTAGTTCTTGGATACCCATTTTACTTATTTCCTCTCCGATAAATAAAATATCTGCACCTTTTGATATTTTATTGTTTCTTTCTTTTTTTTTGGTATTTTCACATAAAGATTTCGAAGCTTTGCTACTTGTGTGCGTGTGTATATATAATATACACCGCCGCCCAATCTTCGTTAACGTGCAGCCTCAATATGGGCCCCACTTTTGAGATTATCATGATACGTGGATAAGTTTAGAGCGTCGTGATTTTATGCCATCCCTTGGGTTCGTTGAACCTATATACTATAAGAAAGTTGATTATTATTATGAATACTTTAATATGTTGTAACACTGTACCGCCTCGAATGATTTTTACTGTTTCCCAACTGTTTTTTTTTTTTTAAGTTTTGTCAAAGGTTTCCCAAGTGTTCGGAAAAATTAAATAATTTAAAGAAATTCCATATATTTGTACGTTCAAATCAAAATTAGGTGATTGCTAAGACTTATATGACTCGTGGTTATCTTGTAATTTACGCGGTAAATCGGTTTGAATGAGTTACATCACTGTGACAAATATACGAAAATTATATTCTGGAAACACTAAATAATATCTTTTTTAATGGGTATGTTGCCAACTTGTATAATTTTTTTGGTTGTGTCAAGAGAATAGACACGCGTAAGTGAATGATGGGGTGAGATCACTAGATATTTAGGGTTAACATGGAAAGCGTTTTTCCATACGGATAGAACTACCACGAAACGACACGTGTCTAGTGTTTATGGGCTGAGTTAGGCGGGATATTTGCCTCGTCAAAAGGCCGTTAGAGATTAGAGAAGGACAAACAACAAACATGAGCTGATGATGCAGACTCGAGATTATTTTTTTCTAATATTTTCTAAGTTGATTGTAAATTTTGACTGACTGCATATTAGATCAGTTTGTAACATTTAAAACGAAAGTATATATATACAAGCATACAATCAGATATATCAGAAAATGTTACGGTTTTGTGGTTGAGAGATATAAATTTAGGATACAAACTCACTTCTCTTCCAATTTTTCTTTGTACGTGATTGAATAAGATTTTACCAGTAAGGCGTTAGGCCAAAATCTCCCTCTATCAATATCGATTAAACACCAAGTCCATGTGCTATCTTCCTTCAAGCACGAAAAAATGATGATTTCTACCTAATACATATTGGTTGGATATTTCATACTGGGGATAGTGAACAAGGGATTGAGTTAATCTACTGTGATTTTAGTAATGGTCAATCACAATAGACATACTGTGGATATTTTTATCCGACTTTTTACATGTCTCAGAATTAGCTTAAAATCCATTACAAATCGTCGAATATAACAACAACAAAAAAGAGTTTTTTTTAGTTTGAAACGTAGTCAGCAAATTTGTAGAAACATATACATATATATGTGTAGGTTTTTTTTCTTTATCATATAATTAAATGGCTTTTACTCTTTATTTAATAATTTCCTTAGGGGGGTTATTGGGAGTTGGTTTTATGAAGATTTTAGTTGATTTTAAAAATCATGAGATTTGTCAAATTTTTAAGAGTTTTGTTGGATTTGTAAAATTTAGAGAGCGTTTTATAGATTTAAACAATCTATTAAGAATTTTTTAATATGACAGATTTTGAGAATCCAAGGGATATAGATAGTATTTTGAGAATCATGATTTATGAATTAAATTACAAAGAATCATTATGCCAATAACACTAGATTATAACAGAATCATAGAATCATTAAAATGCAGACTTTTTGAATAACAATGGATTTTGATTAGATTATAAAAATCATCATATCAATAACAACTGATTTTTATAATCTCTAAATGAATAACAGATGAATCTATTAAGAATGTAAAAATTCACAAACCAATAACTATAGAATCTTAAACTCTAAAAATCTTTATAAATCAACTCTTCAATAACACCCCCTTATTGCTGCCAATATTTATAAATATATATTTCCTCTGTTTTATAATTAGTGTCATTTTTGGCATTTTGCACACAGATTAATAAAATACATTGAAAATTCAATAATACTCTTAAAATATATTATAAGTTTTGAAATTCTTCAATAGATCTAAGGTTAAATTAGGTATTTTATGTCAAAATTTGTTTTAAAATATAAAACGACACAATGAAACTAGAAAAAAATTCTTAAACGACACTTATTATAAAACAGAAAGAATATATGTGTGTAATATGTGATCTGGATATTGAAATGAAAGTTAACGATCAGTTTATTTAAAATATATACTGTATTCGCAAATTGCGAATACATGATGCTTTAAAGTGTAAAAAAAATCAAGAGAATACAAGAATTAAGGAATTGTGGTTTCTTTCACTCAATAGCTTTCGTGTCACGGGTCATCTGGTGTTAATAAGTTCCATATATATTGTTTCTCTTCGAAGAGAGAAATCCATCAAATGATAAAGAATGGACTGGTCAAAGTTGTTCTTTAAGCTTTGTGCCTCTCTTTTTCGCGATGAAGTCATGCATATATCATAACGTGCATGTCATGCATATATCATAATCACATAATGTGTACACCCGGAAAATTATAATAAAATTTGATGACGTGGATTTCAAGATGCTATAAGTTTTAACCTCTTACTGTTTTACATGTGAGTTTAATTAATGGTTTGTTGAATAAACAATGACAACACCAATATACTTTTTTACGAATTTCTCAGTTTTGGAGTCTTTTTGTTTTATATAATAGGAAGATCATATAGATACAGACTTGTTTAACAAAAAACGATTCATGCAGACTTTAATCTCAATCTCTATAAGATTAATTTACAATGCTCCAGTGAAATTTGAACTCGAATCCGAGATGCTACTTTACATTTTATTGGTTTGTTTCAATTTGATTTTTGATCATATAGAACTAGCTCTAATATCTGGAGCATGCTGAGTTCTTTCCATAAATATAATGTAACATTACCAGATAAAAGAGATAAGCGATCTTGAACGAGTCTTATTTAATAATTTTTAAAAGCTTAAGTAATTATTAGGCAAAGAGTAATTTCATAAGGTTAAAATTATTAAACAAAGAGTACAATGTTCTCTTATACCTTTCGTCAAAACGTTAGAAAAAATGCTTAGAAACAGTGAGACCAAATAACAAAGATTAGTCAAAGTTCTTACAAAAAAAAAAGGATTAATGAATTACAGTTTCGATCCAGATCTCATAAATAGAAGAAAAGGTATTTTGATAAGAACAGAAATATATAATAATATTCTAAACCAATATAAAGCTAATTAATATTCTCGTCAAGTTGGAGATATATCGATCATATTGAGTACCAACTTGTGCATATTATACGTCTTTTCATATTCTTAAAATAGAATAGAAACGAAAAAGGGAATCCAACGATGAAGATGAACATTGGAGATCAAACCCCCCACTTCATCCAACTTTATCTTATCATAAAGTTTTATTTAAAATATATAGATTTTTTTGGGATTTTTTTTATATACATAGTTTAATAACGAATATATTTTTATAGAGTAATGGTTATGTTTAAAATCATATTAAATCACTAGTTAATGGTTAATATAATAAGAATTTGTTTTGTCTGGCAACGATGTCTTTCAAAAAGAAAGATAGAGCCAGAGAGGTCTTTCATTAGGGTTTGTTTTTTGGTCATCGGTTAGTAGTGAAGCAAAGACTTTTCATGTTTACAGATATATGTGAGCCACGTGGTAACAATAGGAGCTCTGAGCTGATAAAGTAGCTAAGGCCCACGTTGTTCGATAACATCTTTTACCATACCTCTCAAAATCAAAGCTGGAGACTCCTGGAAACACTAAGATTAGATAAGAAGAAGAAAAAAAGCGACATATATCTAGGTTTTGCCAATTATTTTATTGCGACGACGTATTATCAGATTCTTCTATTATGAGGAGTTAGACTTTACACGTCATTTGTTTCTTTTATATTGACATTTTTTCTTCAGTTTTTTATAACAAAATATGGATATCATATCACTGTATAAAGATCCCAAGAAGTTTTTACCCCCCTTTTTTTTCTTTCAGAAAGGCTAAACTTGAGAAAAGCTATGCCAGCTCTGGTACGGTGTTTATTAAGTATCAACAAATTTAGACAGCCAATAAGGCATGAAATATCTTTTAGCCCAAAGTACTTTCAGGCGGCCCATGAGTTTAAATGACCTGTCTTTTTTTCATAACCCAGATCCGATAATAGTACTTATGGATTGTACACGACAAAATCAAATTACACTTTCAAGTTCACTGATACGTTTACAGACTTTTGCACGATTTATACAATAGTATTAACGCACGACCAAAAAAAAAAAAAAACCAATAGTATTAACGCTTGAAATTGGTACTTCAAATTTAATTATTTTTCAACTAATATGATTCCATAATATACATTCATCTGTATATTAAACTGATATTATGGATAACAACTAAAAAAAAAATTGTAATAAAATATTTTTTGATATTTTTTCACAAATTAATCTAAATATTTTACCAAATTTGTATTTGATTAATCTAAATACATTGACTTACCATTGAAAACTAGGTGGTTAGCCCGCGCAAGGCACGAGCGTAAAGTTTATGAAACGAAATCCAAACCATTAAATTTATTATCATGGTAGACTAAATACAAATTAACAGCAACGTAAGACATAAAATTAAAATTACATATTCATCAATTTTTAAACTCCATCTATCACACTTACATGTATGTGAAGGCTTTAACTTCTTTATCAACAATATTACACATAAATCAGAAACACAAAAAAACTAATTAACACCGATACTATATAGATTAACTACATATATTCGAAGGCTTTAAATTTATATATCTCTAGATTCTTAATTTTGATTTCCCTTCGTTGTTTCTCGAGAATCTTCAACATATTCTTCTTCTTCTTTTTCTCCTTCATGATATATAATTTCTACATAAGTTTAGTCTTGTCTTCTGGAACTGCTCCAGTCTTCTTCTTTTTTTTCTTAGTTTAACTTTCAAAACGCTATCTTTTACTTCTCTTTATTCATATTGATCACACATTTATTTTCCGTTAAAACAATTATCATTTTAACCATTGTTTCAGTGTATCTTATGTGCTTTTTGTTTGATACTCTGGTCAACCATTAAACGTTTTTGAAATGTAGTTCCAACAACTTGAAACAAATTACAGGGATGATGCAAATTACTACTCGAATATTTCCCTGATAAATTCTTTTTCCTTTGTACTTGTGACTCTTCTTGTTTCATCTGGTGTTTTCTCTCCTTTAATGGCCTGAGAGCTTCCCATTTATGGTAAAAAAAACGATGAGTTCAGTACGATGAATCTAAGAGGTAGGTCAGTGATTAACCATAACATCATTCAGCACCAATGTGATCAACTATGAATCAAAGAAACGGACCTGTGACACAATTTTACAGAAACCATACATAATTTGAAGAGGACAATTTGGATAACCATGCTAACCATAGAAGGTCCCAACTCCTGATCCATCTATAATTTAAAATGCCATAATTGCAACTAAAATTTACAGGTTCTTGTTTGTGAGTCATATAATCGTTTCAAGGTTTTTCAAACATATAGCAACAGGGGAACTAAAACAAAACGTCTACATAAAGTGTACTTCAATGCATTTCCTATTGAAACCGGTGTAGCCCGTAAAGAAACTAAAAGAGGAAGATATTTATTTACTTAAAAGACCAAATAAGATTAGTGTTACCTAAAGATAAAATTTACAAAAACAATTCGGAATAAAAAAGATCTTAGTCTGAGGAATGTGCAAAAGATCAAAGTGCCAATAGTTACGTTCTTCTTCTTGTTCTTCTTCTTGTTCTTTTCACTGTCTTCCCCGCAAGTAAAATAAAAGAACCAAAAAAATATCCAAGAGCAATCAAATCTAAGAGAGTAATAAAAATAATCTCAGCCTTTCCTACTGAAAAGGAAAAACAAAATGAAAATATGAATACACATAAATATCCAAACACTGAACACAAGAGACAATAACACACAAAACCCATTCAAATGAGCGAGAATTGAATTCAAGCCCAAAAATTTAACAGTGGCAGTGAAGGCAGCGGTATGATAGATAGAAATCATGTGCTCTGTTTAACATTCTAGCTTAATATAGAGACAGTCGCTTGTATCTTCATACCCTGTGCAACCAAAAACGTTAATACATTTAATACGAAGAAACATTACCATAACGAACGTACAAATATAGCAAACCTGCTGGTCACATAATACAAGCTCGAGCCTTCTCCTGACGAACACGAAGGATCTTCACGAATATCATTGAATCGTATAGACCATGATCAACCGAGAGACACCTGTAAGCTGTAGCTATTGGATTAAAACTAAACAGAAAATTATCTGATTTAACAAAACCTCGGTCACCGCAACGTTCGACTCCGTTATTGTCATTGTGAAAAAGAGAACATCTTGCATGATTCCCCATGGCAACAGAAGAAGGCCTAACAAAAATACCGTTCCCGAGTTTTGTTGGTGTCCCAGGATAGGCTATAGCCTCCAAAGATCAGACAACCGGAACAGCACCACGCTTTCATTTTGACGGGCGGAGAACGAACAAAAAGCAACTTGAAACCAAAGCACTTAAACTCAATAAAAAAAACCAATAACAATAACGATAAACTTACAACGATACAAAGCACAAAATCATTTGTGTTAGAAAACCAAAGCACCACTTATACGCAGCCTCTTAATCTTTCTGCAGTAGTGAACAAAACCATGGAGTTATATTATTAACGTTAAAGAAAATCAAAAACCATACAACCCAGTGAAATATAGCAAGAATATACTATCCCATTTTTTTCATTGCTTTCATCTTTCTTTTCTCTTCTAATATAGAATCTGATTGTCTCACCAAGACATTGGCTGATATAGGAATCAGCCAACCAAATTGTAACGATGCATTCCAACTCTAAGCTCCCATCTTTTCCTCAAACAATCCAAAATCCAAACTGGCCAAAACACAAACACACGCACACACACACAGACACAAACAAATTTCAAACTCAGGATCGGTTCGTAACAATTAACAGTTTCAACTGCAAAAATCATCTAGAATCGCACCGTCAGAATTTTGAGATTTACTAAGACCGATCTCATTTCTCCTCTACTTGTGATTATGTGAAAGAGATTAATGGCTATACAAACCGTGAACAAAGAGAAAAAGCGATAGAATCCAAACCTGAATACCTGATCTTATCGTAGTCTGGAAGAGATCTCCGACCTGGCTATAGAGTCCACACCTGTTTTAAAAAATAAAATACACAAAAAATCTAATTAGATCTAACTTACAAACCTGAGTTATTGTAATCACAACAAAAATATAGAATCTCTTATGAATAATATTAGACAAAAGTCAAAAGTCTTACAGGTGGAATTGAAACGATATGTTGTGATCAAGATCTAGGCGTATGTAATCTCACGTCTCAGGACTGGGATACATTCATCAGCATCAATATTATTAGCACAAAATTGATCAGAGATGAATAAATCTTAAACATATAGATCCAATCAAAATACGAACATACTTAGCAAATGAACATAAAACAACTACAAAGAGAGACCCACCTACACAGCACAACCAAGAACACAAAAACAAAAAAATGAAAATCGAGAACCACTATCACCCAAAATTAAAAAGCAAAAGAAACAACGATCAACACACAAAAAAGGTACCTATCGAAGGTAAAAAGTAAATTTTTAAAATCAAACCAACCAATAACACATAATCAATAACAAATATATCACAAAACACCATAACTAAGAACAGTACAAAAAATAACATGCAGACACATAATCAATAACAAATAGATCACAAACACCCTAACTAAGAACAGTATAAAAAATAATATGCAGATAAATCACTCAGCCAAACCAAAAATCAGACCCGTAAACACCACAACCACCTCCACATAAGTAAACACGAACCCTAAAAAAGAAAATACAAAAAATAAAACCCATATTAGTTGCTAAAACAATTTTTTTTAAAAAGAGAGATAAAGAAGAGATGATAACAAAAATAGCAAAAAAAAAAAAAAAAAACAGCTCGCAGAACATAAAAGTTTACAATAAACCACGAAGAGTGTAAAACTAATCAGTTAGAAACTTTACTTCCATCAAACACTTTAATCTTTTTTTTAAAAAAAAAGTTACAATAAACCACGAAGAGTGTAAAACTAATCAGTTAGAAACTTTATTTCCATCAAACACTTTAATCTTTAAAAAAAAAAAACAGACTACAACAACAAAAAAACCATAAACAACACGAGAACCATACAAACTCGCAGGCGACCATGTCTAGACCCACACCATCAACTACAAAAAAAACCAAACACAGACGGCTGAAAATCTACCAGTAAGCAAGAAAACCAAAAAAACCGTATAAACAAACGAACATAAACACAAACGTAACTACAAAATACAAGTGTAACAAACAAATATAACCACAAAACTAAGCTCAAAGACTACCTTTTGGCATCTCGATAATAGATACAACCAGCCACCGAGACAACCTATAACCCAATAACAACAACAGATAAGTTAAATCCAAATTTATTAAATAGACTGATCTAGCATATTTCAAAGTCCTAAAACAAAACATTATAAAAATGAGTCGATCGCTCATCAAAGATCACAAACTATACAATTAAATAAATATAACAAATCTGAAAAAGGGAAAAAAAAAACCAAACTAACATAATCAAAAGCAATTGGAAGTCTCGTGGTGCTCTACGTGCAAGGCAAACGAAGTTGTTTTTATAAGAATAACACACGGGCTATGTCTTCTCTGTTTATAAGAAACAGAACAAACCTAGAACACTTATTTGGAATCTATCACCGATTGGTAGCTAACTCTTCAGTAATCAAATTATTAACCACGCACCCTTCTAAACAAAAACTAAAATAAATCTACCATGAATTTAGATCCACGTAAAACAAACAATCAACAACGATTAAGAAAATAAGGTAGTAACTTGATATATATATATATATATTAAGTTAGTTTCTCGGTTGGAATTTTTTTAACCTAATACGGCCAACATTTTTTGTTTGTTTTAATTTGTTTTTATAAAAATATGTTTAAACAAATTTAAGGAGGGGCAAAAAGTAATTAGCCACCTTAAAATTGAATGAGAGAGCTTAAAACTAAAATTTTACTTTGCTTATAATTATAATGATAACTTTTAAGAAATCAGATTTCTGAAACTTAAAATGCATTAAAATGGAAGCACATCCTTTTTACTTATTAGAATTAAAACTAAGTAATAAAAAATTGACGTCAACAAAAAAGTAGTGATATAAAATTCTGAAATTAACTGGATATGAAGAGAGAAAGAAAAGTAATGCAGCTTTTACAATAGTATAAGACTTCAAAATCTAATGAATACATTCAAACCAAACAACAATCCGAATTGAATCAACTCTTATCTCATGAACGATGATCGATCTCTTCCTCGCGACTCTCCAAGATTTGAATGCTGAAACTTCGAGTTCTCCTTCATTAGTTTTTCTCTCCCAACAACAGTTTTCGGTTTCTCTATCTTCACCGCATTAGAATCGGCAATGCCAAGATTATCATTGGAAGCAAAAATTTCACTTAATTCCACAGAAGCAGTAATGTTGGTTTGGGAAATTCCCATTAGAATCTCTGGACTAATTGCATCTTGCGGCATCGTCGTGTCTAGAATCTGAACTATCTCCGAACTCACGAGGTTCCCTGGACGCAAATCTACACAATCTTTGTCAAACTGAACCCCAAATCTTTGAACGAACAAGCTCCTTATATTTTGAAGCTCCTTAAGCTCGCCGATTCTTGATGCCGAAAATATCAATCCGGCCATTGCTTTTTTAGTTTCTTCCGGTAGGAGGAGAACATCACTTGCGAGAGAAACAATAAGTAATCAGGAATTTTTTAACCATTACATTTTTTTTACTGTTACCGTGTGTTACAAGGCATCAAGAACAACCTACCTTTGATAATTTAAAGGAGAAAAATTCTGCAAGATGGATGTGCAGAAGTACTCGACCTGATCGTAAGCCGATAACCTTTTTGCATCTTCATAGAAATGCTTCGCCTACACGGTTTTAATATTCAAACCCAAAAAAAACAAAATAATTAATGTAGAAAAATTTAATTTAACAAGATAAGGCAAGTATTGATCATCGAGATTTTGATCAATATAAAAGAAAATTGTACATATGGTGACTGAGATTAGCCTCATGTATACCTTAGGAAGTGCCTCCGGAAAGCGGCCATAAGGAAGGAGTTGAGAAATATCGGACCTGGATTGATTAACCATACACTCTCTTCGTCTCCGTTGCACTTTGACAGAAGATAGCAGATTTTGCATATGGATTTTGCTGCAGAGAAGACGGATTTGATTAAATAGTTAAACAGGAAACAAAATTCTTACAGTCTAACGCAAGTGAACAAAAGGTTTCTTACCACTTCGAAGCTTTTTGCCATTTCGAAGGACGAAACCAAACAGCCAAAACATTACGATAGCATCCAAACTTGGGTTCTGTTTTGTTGGCCAACATCATTACCTTTCCTCGGTAGGAAGATGAACAGAGCCCTCTTAAGAGAAAGGTCTAATAAAGAGATGTTATTATCTATAGAAAAAAATCTATATATAATCTCCTTTAAAAGTGGGTTTTAAAAACCATTTAGTATTATGATTTACTTATGGTATTAAATCTTGGAAAACCCGCTTTTTCTTTTCCAATATGGAATGTGAAAATCCAAATGCATTAAACGTACGCTGTTTTTACAGATAAATCAGTAACTTCAGGTAATATAAGGAAGGAACATAAAAAAGCATTTCATGAGTTTCATCTTCTGGCAGCAATTCAATCGTCGTTTGTTTTTATTTTTTTTTATTCAAGATTTCAGTTTTAATCTGGCGAATTAATGAATTCACTATATTTAGTTGAGACTTTTTGTTTTTCTGAACATTTAAACCTCGTTTTTTCATTGTCGCCAAACCTCGTTTTCTTAACAAGTAATTATCTCTGTTTCCTTATACAATAGAAATTTGGAAATATATTGTAGATATATAGAAAATATTTCGAGAAATCGAATTAAACTATTCTCCAAAACAACAAAAGTCTGAAAAAGGACAAAAATATAGTTACTGTATCTATTGAACTTATTTAGCTATATCTAAATCTTACACAAATTATATATATAAATTATTGATCGTAGAAGGATATGCATTGTATTATATTTGTATAAAAGATATCAAAAACAGAAAATAAATCTAAGTTGTTTATTTCCATAAAATGAACATATATATATTTAAACAGATTCGTTATTTGTTGTTGGTGGTAAGTGGTAACTTAACTTGGTAGTAAAGCTGATTTTTTTATAAAACCATTCATGATCATAGTCGAGCCCAAGTATATGGGCCTTTAGCAGAAGGTATTATGAATCAAATATTAGGATCACGAAAAAATAACAAACAAACAAAAAGACTAGTGAGTTCAATACTATATGGTTAATGTCAATATATTTCTGAAGGGCAACCGACAAACCGGAATTACCAGTTGCCGGTAAAACCGACGCGTATAATACAGCAGTCGCCAGATCAGCCGGTTAGATCTAAACCATTCACTTTAGTCTTCGTGAAGAGACGGCGACCTTTTAACTAATCCACTTTCTTAAACCGTTTTAATTTTTGCAGACACTCCACTAAAGCAGTGAACAGTCGTTGTTTTCTCTGTTTAATTGAAACTAAAGAACATTTTTTTTGTGAATTGTTTTCTTCAAAAGAGGGAGAAAATTGGGTCAAAGCTTCATTTGACGTTATCGACGATTTGCTATTTTCAAGTGAAAGAGGAAATCACCACAAAAGCTGCTTGAGAGAGAGAGAGAAAGCTCAGAGTTTAAATCAGTAATGGCTTCGAAGCTTGTAGTGATAATTGTGCTCATCCTCGATCTCATCGCCGTTGGGTTAGCCATTTCCGCCGAGCAGAGAAGAAGTGTCGTAAGTCCATTCTCTCTTCCCTTGTCTTCTCCTTTACTTGATAGCTTTTCTTGGTTCTTGCTCACTCTGTATCTTTGATTCTGTATAATTTCTAGACTATTGTCAGTGAAGCTTCCCTCTCTAAGTAGTCTCTCCATTGGTGCTGCGATCTTAAATTGTAGTGACTGGATTACTTTCTTGTCAAGTTTAGCCTATGGCATTGTTGAAATTCCACATACTGATTAACTTATTAGCTAAACACAGAGAGCCTATAATAAAGGGTATATTAAGATCCAATTATATATGGAAACTTTCTTCGTAAGTGTTGTGAGATTCCACATTCGAGCTACTATTTAGCTCTCTAGCTAAAGCCTAATGTCATATGTTTAGATCAAAACCAAATCTTCTAGTATGTATTGGCTCTGCAAGACCTTAAATGTGGTTTCTGCATATGTTTTCTTTATGTGGTAAAGATTCATTTGTTTTGACAGGGCAAAGTTATGACGGACAATGAGAAGGCATATGAGTACTGTGTATATGGCACGGACATTGCTACGAGCTATGGAGCTGTTGCATTCGCACTCCTCTTTATAAGCCAGGTCCTTATTATGGTGGCTAGCCGTTGCTTCTGCTGTGGAAAGTCCCTTAACCCCGGCGGTTCAAGAGCTTGTGCTATTCTTCTCTTCCTCATTTGCTGGTAACAAACAACATACCAATCTCATGTTAAATTTTTCCTCGACAAGATCACATAGGTCTTAAACTCTTCAAATGGGGTTTGATCATTAATTTGTAGAATTCTATTGCAGGGTATTCTTCCTGATTGCTGAAATATGTTTGCTTGCGGCATCAATCAGAAATGCTTACCACACAAAGTATAGGAAGATGTGGAACAATGATAATCCGCCGAGCTGTGAAGTTATAAGGAAAGGAGTGTTTGCAGCTGGTGCTGCATTTACCCTCTTCACTGCTATCGTCTCTCAGTTCTATTACGTTTGCTACTCTCGTGCTCGTAATGCTTACCAGAATCCGTCTTACTAAAAAACGTTACTTTCACAGCAAGCAACGTTTAGCATCCGGTACTGTCTTCTTGTGGTGATCGCTCAGTTTGTTTAGTATCCGGTACTGTTACTTATCCGATAGGGTGTTTTGGATTTGATGGTGTCGACAAGAAACACTGAGATATGATTGTTTCTTGTCATCAGTCATTGTATGTTGTCATGTGTCATGTAATGTATAAAGATAGAGTAGAAAACATGTTTTCTGATTCACTGTTTTTTTTTTTTTTTTTTTGTTATGTGAGAGGAAGCATTATGTGATCATTATTTAAACTAAGTTTGACACACAAAAAAGAACGTAAAATGTACAGGCTCAATTCCAAGTCTAGTCAATCCAGAAATACCTGATGTAAAAATTCATAACAGGCGATGTTAGACCTTTTTTCAGGCGAAAAGTAGTTAAGATTTTAAGGAGAAAGTTGTACATGATTTAGTTCAGGTGAAGTGAAGAGAAAACATGGATTTCTTAGAGTGGCTTAAATCACTGATTTCGTCTGATTTATATAGTTTTTTTAAGAATCTTATCAGTAACTTCACTGTTTCATCTACATTAATCACTGTTAACCACAAGCAGACCTAGAAAAATCCACATTTAAAAAAATTAAAATCCACATACATATTTCAGGTTTAACTACAAGACTTCCATAATTCTGGGTATTTGAGCTTCTGGTTAGCAGATCATTGACTGTCGAAAGCCAAGTCGCAAGCACTAATGTTGGGCCCAACCTGTAAGAGTAATAGCTGCTATTACAATTAGGGGCCATCAGGTCGAGGTTTTTTTTTCCTTTTGGGTCAAAAGGTCGAAGTCTTTAAACATACATTTCATTGTTGTACATAATATACGTCAAAATACCAAATGTCATAGAACACGTAATCCCTATTAACTCTCTCTCAATATTATATAAATATATTGACTGTTTAGCAGCATTCAGCAAGGTCGTTAGGACTTAGGATAGAATAATTATGAGCAAATTGTACATAAAAAAAAACTAAAATAAACAATTGTTGGCATAGTACCCCAACATATGCTTCATCATAGCACATGACCATTAGCACATTATGATTCAAGATACCAATTTACAAACCATTATCATCTTAATATCAGCCAAGAATATGAGGGAATTATTTTTATTTAAAGAAAAAAAATCTGAAATCTAATTATCCTTTTTCTTCAAACGGACATTGAGAAAATTTGAACTTCTAAATTAAACAATTTAAAACAAAAAAAATTAAAATTGTTTCTTATCAGTCATAAGCTTATAACCATAATCTATACATGTTCCAAGTACAACAAATGCAACACTTATACGTGCAAAATTGCATACATATATTTACATCTAAGCACACTAATACTAATCATACAATACATTGTAGATATACAATTGCTTGTATCCACACGTTACACGTACGTAATTACGTATGTTTGTCATGTGGGAAAATGCGTTTAGCATTTTTTATTATATTAATTTTCAGAGGATCGCCAGAACAGAGAGAAACTTATGATTGCTCACACCCATTTGTCCTTTGTTAGATCTCAGATACTTTTAACTTTCAAGTCGCATTTTCCTCTGTACTTTCTCTTAATTTTATAATCAACTTAACATGTTAAATATTGACTTTAGTGTCTTCTCGAATACTTGAGTAGTCACCTCCAATTAATTTTTTAAAAAGAAACAAGAAAATGCATTACCGTGACTTGTTAGTTTAATGGAACGCCACCGATAAAAATATTACCTAAATCCACGCTCAAACAGTTGTAAGAGGTCAAGTTTAGGGAAATGCAGACAAGATACTTGTAGGAAGCAACTACACATATTAATTTCGAAAAAAAAGAGTTTTTATATTATATACAAAACTTGCAGAGCTTACAATTGCTAATATAGGTCAAAAGTTCTGTTAACCTTAAACTTGTCTCCTATTTTATAGCTTTTCGCCAAGTCTAGTCACTTCGCATATCTCGGACTCTCGTGATGCACCTAAATCCACATATTTCAGAATTGTGCAGATTTGTCAAATATACTAACTGACCCGTCAAGATAATATCTCGCCGAAGTTTGCAGCTTGTCGCGTTTATTAATAACTTGGAGTTTGTTTTGTTGATACGAATTAGATGATCCTACTAATACTATGATTGGAGATTTTGGCATTTTATTGACTTAGCGTAAATTCTGTAATAAATTTGTTTATGGACCAGATCTAGCGGGTACAACCAGTTCCAATGATACTTATAACAACTTTTCAATTGATTGTTTACAAATCAGTTTAATATATTCAGATAATGTGACATATAAAGAGTGATCCTACAAACAAAAAAGGTCACAATAATAATTTAGAGTAAGACTCCTTATCACAATAAAAAAAAAAAGAATATATATGCTCCTAATACAACTCTATCTTTTTATCCTAATAGTTGTTGAGATAAGAAAACTTTATATATGCAGCTTTTGCATCTTTTCCCCCAAACCTTGTTGCTTTAAATCTCTTATAAATGTAAGAAAATCACAACTATATAATAATAGCCATGTCTCTATACAAGAAAGTTAGACGTGTGCGTCTAAATCTAACCAAACAAGATAAACAAAGCTATCTCAATTTCTCAAGTGTTTGCATCCCAAAATTTAGGCCGACCCGACAAAGAAATATATGGTCAAACTCTACTTTCGCCCCAAGAAAAAAATTATACCAAAAAGGGAATCATCTACAAATTTTTACATATGTTGTTGTCGATAAGAAAACAGAAAGTCATTGAAGAAAAATTGGACATTTGGATAAAGATAAGTAAAAACAAACTGTGATCATTTTTGCTTGGTCAAGATTTGTCTTCGCGTTTGTTAATAGTTATAGACACCTCATCAATATTTGTGAAGGTCTTAGCTTTCTCAAAGCTGCTATTATCAATCTACGTATACATACCATCCCATGAGAAGAAAAGAAATATTAAAGTGTTAATCAAATTATGCCAACGAGCTCTAAATAGATGAAGTCATGCCAACAGCGAATGAGTGAAGTTATGCCAACGAGCTCTAAATAGAGGTTGGTGGGTGAGAATGATTCAGACCATTAAATTTCTAACGGTTTTGTGTATCTTTTTAATGATAATATAATTTTATTTTATTTATTCTGATATAAATTAATTAAACACCTATTTACAACAGATTTAATAGTTGACTTTTTCTGAAGATGTCCCTATAACCTATGTGTGTTTTATCCCCCGAAACCACTTGAGTAGTTGAGCCCGTTTTAGTTTTTTTTTTTTTTAACGCAAATACTTGAACCTGTTAGATTCCGAAAACATACCTAGACTGATGATCCTAATTCAATTTTTAAATAGCCAAATATGAAATCCTTTCAGATCTAAACAAATTCATGAAGCAAACACAAAGCAAGTCAAAATTATCACACAGTTGTTCAAAACGTTATCATATGATGATCTCATGCACGATATATAAGATACAAGTCTATATATATAATCCGCCAGGATAGTAAGTAATTTTTTTTTCATCAAAGAATCACAATTTTTTTTATAAAAAAAAAACAACATGTTTTCCTGACAACTATTGCGAATGTCATTTATCTATTTTACTAGAATACCATTGAATTTAGTCGGTTTATATAAAATATTAGAAAGAAATAAAGACAAAGAGAGAAGAATGGGGGGAGGAGGAGAGTGACGTGGCTGATCTGAAGACACTGACAAGTTTTGCAACTTCAACGGTCGACGGCGACACCCTATCATACTCTTTATATATATTTCGATTTCTGTTTACTAATTTCTTATCTTATTTATAATGTCATTCTATTTATTTATTTGTATATGACAGACCGGTTTCCAGCTTTTGACATAACTAAATGTTTCACTTTAACCATAATAACTATACAAAAAATAATACTAATTCAATACTCTTTTACACCATTTAATAAAAATCTCGCTGTTCTTTTTTTATTCCTCTGTTTTTTCTCTTATGATTTTATTTTAAATTGATGATAATGTTTATAATTACTATAATGTGATGTAAGGCCGGGAATGGTTCTCGGTGATTGATTTGAAGTATGCAATGCTATGATTTGAATGGATGCCGAGATGAATCAATCATAATTTCAATTAATATCTTTACCAGGTCAAGTAGTTTGAGATATTTTGTTTGAATAGTCTTTTATTTGGCAATCATATCTCAAATACTACAACGTTGCATCAATAAAACTGATTAGAACCTTAATTTATAGTTTTCATGAAAAACATTATTTGTAGATTAATCACGCTGTTTGCAATGGGTTCTATCGTTTTTTTTTTTGTTTGTCAACGGGTTCTAACGTTTTTTCACCTGCACAAATTGTAGATCAGCATAATCTACCAAATATTTTTTTTTTTCTGCTTGATCAGTATGTTCCATCAGAAATTAACACACCAATTGAGATTCTTACATTTAATTTCATCTAGCGCCTAGCGATTTTTTCTGTAGTGTTTTTATCTTACTTTTTAAAACAAAATGTTATGTCACTCGTTAGCTTCGAATTCTTTCTGACATACCTATATCCAGATTAACTAGTTTATTGAAGCTCCGGTTACTAAATATTGTGAAACAATGTTGTAAATGAAACCAAGAGAAAACGCAAAACGCTACAATGGAAACAAAAAAACATAATGGTGCAAAGAGAGCTCAGAGACTTATACTATCTGATTTCTTGTAACCACATTTTCACCCTTTATTTATTTTTATTTTTTCCTGGGGAGGATCTCTTTTTTTTTTTTTCTTTTCTTCCAAACTGTCTAGGGTACTCTACTATCAAACAATAACTCTATAATGCAATGTTGGTTTTAGTAGCATAAACAAAGTTACGAAAATGAGTCAAAATTTCAAAACTATTTCTAATGTGATCGCATGAAATCAGTTGGTGTCACAACAAAAAATCATTTGATGTTTGTAGAACAAGATATAAGCGAAACTAATATTTTCACAAAACAGCGAAACCATTAGACACATACTGTTAAAACAAGAAGAAAAATACCAAAACTAAGCCAGTAATTGATCTAGAATTCCAAGAAATTTCAAAAAACAAATCTACCTTTTTTTGTGTTGTCGCCCAAATTTATAGTTTAATTAAGGGTTATTTAATCCATAATAGAGAAAAAATAATTACAGCTCGTGATTTGATATTTGCATGTCTCTGTGTCATAAACATGTTTAGACTAGTGGTCGGATATCATTAGTTGTCAAATGTTTTCTTGTTTTTTGTTGTTAACGTTTGCGAAATGTTTAATCTCTTGATTAGCATACATAATCAGTAGAAACAAAAATGGTCCTGGAGAGAGAGAGAGAGAGGGAACGGAGTGTAAATAACGGTGGGACGGGAAAAGTAGAGTAGGGAAGGGGCATGTGTTACTGATTAGTTGTCCTCTTCTCTCTGCATTTACTATTTGTGGGCCTGTAAGGCCCATTTCTCCTCACTCCCTATTGTTTCCACCTTTTTTGTTTATGTTTTTTTTTTATTTATTTTAACTTTTAATTTTATTTTCCATCTTATGAAACGATATAAAACCTCGTATAATCACAAAGATTGAGCCTTGAGCGTTACCTATGGTTCTTATTCCATTTTTTGTTGGGGTGGGCCTTTGAAGCGAAAGATATATAGATTGCGTTAATCATGATCTTCGTGAACTTTATGCGATTTGATATTTTGGATGGATAAATCGGTTAATTGATGGTTTAGTTTCGCGATATGATACTCACTTTTTGAGTTTTTGTTAGAGTTTTCTACTGTTTATTTTACCACACCGATGTACTTAATATTTAAGGAATTCCAAAGTAACAGTATTAATGCTATTGCTAGATGAACCTTTTAATCGTGGCAAAATTTAATTTCATATATACATATATATTCAAAACGAAGTTACTAAACCAACTGTATTTCAAATAATACCTTTTTGGAAATGCTTTTGACTTAAATTTGTTTTCACGAACTATCACTAAAAATTATAGTTTGTGATTTAAATCAATTTAAATGTATTTATTCATTATCTGTTGATTAATTATATATGTTTACTGTAAGAAAATAATTTGATTGCGTTTAAAATTTTAAATCCACACACACACATATATATATATATATAAAAGAATAAGTATCTCTACAACAAAAAGGAAAAGAAAAGAGTATCTGACTTGGAAAACCAACAAATTTTGTGTCGGTATTTATGAGAAATATTTTTGTAATAACACTTGCCGGAATGTATATATAAAAATAGTAATAAAATACATTATATCAAAGTGTAATAAATTGTTGATCAAGGAAAATAAATAAACTTGAACAATGGCACTGTGGCAGTATGCTACACGGCCTTCTTTTAATATATAGAAGCTCTATCAATTTATTATGGTATCTAAGCAAGCATATGGCAAATAGCCAAATACACATATTTACATAGTCAAATTTATCATAGTAAAATCATATTATTGTCAATGGAGGAGTATTATTGATATCGAAGATCTAATTTCTGGCTGAATACATAGTGCTGCAAAGAGGCAACGAAATTAAACTAGAGAGCAGAGAGAAAAAAAAAACAGAAAAACAAAAAAGTTCGTTCTCTCTCTCTCTCTCGACTCTCTCTAGTCTCTCTCGAGACTCTCTCTCTCTCCATTGATTTCTTCTACACACAGACAATTCCGAACCCCCAACTCATATCTCTCTCTATTTGCCTTTCATCGGATCTGACTTTCTCCCGAAAATCCACAATCTGATTTTTCGAATTCTGCAAAACCCGCACAATCCCCAAATCCAGCGACAAAATATTGCTTCTGTTTGATCAAATCACACATTTATTCCGATGGGAATGGCTTCGCTGGCCACAACGAAGTGACCATGAGCAACCAAAACGAGGAAGAGGACGAGGAGAGCGAGTGCTTCTACGAGTCTCTTGATCGCTTAGCCTCTTCCTCTTCTTGCTCTTGCTCCGCTTCAAACTCCGATTACGATTCCGACCTCGCCAATTCGGAATCTTCTCCCCGGATCTCCTCGGAAGAACCCAACGGTACTCGCCGCCGCCGATACCCATTCCCCGTCCCACGGTTTCCAATGGGTTCCTCAAGGTTCGACGTTTGGATCTCCGAACCCGCTTCTGTCTCTGAGAGGCGCTCGAGGCTTTTAAGCGAAATGGGTCTCAGCCGCGAACCTCTTCACTCCCGGTTAAAACCCGTTTCCGATTCCGGCTCGAATGGAGCATCCGACATTTCCCGATCGATCTCGTGTAATCAATTGGTCCGGCGAGATCACGGGGAGTCTGTCGGCGGCAGTGCTACCTGCGTCACGAGATCGAAATCCGAAATTTCCACTAGCCAATGTGGAGATCGTGACCGTCGATGTCCTCCGCCGGGTAATTCTTGCTCTTTTTCTGACTCTAAACTTTCACATTCCGAGATCAGTAAAACCAGCCCGCCATTTGTAAATTGCAATTTCTCGCACAAGGGTGATCTTAATCACGGATCAGTTAGAGCTGATTCGTCAATGGTTTGTGAGAATTCGAGTGATTCCTCGCGCTTAAATGGAAATTCTGAATGCGTATTGAGAAACCCTAGCGAGTGTGTAGTTAATGAGGAAGTGGAAGTGTGTACTATAAAGAATCTCGATAATGGGAAAGAGTTTGTGGTGAATGAGATTCAAGAAGACGGTACATGGAAAAAGGTAAAGGAAGTTGGAACTGACACACAGATGACGATGGAGGAGTTTGAGATGTGTGTGGGACATTCTCCCATTGTTCTGGAGCTTATGAGAAGACAAAACGTCGAGGATTCCGATAAGGCCTCTACGAGATCTAAGGAAAACGAAGACTGTGGTGGTAACAATAACAAGTCTAAGAAGAAAGGAAGCTGGTTTAAGAGCATAAAGAGTGTTGCAAGTAGCATGACTGGTCATAGCAAAGAGAGACGAAGCAGCGATGATAAAGATACATCATCAGAGAGAGGTGGTCGGAGGTCGAGCTCTGCTACAGATGATTCTCAGGAGTCTTCTTTTCACGGCCCGGAAAGAGTTAGGGTTAGACAGTATGGCAAGTCCTCTAAAGAACTCACGGCATTGTACAAGACGCAGGAGATTCAAGCGCATAACGGTTCTATTTGGAGCATTAAGTTTAGTTTGGATGGTAAATATCTTGCTAGTGCTGGTGAGGATTGCGTCATTCATATCTGGCAAGTCGTCGAAGCTGAAAAGAAAGGAGAGTTATTACTGGATAGACCGGAACTGTTGCTTATGGCTAATAATGGGTCTCCGGAACCAACTACTATGTCACCAAGGAGAAGAGGGAGAACTTCTATAAGTAGAAAGTCATTGAGTTTAGACAACATATATGTTCCAGATTCTGTTTTCGGGCTCTCGGACAAACCCTTCTGTTCCTTTCAGGGACATTTGGATGATGTGCTTGACCTTGCTTGGTCCAAGTCTCAGGTTAGTCCAGTCACTTTATTTGTTGATTCTGTTTAGAATAAACTGGTTGGTTGAAAAGATTTTATGAGTAAATCAGCTTTCTACATTCCCCAGCATTTGCTTTCTTCATCAATGGATAAAACAGTTCGTCTGTGGCACTTGTCCAGCCAGACTTGCTTGAAAGTATTTTCCCACAGTGATTACGGTTAGTAGATTCTGCTCCAGTCCAGCTGCTATCAATTTTTCTTTTTCTTAGTAGTGCTTTTAAAACTAACAACTTGCTTGTTTGATCTGATCTATTGATTGGAACAGTGACTTGCATTCAGTTTAATCCGGTTGATGATAGATACTTCATCAGCGGTTCATTAGATGCAAAAGTTCGTGTTTGGAGCATTCCAGATCGCCAAGTAGTTGACTGGTATGATCTTCATGAGATGGTCACCTCTGCTTGCTACACTCCAGACGGTCAGGTAAACTAAATCTGCCAAGTTATTATTTGACGTGAGGATGTTTTTGCATCTCATGAAGACTCTTTTAATAAAAGTTTTCCTAACTTTCTAAAGGGTGCGTTGGTTGGTTCATACAAAGGTAGTTGTCGCCTGTACAGTGCATCAGGTAATTATGAAGTTCGTAATGGGATTTTGTTTCGGAAATTTTCGGCTGTTTGCTATGCGCGTTAACCATTATTAACTGATGTTTTTTTCTTCTTCTCAAGATAACAAGCTGCAACAGAAAAGCCAGATAAATCTACAGAACAAGAAGAAGAAAGCTCATCAAAAGAAGATAACTGGTTTCCAGGTAATGCGAGAATCGCTTATTCAGGAGCAAAATCCCATGAAACAAAAAGGCTTTGTTCTTGACGGTTCTAAACGTTGCTTGCTTTGTCTCATTTCATACCATAGTTTGTGCCTGGAAGCTCATCTGAAGTCCTTGTCACATCTTCTGATTCTCGGGTCCGTGTTGTCGATGGAACTGATCTAGTTAACAAACTTAAAGGTAAACAAACAAATCGGACGGCTTTGAAAGTTTCAAGCTTTGTCATCTGGTACTTCATTTGCGAGCCAAAGTATTGATATTTTTCCATTTATTCAACAGGGTTTCGGAATACGAGCAGCCAAATCTCTGCCTCAATCACAGCAGATGGGAAATACGTGGTTTCAGCGAGCGAGGATTCACATGTGTACGTATGGAAGTACGAATCTCCTGCTTCTCGAACAAGCAGGAGTAACAACAACAAGAACGTTAGTGTCACAAACTCGTACGAGCATTTCCATAGCCAAGACGTGTCTGCAGCCATCTCATGGCCCGGAATGGCCTCAACAGAGACTTTGGGAACGACCCAAAACAAAGCCGGGTTCAACGGAAACGCCAATAACTTGGACGAAATCTCGACAGCTAACCATCCACCTACACCGGTGGAGCAGCCGGGGACTCTGGATCGATTGAACAGTCCACGGAATGGGATCATTTCGAGCGCAACAAACGGATACTTTTTCGATAGAATGTCAGCGACTTGGCCTGAAGAGAAACTGTTGTTTGGAAGGAACAGAAGTGGGAATCGTATGAGTACTGATTTGTCTTCAATTGGAATTGGAATTGGGAACTCAGTGAATGTGTCGCCTTCTTGGGGAATGGTGATTGTCACTGCTGGTCTCAGGGGAGAGATTCGAGCGTTTCAGAACTTTGGTTTGCCCATTCGGTTTTGATAAAAATGTTGGTAAAGAAAATCGAGTGAGGTGTGTACCTTCTTTAGCGAGTTTTTTCGTTTTGATTTTTTTTATATATATATTCTTCTGTTACAGATTCATTTCCAAGAAAAGAGAAAGAAAAACTACACTGATCTTTAAAGTGTTTACATACACGAACAGATGTAAGATGTTTATTGATTGGGATATAGAAAGAGGAAAAAAAAAAGAGAGAAAAAATCTATATATCTCTCTGTATACACTTATATAATTTTGTAGCTAACCATAGGCCCATTAAAAGCTCGGCTCGTTTACGTTCCTTTGTATGATAATGAAACGCTGTCGTTTTATCCGTCAGACGAGTAAAACCCAGCTTGTCCCTTTAGGTTTGACTCTGAACTAAAACCCTAAACAGAATTTAGCGCTGTTTCTTCCATAGAAAACAAGAACAAAAATGGGGAAGAAGAGAAAGCACAGCGAGACTGAAGCGGCGGCACCGGTTAAGGACGACGATGCTCCGGAGAGACCTAAAAGGACTCTATTGGGTTGGAAAGACAAGGAGGAAGATGCTGAGAAATCCAAACCAACGTCTTCTTCCTCCCCTGGATTCAGGAATAAAGAGAAGGTTCTCGTTACTTGTTCCCGAAGGATCAGTTTCAGGTATCGGCATCTGATGTTGAATATGGTGTCACTTCTGCCTCACTGTAAGAAGGATAGTAAGGTGGAAGCTAAGAGCAGTAAAGGCGCGACTCTTAATGAGCTGGTTGAGCTTAAGGGCTCTTCTTCCTGCTTGTTTTTCGAGGTTCATATTCCAATCTCTTTTGGTACCTTAATTCCAGAATTAATTGATATAATCTATTGTCTGATCTTCCTAAGAGAATAAAAATTGGTATGCGTTTATCTGTTTTCGTCTTTAGTGTAGAAAGCATAAAGATCTTTACTTGTGGATGGTCAAGTCCCCTGGTGGACCTTCTGTTAAGTTCTTGGTTAACGCTGGTAATTGTCTCCAGCTCCTCAAATTTGGTTTCAGATTTAGCTGGTTGGATCTAATCATTCATACTCTTAGCTTATTATTATTTTGTTCGCTTCTCATTTAATAATTTTCTATATGGTGTGAAGTTCACACTATGGAGGAGCTGAAACTCACTGGGAATCATCTGAAAGGGTCACGCCCTCTCTTGACATTCTCATCCAGTTTTGATAAAGATGTTCACTGGAAACTTTTGAAGGAGATGTTAACACAGGTCGATCCCTTATGGTCTTGGTTAGTTTGGTTTATATCTCGGACTTTTTGACATCCTAACTAGGTTTTCTCCTATGTCTTTCAGGTTTTTGGAATCCCCAAGGAACACAGGAAGTCTAAACCTTACCATGACCATGTGTTTGTTTTCTCCATTGTCGATGACCATATATGGTTCCGTAATTACCAGGTTGGTTTAACATCAGCATCTTAAAGATCAACTCCTCTCATGTCATTTCAAGTTTGAAAATTTTTTGGTTTACCTAGTGAAGGTCTGTTTATATATTTATTTTGATTGCAGATATCGGTACCTCATAACGAGTCAGACAAGATTGCAAGAGGTGGTCTGGATAAAATGACCCTTGTCGAGGTCTGATTATAACCATTTGCAACAAATATTTGTGGAATTGTGATTTGATTAGTGTTGATTGAAAGAAATTTTGATGACAGGTTGGTCCAAGGTTTTGTTTAAATCCGATTAAGATTTTTGGAGGCAGCTTTGGAGGTCCAACCCTTTACGAGAACCCATTCTACGTATCTCCAAACCAGGTACTGTGTTCTTCATAATTCTATCAGATAACACATTATTGCTGATGCACCTGTAAATCATATGAATTTTTGGTCTAAGTTTTCCGTTTTTTTTTCTTTCAAATTTTGTTCCTCAGATTCGTGCGTTGGAGAAAAGAAATAAAGCTGGGAAATTTGCTAAGAAAATCAAAGCAAAAACGAGGAGAAAGATGCATGAGCTTTCAAACCCATTGGAGCCTGATGAGTTTGCAGACATGTGGAAGGATGAATGATAAAATCCGATCAAGTTTTTGTTGTTGTTGTAGAACTTCCAAATTCACAGAATCAACACACTTTTGTCTTTACTGTTCTAGACTCTTTATCGTATCAATCAAAGATGAGATTTTTTTCTCTTGCAAATTAACGAGTTCAACGAGTAAAGAGTTTATCTATGCAAGGTTAGCAAAACAAGAAGCAAAAGTAATTTTCTTTCTTTATTAATCATGTAGCATCCAAAATTCAGAGTCAACAGATTGTTGTTCTGTACTCTGTTTTATTCTCTCCATCTTATGGTCAAAAGGTGATATTTTTTGTGTTCTTTTTACTCTTGCAAATCGACGAGTTCAACGAGTCAAGGGTTAATCTATGCAAGGTTAGCAACTAGAAACAAAAGCAATTTAGTATCTTTATTGATGTAACATCAGAGGCTATTTACATAAAGTAAGTACGTTGAACAAAACGCATCAAGACAAAGAAAGAGCTCAGAAGAATCTCGATTTAGTAGGAATTAACGCGAATTAGCTAGAGAGCCCAGTTAGCCTCACTTCCTCTTCTGGGGATCCCATTGATCTTAGAACAAGCATCGACTTTGAAATTAGCTCCACAGAGAACACCTTCACTGTCAATCCTCGGCATCGCCTTCATCTCGTTAGTAGGATGTTCAAAACTCTTAAGCCCCTTCTCACTGTGAAACATACACCCTGCAATCACAATCCATCAAAAACTTTCAGATTTCACATATTCTTTTGTTTATTCTCTCTCTGTCAAAATGTTGATTCTTTTATATTCTGCTTACCAGTGGGGAAAGGAGCAAACGATTTGGCACAGCCTTGCTTTATAATCTGAAGATCATCAGACATCACAACAGATCCGTCGCCGGAAATTCCCCAGTAAAGACTCTCTCCTCCATCAGAGCTCTGAAAAACATTCAATCAAAACTTTTAAAACTCTGTAAACCAAAAAAAAAACCATTTTTTAACAAAACGAGAAAATCATATTTTTACCAGAGCAGAGAAAACAGAGGAGCTTTGGGAATCGTAGACGACGAAGGCGAAGCTTCCGTCGAGACCTTTGAGGACTTGATCGGCCGGATAAGGACCACGGTCACGGAGTGTTCGATAAGCTTCGATCACAAACATTGCCTCGTTCGAGTTTTTCCCAGTTAGTCCGTACTGTCGATTCAACGTGCAGAGATTGTTTAATCTCCCGAGGAAGATACAGTAGATCCCGTCTAGTCCACAGAACAGCCTCTGGCGAAGAGAGCCGGCGGGGCTGGCGTAAGCCAAGACGGCGGAATCGGCGAAGTTCATGGAGAAAGCGGAGTCTCCGTGGCGAGAGAGGAAGTCGGAGAGTGTTTCTCCGGGAAGTTTTGGGGTTTTGCCGGAGAAATTAGACGCCGGACTGTTGAGCTCCTCCGGTGGGTGAGCAAATGCTTTCTGAAATATTGCCAACATTTTTGTTCGATTTTTTTTTTTTTTTTTTTTCTTGTAATAAGTTTGAGAATGTTGTTTTTGTTAATTTGGGATGAGAAAAAAAAGAAGTGATGGAAGAGAGTATTTATTTACGAATGTTACACGGGATGCTGACTGTGATTTTTTAGTTTTTAGATAAGACCGGTCTGACATGCCTGACGTGTTCTTATCCGTTTCTTTTTTTAAATGATTCTATTTTTTTATCTATGTTATCTTTTTCAAAACATCCTGTAAATATCGTGAAATCCAGCGGTTTTGTTATATAAATATCTTACTATATGTTTGTAATTTAATGATAAATCTTTGCAAATTGCAATGATGTGATGATATTTTAACGTGCCATGTGTTGAAAAGTATGGATTCTTTCTTTCTTTTTCTTTTTGTCAATGTTGATAAATAAGTAGTACTTTTATGTTTTTCTATTAATAGCATCTTTTGATATTTCTTTCAAACCTTGAGGATATGATGATGATACATTGTATTTCTTTTTTTTTTTTTTAATTACAAACAATTTAATTCCTACTGTAATGAACATACTGATTTTGGTAACTAGCGTTTAATGTGTTTTGTTATTAGGCAACTAGCATTATTTTTCAATTATCTCATTTCCTCTCAAATATTGTCACCTCGCCTATAACCAAATTGATAAGGATGAAAGAGGGAAAAAACCAATTAAAATTATTCTTTTTTTTTTTTTAACATAAGTAGACGATTTGTTTCGGATCAATCTAATTTACTGTGCGATTCCAATTTATTCTATCCTACTCCAATTTCATTGTTATAACGTTATCGAATCAAATGTATTATGTCGGTAATTAATGTTGTATACACGTGAATCAATTGATACACTCATGAATCTAAAAAAAAAAAAAAAATCAAACGGATACAACAAAATCATACAAAATACACTAGCAGCATATTGCTATACCATTGGAGGTCAACAAAGTCGGTTACGAGAACGGCCACAATGAAGAAAGATCTCGGTAGGTTCTAAGCAGCCACGGAGTGAGTCGTGACCAAGCTGAGCTCTTTCGTTATCTCCAAAACCGAAAATGCGACCACCTTGAGTAACCACAATGGTGTGATACAAACCGGTGCTAACTTGAGAGACCCGGTGTGGTTTCAGGCTCTCCAACACTCTTGGCTTCAGGACTTTGTCCGAAACTCCTCTGTCCGGGAACCCAAGGCTTCCAAATCCCATCCACCCAAATCCATACAATATTCCACCTTCGACTAATACAAAGGTTTTCCTCTTTCTTGCACACACCTGTGCTCAAGAACTCTTAGAACACGCATTCATATGGCTTACACGAAAGTCGTAAAGGTAATCATTTTCTCAAACATTGAGATGGAATACATGGGGGAAGAATCTGACCTGGACAGCGAGACAGTTCTTGAGACTGACCAAAACTTGAGGAGTGATCTTGTCGTTTTCGTCTCCATGGCCTAGAGCACCGCAGTAACCTTTACCCCATGTGTATACCTAAGCGGTTAAAGAACAATTAGAACAAGGATTCTTCTGATTCTCAAAACCAAATGCAGACAGAGAGAGAGAGAGAGAGAGAGGGAGACATGGAAACAAAGAGCTTACACGGCCATTGGAATCAAGTGCCACGGCGTGTTCATCGCCTGCAGAGACACGGAGTATATGAATACCTTTTCTTTTAAAAGCCTGAATAACACGCGGCTGGAGCTCGTCCTGTTGCTCTCCATGACCAAGACAGAAGTTAGAACCAGATCCAAACGAGTAAACCGAGCCATCCTGTGTCACAGCTAAAACATAGCTCGGTCCAGTTGCAATTTGCACCACAGGGCCAATGCTTTGAAGAAGTTCAACAGCTTTGGGTACTGGTCTATCCAAGGTATCGCCATGACCAAGCTGTCCGTGTGTGTTTGATCCACATGTAAACACACGCCCTTCCCTTGATAGAAACGCAGTGAAGTGCAGCCCAGCAGCCACCTGGTACAGAAGACGAGATTAGATAAATTCAGGTAAACATAACCGATTTGTCAAGATAAGGCTGGTATGAATTTTTACCTGCTTACAAGGAGTTCCTTTTAAAGCCTCAACAAGCTTAGGCCTAAATATAGGACGGCTAGTGTCTAAGTGACCACAGCAATGCGACGAATTATCCCCACATGTGAGAACCTGTGCCAGATTTTCAAACAGATAACTGAGTATGGCAAGCAAAAAATATACTCAATAAGATAAGTATTTTTGTATAGAAACAGAGGCTACCGACCTCTCCAGATTGCAATACGAAAGCAGAATGGTTCTGTGTGGCTGAGACTTGAGCCACTTGAGCAGAGAAAGGGAACCCTATAGGCGTAAATGCAACGCATTGAGTAGTTTCTGGGCCATGAGCAAGAACACCGGACAAACTTGAACCACAAGAGTAAACCTTTGAGTTGTTGATTAGCAACGTGTGATACCTTCCTGTTGTAATTTGCATCTGCAGAAAGAATGAAAGAAATGCATTTGTGACTTCTAAACTAAATCAATCCTGGAGTTCCCTATACCAAGAAATCGCCATAAAGTTCAGAGCTATGTATTCCTAATACTTCGACACCTTCATTATATTAGTTCCTCAACTTCACTGAGCTACCTAAGACTACTTAGTACTTGGTAAATGAAAAATTCACAGAGAAAAGAAATGAAATCATACATTGCCTGCAGAGGTTTCAACCATATCTGATGATTGCTCAACTGACTGCAAGAACCTCAAGAGCCGCTTCCAGTTTCCCTCACAATTCGCAAAGAGCTCTTTCTGTGTAGTCAAACCCATTCCCACATAGACAGGATGCACAGAGCAAAGCTGAGACGCTGCGTAATCAGCTAGTGATCTGAATTTCAAAGGGGAAAAACCATAGCTCCCTCCGAAAACCTTCGAGGTCAATTCCAGGCTGAGTAGATCAACCGCATTAAGCCGTCCAGAGGTCAACACCTCCAAGATCAAATGAGAAGGAAGATCCTCGAACGAAATCAACCAGTTTCTCTCAGCCATTTTCTTCCTTCCTGATTCTAAGAACAGAGTTTCAAACGACCTAATCGAACGTGAAAAGACGAGAGTTTTTGAGAGGGTGAAAGGAAGAAAGGTTCAAGCTTTTAGAATTTGCGAACGAGGAAGAACAAAAGGTCAGATTTTTAGACGAAATCTAGAGCAGTTGAAGTAGCGTATGAAGAAGACGTTCGATGGTAGAAAGAGATAGGAAATCGAATATGAAAACGGAGCTTTAGATGAGAATTTCGCAGCTGGTTTATTCGAAGATCGAAAACTAATCATGAGAAGGCTCAGATCGGAAGAATCAATCCACCGAACACACTAGTTTCTGGAAGATTTACCTGTTACACCCAAAAACAGAGAAATCCGCAATCAATCAACCAAACAAACCCAAATTATCATCTACCAACACGAAACGGAGAAAAATTCGATCGAATACCGATTATAGGGTTCAAAGCTAGTAATCGAAAGGAACAGAAGAAGAATTGAATGCGCGATAGCTAATAGATGATTACCTGGAAAGCAAAAGCTCTTGACTTTTTCGGTGCGGAAAAATCCACCGAAACTTCCCCACTAAACAAATGAAACCAAAAGTCTAAAAAGAGCTTTTATATGAAAGAAAAAAATAAAACAGTGAGAGACGTGTGAAGAGCAATAGAAAAATAGGGGGAAATCAATATCTTGCTTCTTAAGCTTCTTTTTGTGGCGATTCTTCCTCTCTGTCATTAGAGAGTTTTGCAGAATCTTTTGAAGCTGAGTCGTGTTGACTCTGTTTTTTTGCTTGGCTGTAGTGTATTTATCTATTTTTCTGCTCGACCCTGTCATTTTTATATTTTTTTAAATTTCAAAATAAGTTTATTTTATGGAGCACAATTAACACAAAAAGTAAAACATAATGTAGATTCACGACCTGTAAATTCACGGGATAAAAAGCTTTCGAAATGACATGTTTACGATTTCAAGCAGTGTCATCTTCAACTGGTTCCTTTGTTTTTGTAAATCTTTAAATAATTTTTAGGTTGTAAATTTACAAATTGTAATGGGCCTTTAGATAAAATAATGGGCTTTATTTGAGATGGGCCCAGATATGCTTCGTGCGCGTATATAGTATTCTTCACGTGTGAAGCGCAATTTTTCACGGAGTAATAGCGAAGAAGAAGCAGAACCAATTTGACGCAAAACTTCACGAATCCTCTTCTTCCTTCCGCCACTTCCTCTGATTCGAGCTTAATTGCCTCACTTTGAGTAATCGTAATTGCTCGACAGATTCAAGTGAGCCATTCTCGACATAAGTTTATGTTTGTTTTGCAGTGTGAGATTTAATAAATTAAAATTTTATTAGAGCTAATCGTGATCAGAAAGTGAACGAAGAGAGAGAGAGCGTTAGAAAGTTTCAGGATTTATAAAGTTGCTAGTTTTTGTTTCAGTTCCTTCCTGTCCATATGTATGTTAGGGTTCTTCTCCCCGGAAATTTTTTTTTTTTTTGGTTTTATCAGATTGAGTCAGGAGAGAGAGAGAGAGAGATGATGAATGATGAATCAGTGAAGCAGATCACTAAAGCAGAGGCCGAATATGTTCTGATGGATCTTGGCGATGTTGCGAGGCACATTGACATTCCATCAAACGCTTCATATATTTTATCAGTTAACTCTCAGCTTTTTTTTCTTTCTTTTTCTTTTTGATCGGATGAAGCTTTTGTATAGGTTTTATGGTCTAAGTTTCGTTTTGTTTATTCTTTCTCAGGGAATGGATACTTTGAATCCGGTATTGACCATTGATGGGAAATTCAAGCTGGTAAGTCTAATTTGTAACTAAATTTACAAATTCAGTTACTCTCTGCTTAAAACATTCTTAATCGTTTGAGATTTGATCTCTTCATAAAGGTTGGAGAATATACAGAGACAATTGGTACATGCCTTGCTTTCTCTGAAAAGGGTGAGTTTCACTTTTACTCCTCCTTTGATGCCAAACTTCGAACATTATCTTATTGCTCCACCTTGTTGCCTCCAAAGAAACATTGTATTGAATATTTGATCACGTCTAGTCCCTTTCAATATCATTGCTCTGGTTTTTTCTTTTTTCTTTTTGCAGAAGTTTCAGTGGGTGAAAACCAGAAGCCGCAGAAGATTACCGAGACTGTTGGCAAACTCCACAAGATTCTTAAGTTTCGGTTAGCAGCATTCGATAACGAGGATGGAGAAACAAAGGCAACAAATTCACTCAAAGATTCTTCTGTTGAAGTCTTTGGAGACCAGAGTTTGTAGTCTATATGACACAAAGAACTGGTACTGGATTACACAGCAACAAAATCAAAATCTTTCACACAAAGGAGACAAGCAAGCACACTCGTTTTTCATCTCAAGAATAATTAAATCTCTTCCGGGATATATAATCTGGTGTTTACTTCAGACAAATGTTGCAAACATCAAAGATATGTTGATGTTAATGTTGTTGAATCTACTGATCTGGAAGTTTATCTTTCAGGTAGTTCAAGACTGCTTTTGTTCCTCTTTCTAGAATTGGCCTCCTGATGCTGTTTTAAGAATGTTTGGTAAAAAAAAAGTCAATCAGTCCGGAAAGTTATTCTGTTTATGAATGGTGAGTTTCTGTGTTTAATTGGAGAAAAATAAAAATACCTTCTTAATGGGTTCCCCTCAAGCCGTAAAACCTCAAGTGTTGGTTCAAGTAGACCCTAAAAAACAACACCAGGACTTGTTACCACACATTAATGCATCTCGACGTTTCAGTAAAAGAAAGGCAACAGACTTACCAGTTCTGGTGGAAGACTTGAAATGTTGTTGTTGGATAAGTCCAGATGTTTGAGTGAAGTCATGTTTTTGACATCCTGCTTAGTAAACACAGATATGTCAAAAACAGAGCCAATGCAATGATATTATAAGAAGACTTTGGTTATAATTAGCTGATTGATGCAGGTTCCATCATATTCAAACCACAGATTCAACATTCAGCAATATACCTTGGGAATCGATTGAAGTGAATTCTGGCTCAAGTCAAGGATAAGCAGATTAGCTAAGTTGAGGATATCTTCAGGGACTTCAGGCAGCTGGACTCGGCTGTCAAGTGAGGCATAATCTCAAACTAGAGAATGATAAGATGGGCAGTAAATAATACAAGGTATTATAACCAACCTCAAATAAAGCTCCTGTAATTGTGGCAAGTGGGAAAACTTGGGATGCTCTCTGATGCCCAAGGAAGCTGCATTACCACTTAGATCGAGAATCTGAAGCCCAGAGACTGCTTGAAACCCATCCACTGGGATCTTACGAGCAAATAAAAAAAAAGGTGATGGATTAGTCTTCTTGATGGAAGCTATAACCAACTCTTTAAATCTTCTTCTCTTCAAAACATCACCATACCTGCTTCAGAGGGTTATTATCCAACTTCAAGCACACAAGACCGGGAACTGAATTCAAGATTGCACTGGGCCACTCTTTAATCTTGTTCCTTGACAGAATTAGAGTCTGCAATATACAAATTTAAATCTTTAACAACCACGACATATTTGCAAACGCACATGTTTTATCTTCTTATATAGAAATAGTGTTTATGGAAAACCCATTTACCTGAAGGGAAACAGATGAAGAAAGTTGAGCAGGCAATTCCTCGATAGAGTTCTTCGAAAGATTAACTTTCGTGATTTCACCAGATTCCCAAACTTCTGAAGGGACAACACTCAAGTTGAGACCTTCCAAAGAAAGTTCCTGAGTTTTGTGCAATCAATTTTAGAGCATAAATTTCTGTTCTATTAAGAACATGGAACTTTTAATAGGATGGTGCTCAGATCTGTGATTTCACGTACCTTTGAAGATATGGACATACGAGCTGCTGAAGCGATCAAATTTTCCTTTGTCGGAGTGCTTGCACTAGTTTCTATAAATGGAAACTTTTTACAGTTAGCCATAACCACTTAGATGAGAGAGAAGGATTTTGGACCAAAATACCTTCACTATTAGAAAGGCGGCTCCTAAGATACTTCAATAGAGCAGCTGTAGGACCATTTACTAATGAGCTGAATAGCAAAAAGAGAAGAGAAATGTTTGCCTCTTAAAATAGCAATCAAACTAAGACCACGTAATAAAGAAACCAGACAGAGAGATAGAGTAAAAAATACCTTCTAAGGGTTCTCAAAGGATTGCCAACAAGCACAAGCTTTCTCAGGGTAGTCATGTTGCCTAGAAATGACGAAGATGACATGAAGCTTTATGCTAATAGCTAATTAGAACCAAGTTACTGTTTCCTAGTAATAGTAATACCTAGCTCAGGATGCAATCCTGTCAATGAATTATTTGAAAGATCAAGATACGAGAGCTTCAATTTACATCCCCCAACTGGAAATTCCTTGAGCTGAAAATTAGGAGAAAGCACACGGGTGTAGGCCATTAATTAGAACCAAGTGATTGTCACTAATAGGTTAAGAGAATATTGAACGTCAGTAAACAATATCCATCAACGAAATGTGCGCAATACCTGATTTGAACGAAGATCCAATGTTCCTAGACGTGATAAATCTCCAATCTCTGCTGGTAATGTTGATAGTGAGTTAATTCTGGAATAAGGTACACAAAGAAGAATGTCAGTAGTGAAAGTCTCTAACTAGATACCATGTAGGACCAAACAATCTTTTGGAATAAACAGTAGTAGAGAATGACCCCAAATAGAGTTCCGCAAGAGAGGAGCAACCGCCTATGGATGGTGGAATAGACGAGATTTCTGCAGGAATAGAATACAAATGCAATTAAGCAACTACATAGAAGGAATAAGATTGATATTACTGAAACAAAAGAACAGCACAGACATTATCATCTCAGTTTATACTTACTGTTCTGATGAAGGTCAAGGCGGATAAGACGCGAAAGGCTTCCGATGTTTTGTGGCAGACCACCCAACATATTCTTAGCTGCAGAGTTTAAATAGATTAATGTGTGTCCCAGAATCTTTCAATATGTAATAAACACACACACACACACACACAAACAAAAAAAAAACTGAATATCATTACATGCATTAAGTTCTGTAAGCATGGTCCATGAAGCGATATGCCTCTCAGAGAGAATTGTGAGCTTGTTTCCCTGCAAACAGGCATAAATTGCATCGGTAAATTATCTTTCTCTACCCAAACATAGCCTTGAAAACCATTTCCTTCTCTTTCTTCCAGACAGGCCATACTGCACTTGGAAGACAACGAAAGAGGAAAAAAGAAATGCTAAGTAGCCACTATAGTCTCGAGGAAGAAATCAACACCAATGTCTCATACCTCAACATCCAATTTAGATAATTTCGGACAGTTCGCCATGCCTTCGGGCAAGCTGGAAATTTGGTTATTTGAGGCCTGTGGATAACAATAAGCACAATCATTGCCATAGGAAATATCAGAGAGAAGTAAAAGAAATTGATCCAGAAGCAACATAGAACAACCTTCAAATCAGATAAGTCTACACATCTTTCGAGAGATTCTGGCAGTTCTTTAAGCCGATTGCTTGAGCAGTCGAGCCTGAAGCGATCACAAGGAGTTTAGACAATTATGCACTGTGGGGGTTTAATGAGTCAAATGCCTTAATCAAAGTCAAACCACAGAATTTTATGTCAGGATGGAGATTAACCTACTTGACAAGAGAAGTTGCTGAACCAATTTGCTCAGGAATTTCTGATATCGAGTTAAAGGACACATCCAACGACTTCATTGCAGTAAGCCTAGGAATGAGTTAAGAGAACAAACGTTTGAACATTATCAAGCTGAAGACAATGGAAGCTAGCAACAAAGATCCAGAAACACTCACTCCCCAATCGCAGCTGGAAGTCCAGACAATTTATTGTGACTGACATTTAGCACAACCAAACATGAAAGGTTCTTAAGATCTTCTCTTAAAACCTCGATGTCGTTATGCGCCAAAATCAACTTCTGCAAATCAACCGCCTGCAAGATGGGAAAATTTAAAACATTCAAGAAATTTGATCACAGAACAACAATGCATTAGAAATGGATTCGATCTTATCACCTCCCACCAGTTTTCTCCTTCGCCGGTCGTTTCCAGGCATTGATAAACCTCTGTAGGTACATCCCTGAGAATTTTCAACCCCAAATCAATAAACAGTGGTGGAAGCAAAAGACTTTGCAGCTCATATACAAAGGGATCTCGTGAGCACAAATCGATACAAAAATCTGTTTTTCTAAGCAAAATGATCAAAACCTTTTCAAAAGTGAGAAATTCACAAGCAAAAAAAAGAAAAATAAATCATCTACTGGAGATGCATCACATACACACGCCAAACCAACAACTTGACCGAGTCCCGATGAAAATATGATTTTCACATTCTAACAAATTTCGAAAACAAAAAAATAGAAAAACTTTCCAGATTCCACGGTGGCTTTCCACATTCAACGGCTTTCCAGATTCGGAAATCCAAAGCAAAAGGAAAACAAAATGGATCTTACCGGAGAGAGCGATTGGAAAGGTTGAGCGAACCGGATGTTCGAGCGGCCTTCAGAATCCGATCCATTAGCACACTCTCTCACTTAGTCATTCTTCTTGTTTTTCGTCTCCGTCGCTAATCTTTGTGATCGGAGAAGGAAATGTTGTGTTATTACAGTACCACTATCGTTTCGGAATTTTTAAAGAAACAAAATTCACTCCCTAATAATCTATTTTCATTTAATAATTCTTTTCTATTTTTTTTTTTTTAATTTGTGGGCCGGCAATAAAACCAGAGCGGCAATCAAAACAAAAGTTGTTTTCTGTATACGTTAATTTCTATAATGTAATATGTAGCATCTTAGAGTATGGTGAGGTGGTCTTAGCATCAACAAAAGTTGATCTCCAAGCCATCGACTACGTCATTCAATTCTGACAAAGTATGGTGAGGAAATGTCTGACGACTCTATTTTAGAGTGTTGTCAAAACAACTCAAGTAGCGAAAAATAGAAATAAGATATTAATGAAAAGCATATAATTTGTAGATTGTGTACGTAAGCGTATACCTATAACTCAAATTGCATGTCAAAGTGTATGTGTATTAAATAAAAAGCATAAAGAGTCCTTATTGTAATGGAATTCAATAGAGATTTGAGACGTTTTATAAAAAAGCCTGGACAAACCAAGACGTTTTATAATATGGAATTCAACATTCTCTATATTTTGGTAAACAATCTGAGATCATAATTCATACATATTATGATCGGAGATGGAAATGTTATTACAGCACCACTATCGTTTCAGAAAGTTTTCATCAGAATACAGCTTAGCTGGATTTGTGGGCTTGGCCTATTCAAACTCATTTGTCAAATATACACACATGGGAATGCAAAAACAGCACCAGTTGCCTAATTCTTTACTCAATCTTGTCTGCAGCAAATGAGCAGTATTTCTTAAGCAAATTTCCCTTATTAAAACTTTATTTAGGTAACCTTGGGTTATTCAACTTAATGTGAAGCTTTTTATCAAACCAAAATATATCTCATTATGAGTGAGTTATTAGATTTTGCGTTTCCATGGACACTGAAAGCTTAGATGTGCATCTCATTTGAAGTTGGTGCAAGTGCTTCGGTCATGGCTCCTTTGTCTGACATGTGCTTGTCTTGTCCTGAAGTGAAATGTGGACAATGGGGACAGCTTGGTGGTTGGTAAGTAGGTGGGTGGTAATATGGTGCGCTTGGAGTGCAGCCACCGGTTTGGCAGCCAGTACCATAGCCAGGAACCGTGACACCTGGAATCACAAAACCGGGAATCTGTGTGCCTGGAACCACTATGGGAGGGATTGTTGTGCCTGGGACAACTACACTGGGTCCACCACTTGAGCCACGTCCTATACCGATACCAATCCCTTCGCCTGAACCACTACCTTGTCCAATGCCTTCACCAAATCCGCTACCTGGAGCTCCCGTGACAGGACCGCAATTAGGTTGGCCAGACCCGGATCCTATCCCTTCTCCAATGCCAACACCTGAACCACCACCAGCGCCAATTCCTTCTCCAAAGCCACTGCCTCCACCGGAGCCAATTCCTTCTCCAAAGCCACTGCCTCCACTAGAGCCAACACCTTCTCCAAAGCCACTGCCTCCACTGCCATAACCAATGCCATAGCCAAAACCATTGCCACTTCCATATCCCCGACCTTCACCATAACCCATAGGCTTAACTGTGTGGTCAGGATCTTCTACTTCACTCGCCATGGTCGGCAGTTTATGCATAAGATCACCCGATATGGACTGCACTTTATGATCAGGCTTCTCTTTGTGATCAGGCTTGACTTTGTGATCAGGCTTTACTTTGTGAACAGGCTTTACTTTGTGATCAGGTTCTTCTGGTTCACTCCACAGAGATTGCAGTTTATGATCAGGCTTGACTTTGTGCTCAGGCTCTTCTGGTTCACTCGACATGGACTGCAGCTTCTGGCCAAGCTTGACTTTGTAATCAGGTTCTTCTGGTTCACTCCACATAGCTTGCAGTTTATGGTCAGACTTGACTTTGTGCTCAGGCTCTACATCGAACAACTCATGACTTTGCTGGCTCAAACTAACCATCCCAGGCTTCACTTGATGGTTTAGATCTAGCTTCCTTGGCTCCATCATAGGGATATCCTTAAGAATCCTGCGTGCGAAAGTTGAACTGAAGAAGCATAGTAAGAGGAGGAACCCAAAGCATTTACCTTGGTGTCCCTGACCCATTCTTTTTTTGTCTTGCTAGGAAATAAGTTTGATCCTGCTGTACATTTTCGAAAAAGAACCCCTCATGGTTTTATAGGAGGTGAGACTTATACCTAAAAGAACACACATCCCGTAAACGCAAAATGCCTCAGCTGAAAACACGCATGAGAAAATTGATTCACAAACATGGCATGACAGAGCAAAAGTTAAGAGGCTTTTTCGATAACACAAAATGTATGTTAAGCAACTTCAACTCTTCAAGTTTCGAAAACCGTTTTAGGAGATTATTTGCCAACAAGAAACTACATCAACACAATCTTTGGGAACAAGATGTTATCATATATAAAAGAAAAGAAGCTCAACTGATGACAACATCTGAGCTCTTGGGTCGGGGGAGATTCAGACACTATCACCATCACCTTGTGATTCTGCAGCTCTCAAACCTTCAGCCAAAGCACGTGCCCTGTTCTGAGTTTGTCTTTCTACGGCAACCATGTATAAACCTAAAACAATCATATGGTTAAAGAAGTTGTCTCTCAGAGAAAGAAAGCTCTTGAATTTGAAACTAATCCAATCTTTTAAGATCATACCGATCGCACTTCCAATTGCACAGCCCCATAGAATCCTCATTGACCATTTATCGCTGATTATTCCTCTCGACCCCATACTTTCTCTGCAATAACGCAAAATTCATGATTGCAAAACAGCAAAGGAACAGTTTTGAGCTGCGTCTGCGTTTAATGGGCAAACACTCGGGTCCTGAAAGATTCGGAAATTTTACAAACAACAACGCTATGCCTATATCTACACTCGTAAATGAAGAAATTAAGAGGAGGAACCAAATTCTTGGGATTGCTCGAAACGTAGATCCAGGAACTACTTAGATGAGTATTAGGAGAGTGAGCTTACCAGAAATTCGTCGGCGAACGCAGAAGACAAATAATGAGTGAAATTGACGGTGTGAGGAGGAAGAAGAAACGAGGACGGAAAATGAAACAAAAGGCTACTTTGTAATTACAAAACAAGGAGTGCTATTTTGATAAGACTACAACTATGGAGGATTACTAGTACACAAATAAATATAACATAAAGGACTGCATTACATATTTCTATCTCCTCAAAACTTTAGAAATCCTTTTTTTTTTTCCTTTTGATTTTTCTCAATAATAATATCGCACATGTAAATGATCTTTATGACTCAGATTGATTTTTTTTTTTTCAATTTGGCTCTTCGATTTTCAACTTCAACTTTTTCTAGTTTTTTTTAATCTTTGGTTTGAGCCGTTTGACGATGTTTTTTTTTTCTTTCGGGAGAAATTAAATGAACAAAAAATCGAGAAAAATACTGTATTAAATGTTTGTTAAGTTTCCAAAGAAATAAAAAAATTGTTTGGTAAATTGTGGAGTCTATAAAACCTTCACACTCATGCACCAAAGACATCTCCGTTCTTAACTGAGAAGTTTATCGTCGCCAGCAAATTCTCTCTTCTTCTTCTCCGGTGGATTTTACTAGCTTACCATCTTTCGAAAATCAATAGCAATTCCCCGATTCAGATTCTCGATTGGATAGCCCTCTCCTTTCTCTCCACCGTCTCCGGCGTCTTTTCGCCGCGGCTAAAACCTTCCCCCGACTACATCGATTTTCTGCGTTTTCGGTAAGACTACTCTTACATTTTACATCTTACATTGCCGATTACTGGGAAATGGATTTCTCTGCGGTCTCGAAGCGAGTTCCGATTGCTTTTCAATCTTCATATATCAAAGATTCTTTATTCTTTTCTTCTTCTTTACTTGTTTCGCTCAAGACTTCACATTTCTTTGCTTGGTTCTATGCGTTTCAATTTCGTCTATTTGCGCCGTTATTGTTGATAACGAGTTAGAATTGTGTCCTCAAATTCATCTCTTTTGTCACTGTGCCATTGATTTGCTTCACTTGTATTACATTGGAAGTGAAAAACAAAAACAAAGAGAGATAATTGATTGGCTTGCGTAGAGGTAAATGTGGTGTTCGCCATTTTAATTGCCTTCTCACGTCGGAGAAATTATGCCTGCCAGGTGTTTGTTCAATGCTCGTTTTGATTGTGTTTATACTGGATAGACAACATAGATTTTGAACCGAATCTATGTTGAAAATATTGTCTTTAATGGGGCACCATGTTCTGCTTCAGTTCCCAGTCAAAGACGGTTATTAGGAAGATGATGGAAGCTTGTTTCTTTGCGGCTTCAAATGCATTTCATTTTGGTTGTAGTGTAGGGAACATTTTGATTCCGCATTCTGCATTTGTAGCATCACTATCGATGTTTATATTGGACTGCTTCTATATTAACCGACGCCATTCGTTTTGCATTGTGAATTTAGAAGGAGAAAATGTCGATGATCGCAAGCTCGTCTTCGCACAGTGATCCAGATTCAAGAAGCTTGCAAGTGCTTCTTGACGCTTTTGGTTCTCGTTTTTCTCTTGATGACATAGCTGCTGCTTACTGCCAAGCAAGCCAGAATGTCGATGTGGCTGGTGAGATTCTCGTTGCGATGACAGAAAAGACGACTCAAAGTGACCAAGTCAAGACGAATGGAGCAGCCTCAGAACCAACGCATGTTCCCAAGGAAGTTCGACCACAAGAACATAACAAAGCCAAAGTATGGAGGTCGAAAAAAAATTCCGTCTCAGTTGGTACTGTTTCAAGTGTTATCGGTAAGGAGTATGCTAGAACCAGGCCTATATCAAATGCTCCCCGAGAAGCAACTAAACCGATGAAGATAGACTCGAAGGACATTCCAGAAACTGAGATATGGAGTGAAAAAATGCCAGAATGCAACAAGGCAAACATAAGCAGGGCTCCAACTGATGTTGAGGAATTTATTGTTAAGATGCTCGGAGAAGGCTTTGAAGCTAGCCCAGAGGTCATTCACCAGATTCTTGGTAAGCATTCTCCACTTTTTTCCCTTGCATATGCTTGACATCTTTTTTCTTCTTTAATAAGGTTTATCTGCTTTCCACCAATCTATCAGGCGTATGCGGATATGATGTGAAGAAGGTAAGCAAGTACCCTTAGCTCTGAATATAATAGTTATGTATTTTTTGTTTCTTTAATAACATCTCGCTTTTGGATATGCCTTCTTTGTCTTCTTTTTAAAAATATATAATATGTTTTACCTTTTCTTGGCCGAATTATATTATATTCTCCAACACCTTGAAGCTCATCAGGATGACCACCAGCCTAATCAATTTTTATTTCAGCTACTTTGGAAAATTATTTACAATTATACCCTTTAGCCACTTTGACACCTTTTTCTGTGACTTAATATTATTTGCTGACTAAAGTTCGAGATAAAGTTGACTTTTGATTCCACCCATCTCCTCTAATTTTGTTCACTTGATTGTAATTGGTATCTCTATAGTTCTTGGCATATGGCTCCTGTGAGAATTTCATAGATTGCTTGTATCTTTCTTCTTTTGCCATCCAATTTATATTCTTAATTAATTTATATTCTTAATTATATTGCAGAGTACGGAGAAACTGCTTGACTTGTCTGATACTAAGAAGTATGCTGATGTTGGAATTTCCAATGATGCTGTGAGCTTTTGTTATGACTTCAGTTTGGTCGTTGTTAATGTTATAGAATAACCTCTTCTTCTAAATCTGACTCGGGTTGGTTACTTTGTTTGTTGCCTTTTTCTTAAAGATGTCAAAAGTTGATCCTCAAAGACAGGGATCTACGTCCGGCAACCAAGTGGAACTGCAAAAGTTTTCTCAGAGGTACGCTTTTTCTAGTCAATCTTCGTACAAAATCCTTCTCCTGGCAATCTTTTCGATCCTTTTACTCTTCAAATTTCTCTCTGTGATGATGCAGTGATGGAGCAAGAACCTTAACAGGTTCACAGGAAGGAGGCAAGAACAATACTGGTCTCGAAAAGGAAGTTTTAGAAGCTTTGTTCTCAGGTTCGGAAAGATATGAGGAAATACCAAAAATAACTCGACGGTTTGGAGAAAGGAGAGCAAGAGTTCCTGGTCGTCCTGTTTTTAAACCTCCGGAAGACCCTTTCGAAGAGACAGTGGTTACTGTGAAAGTATCGTCACATACACCTAAAGAAGGTAACAGTGTCATAGTCTTACATGTACGTTTATTTGAGTTTGTTCTCGTATTTCTTAAAGTTATGCTGAAGTTTCTATGTTACTCCTTTGATAGATGAAGATGAAGAAGATGAATATAAGGCACATCGTAAAGCAGTACACGAGTATTTGCAGGAGATGAAAGAATATTACGGAGCTGTAAGTCTGTTTTTGAGATATTGAGGATTCATTTACCCGATACACCGTTATCTTTTTTATTATGGCTATGTGTGATGGTTGCATAACTAAAACCTCCTCCTCTTTGACAGGCTGTAGAAGCATTCTCCAAAGGGGAAACCGAGCGAGCACACAGACTCGTGGAGAAGGTACAATTTGGAAAGAAATTTTTGGTTGAAAGTGATCAATGTCTGTATTGTGTTCTATATAAATAACTATTTGATATCTTCCCCAATACATAGGGGCACGTTTTCAGACGAAAAGCTCGAGAAGCAGATGACATATCCATGGCAAAGGTGTTTGAAGTCAAGTCAGTTAATTCACAACCATTTCTGTTCAATCTTGTACTGTGTTTTTCTGCTATATACTCCATTGGCAAAAAGAGTTGAGAAAATTCAAAACCATGCTTATAGGAAAGACGATGATTTGACTTACAAGGAAGACGAGTTAGTGACAGTGAATGTGAACGAACACGAACCAAGGGAAGCTCTTCGTCTTCTCAAGCTCCAATTTAAGAACTTCTCCGGCATTCCATGTACGGGTTTAAATCCCTCTCTAAACCTTTTTTTTGTTCTAACGGAAATGAAGAATCTAATCTCTTTGTATTCTATTCATGATTTAGCTATCAAGTACCTCAGAGTCAAATTGGGTGACAACAAGGAAGATTCCAAATGCAAACGAAAGGTAACTATCTATACTCATCTAACTTCTTCTTCTTCTGTGAATAGAAACTTGAAATGCTTCGGTTTACTTTTTTTTCTTAGCATACTGCAATTGCAAAGCTGCTGGAGGGAGAATCCATTGCATGGTCTGAAGAAAATAATGGCCTCGTGATGATGATTCGAGTTGATGTTATTGACCCTAAGAAATTGAGTTTTGCCAAGAAATAAAAACACACCATTGGTTGAAACCCTTTTGCTTCATTCTATTGAAAAATTGACTGTACTGTTTGAAACAGTCTGATTCGGTATGTACCCAAACAAAGAGGCATGTTGGCAGAAATATAATTTTTGGTTTCGGAATCGAAGAATCATCAAGCCATCTGACATTACAATATGCTTAGAATGTTTTGAGGGATAAAAGATTCCATTTTTTTTAAAACCATATAAACCGGCCAAAGAAAGAAGAAACAAAACTTATACAGTATGGATCTATCAGTGCGTAAGTCTCTGAACCTCTTCATCTTGATTGCTATCTAAAGTTTCAAGCAGAAGAGACGGCGCATGCTGAGCATTCCCTTGATTCTCCTCTGAATCTTGACAGAAGGAGAGAATGATTGTGTCTATCGACATCTCCACCACCGCAAAGAAAAGTGTGGCCACAATATACCCCAAAGCCCAACATGCCTGTGCACAGAGAGAGAGAGAGAGAGAGAGTCAAAATCAAATGTATCCAAGCTCAAAAACACCATCTTACTTTGTATATAGACAACGAGTCTTGAGGGAAAAGAGAAGTGTTTTTTTTTTACCAAAACGGGTAATAGCGGGGACGAGACTTTGTTGTGAGAAGAACGATACTTGTGCGAATCCAACATCAGAAAGCCAAAGAGAGCACTGAAGAGACTCACACAAAGCTTCCCTAGAAACAATATAACATCTCCTATTACATTAACCTTGCCTATCCTCATAATGTTGTTCATGATCAGCTCTGTCGCGATTGCAGACGATTTGCAGAAGCTTTTCCCTGTTATAGCAATCTGCAAAGACACCGAACGATCAAGAAATGGTTAAAGAAATGGATATCTTTTGGACCAAACAGAGAAGATCTTGCTGTTACCATTATGTAGGCATTGCGGTTCACAGACTTGATGGTCCACTCAACGCTCTTGAGACAGCCACGTGAAGTGTAATGGCCCATTCTCCAAAACCAGTGATCAGGTGTGGTCCCGCTTACTTTTGTTCTACGACGAATCGCTTCGAGAATAAACCGAACAGACTCCACAAAAGAGACAATGAGAGAACCAAGAGCCACGGATCCTAGGTTGTAGCGTGCAAGCCGCTTCATTGACGCGAAAACAGGAAGAAAAGGTATCTCTGGCTGCTCTGGCTGCATTGTTTAGCCGTAAAATCCCAATCAGTATGTTAATAACAAATGGACAGTTTCATACACTCAGAAATGCAAGCTTACCGATGCTTCCCCTTGAGTCCAATAATAAGAAGCTACAGAGCCAGCAATCACTGTCGCTGAAGATGCAACGAAGAACTGTGTGGCCCAATAGCAACCAAACAGATGGAAGAATATAGCAATGGTGATGTGGGGAGTGTAACGTATGCTGTAACCGCAACAATGGTCACAGTTCACTTTCTTTAACACGAGATCGTAGGCGCAACAGTTAGTGTTATTGCAGTTGTTCTGAACAACTTGACCAGAGCTGAATAGATAGAGAGCCGCGGATAACCAGAACATATAGAATATGGCGAGCATCGCGTATGGTATAGTCGGGAAAATTATCAGCGCTTGCACTTCTCCTATTACTTTAGCAGCTACCTGGATTTTCACAAGTATAAACAACAAAATGACATTTCTAGCAAAAGCCAAACTGGTAACACAAGTATACTTGGAAACCAATATTCACCTTGAGGACTGATGTTGCCATAAGAATTCGGCGGATGATGGCGATAGAAGTGAGGATAGCAACAGCTGAGATAAAGGTCATCAGAATAGCGACTCCACGGACATGAGTCAGCTCCTGGAGGAACAAACAATGAAAGAGGCCTTGAACTTTGGGAATAGACTCTCATTTAGTGAACTTGAAAGTTGAAAGTAACATAACGTAGAAAATGTTAACTTACTCGACCATACACATGAAAGTATGGGTCATGCTCACCGATAATAGGTGTTACAGCATCATTCCCAATCCATCCAGCTACAAGGAAATAAAGATGGAATCAGCATATAGTGATTCCATATGACTTGAAACACAAAGAAAGACAGTGGAGATTTGATTTTCTTTAAACCAACCTTTTAAGTAATAGAAGATCGTCACCGATATTAAAAGCATGTTGAAAAGGACAACAGTTATCCAGGGCATGGCGGCAACAAAATGCCGAATCAGGAAAAGCCAAACAAGGGATAGAAACAGCGGGACAAGGCCTCCACAAACAATCAATACTGGCCATGACTTGCCAATATCAGCCACGTAACGCTGCGATTTACAACCAACAAACGCTTAAAACTTTCTTCAAAATCATCAATTTTTTTCCAAGAACAAGTTGAGAGTAGAGTTTATATGTCAAGAGAGAAGAAGGTCATTCTCTAACCTTTAGAACTGAGGCCCGAGAATTCAACGACCTTCGAATAGATTTGTCTATAATCATGTCCTCTTGAATATTCACACCACCCATCTGCTGCCAGTGGCGCAGTGATGAATTTGAAGCACGAGCAATGTATTGGCAGCTCCAATAGACTACATAATCAAAGAAAAAATCTTGTTACAAACCGGTAAGAGAAAGAGAAAAACAAAAGAGATAAAGAGAGACTAAGCTTGTATGCATACATAATGCACTCTTACCATTCACACTAGGGAATATTACAGGGTAACAAGGACCCTGAAGCTGAAGAGATGAATTCCTCATTTCTGGAGTAAGAAACTCAAAGTAATCGTAATTCCTGTCGATCCAATCATTCATCTTGAGACGAATCTCGCCGTCTGGATAGTCACAGACCCAGTTGAGAGTATCATCTGAAGGTGCAGGGCAATCCAAGAGACAAATAGTCCTAGCATTAGCCAATTTGAGCTCCCCATCTTTCAAACCACTTTCATAAACTTGGTTAGGGTTTAACCAATATCTAAGCTCAAGTTGAGTAAGGTCACGGTGATGATGCTTGCTACCACACACATTCCCTTCATAGTCCAATCCATATGTGAGTCTGCAAAAATAAAGTCATAACCACTCATGAGTTAAGGTTAACAGAGCAGTATTCACGGAACAGTCAGCGGAAATGGATACTGAAGAAACTTTTTTACAATCAAGTTTATGCATTTACAAATATTTCCTAAAGAACGGCAAGAAGAAGAAAAATATCTACTTTACCCCACAAATAGTACTAAAAAGATACAAACTTTGGCATATAATAAAAGGCAAAATCTGCTGAGATTAGCTAAACAAGGAGGAAGAATTGAAAACCCAATTTAAGATTTTAGGAAGAAACAGACGAAGGAAATGACGAAGCTTTGTCCAAAGAGATTTCGAGCAAAATCCATGGAATCTTTACCTTAATGGGTTTCCCTGGTTGAAACCAAAGCTGGAATTAACAATCATTGAAATCCAAAAGGCAATGAAGATGACGAGAAACGTAATATCTCTGCACTTTCTGTTGTGCTTGATGATCCCATCATTTGGAGCACTCCCATCACTTGAAGTGTATCTTCCAATCACAGCTCCCAAAGGTCCCCTCATCTATAACACAGCTTTGTCTCTTCACTGTGTGAATAAAAAAAAATGAAGTCGAGAGCAAAAAAAAAGAAAGGAATTTCAGTGAAAACAACACAGAGAGACCTTTACTAAAGGAAGAGGGTTGTCTTCTCTTTCTCTCTCTGCGTTCATTTTTCAAGAAGAGTGTGAAAGCATGGGAAGGGTATCAATGTCTTTTAGATTGTAATTTTGTTTATTAAAAGTGATTTTCTTTTTGGTAAAAGATATCATTTAATGGTTCTGTTCAAATCTATCATCCGTGGAACATGAAAAGAATCGATGTCTGGTTCTGATGGGCTTTGAGGGTTTATGACCATTTTTAATTACTTCCCTAATATTACCCATTTTTCTAATCTTTGTTCTTCTGCTTTTCTTGTTAGATTTAAAACAAACTTTTTTGTTCTTATTCCACTGTGAGATCTGCAACTGTAACGCCATTCATTTGATTAAAAATACATTGATTCAGCTTTTTACTTGATGATACTATTAAAACCTGAATAAAAAAGGACCACTTCTATGTGTAGAATTAAGTTGATGATGGGCAAAAGGAAAGTTATTAGTAGAGCTACATATATTTCATTTTACAATAATTAGTAATAGAGAAATACTATATATCAGTCTGATGATGATAAAATAACTGAATGTGGTTAAACATTCATAACAATGAGATTTTGGTAATTAATCTAATCTTAAGATCACAGAAAGCTTAAAAGGGGGAGGAAATTAACAAAAGTGGTTTTACTAAGTCTTAAATTATAACAATAATTATATTTACTATTTTGTATTTTGTATTTGAAAAATCAACTCTTCGAGAATAGAGAAAAAAGTAGCAGAAAAAGCATGGGCCACCTCCTTGTTTTTCCAATTTTTATTTATATATTTATTTTTGGGTACAATGTATTTTATTTGTTTTATCTTTTTATAACAAAAGAGTTTATTTCCAGTAACGGGTAGACTGTACTGACAAGTGACAGCAATAACATTGTATGCGGTTTCTTTGTCATATCACATTTACTTGCTCTTCTAAATTGTTATTGTAAAGCTCTGATAAGTGATAACTGTACTTAAGAAATGAAATTTGTTGTAATAAATTGGAAACTAATTAAAAACGTTATTTCCATTAATATAGATTCAGCAAGACTCGTTTAACTTTAAATTTCGACTCATACATAAATGAGAAACCACTTGCATAAAATTATTTAGTAAAACAGAAAGGAACACTGCCCCCCAAAAAAACTAAGGGCAACGTTCATAAATAAGCAAAGAGTTGGAAATTAGCTCCATTGGTTGGTTATAAAGAAGAAAGAGAAAGCAAGACGGCATCGTTTTAGAAGTTGTGGTCAGAGGAATTGGCCTCGAGAAGAGAAGGTTTGGCCGAACCACCAAGAAGAAGGGACAACGTTTAAAAAAGTCATCGTTTTGCGGTCAAAAAGAGTAACTCTAAAGGAGAGTCTCTGTCCCCGGAGGTCGCCGGAGCTCTGCCAGTTGGCACCCCAATTACGAGTCATCTGAAGCCAAGTCTTTCCCCTTGACCCTCTCACCGCAACCGCTTTCACCGCGCCGCCCCCGCCAACGTTTGACAGTATTACCATATTGAAGTTCCCTTGACCTCTCATCGTGAACCTCACACCACCTCTCCTTTTGCATCCCACCCTATATAAATAGTTGTAATCAAAAAACAAAAATTAGTAACAGATTTTTGAAAACCCGAAAAAAAAAAGACAAAATATTAAAATATTTGCTCATATTACATGATGCTATAAATCTTTTTTTATGTAACGAAGCTAATTAAATATTCTATTAGAAACATATTTGCTGTATTATGTGGTTATGGGGGATAGATTGTTTGTTTATTTGTGTTGGCGTTTTATGTGTTGCGAATATTAATATGTTACTACGACAACGTTATAATTTATCATTCTCTACATCGTTTTTTTTTTTTTTTAATGTCAATGCTAAATAGAAAAGTATATGTTACCGGCGATAGAAGACGGGGACGATGCCTTCGTTGCCGCGACGGGCAATGCGGAAGAAAGCGGGCATTGACATGTCAAAGTGGTGGCGAGGGAGATTGCACCAACCTCCGTTGTTGTTCGACGACGGACAAAAGTTTGTAGCTGTCACCGTCACGGCGGCTCCTCGGAGACACCACTTAGGATCCGCCCAATAGTCGCACCTCACTTGGTAGCAACCACCACATGACTCGCCGCTTCTGAATAGCGCACCGCTTAGCGCCGCCGTATGGGCTCCGAATCCGGCGTGGTAAGGATTGTCATATCCACAAGCTCCTCCTATAAACAAATACATCAATAAAGTTGAATTTACTATATACAAAAGCTAAAGTAAGAAACACAAGTATTAATCTATTAAGGACTTTTTACCAAGTGAAGCAGGGCTATCATTAACACCATAAAATGTTGCATGAGCCCTAATCCAACCATTAGAACACATCCCCTCACTTAATGTGCCAACCAAGAGAATAACCGTTACCAAATATTTCCCCTTCATTTCCGTATGTATATTTTTTTAGTATAATGTATTTCTTCATGAAACAAAGAGAAATCGGAGGAAAGGTTTTAGTTCACAAGTGATTGCTTGAAGGAGAAGGAAGCCTTTTGGACTCGTTTTATAAGGATCAGTTCAGAATTAACGCGTTTTGTCGGTGATTATCAACGACTTATTTTCACTTACATGCACCATAATCTCATGCATGTGTTCGTTATCTTTCTTAGTTGGAGCCTTATTTTTTTTATTACTCGTGAAAATTCTCTAATAATTGAATATAGGTCCAGGACAAATATTATTTCTCCGTTTTTTTCACCTAAGAAGTATAAAAAACTTTTGTTCAAAAAAAAAAAAAAAAAAAACTTAGTGTCATATAGTTAATTACTTAATTAGCTTTGTTTATTTTGAGATTTGGTTTAGATAACATTGATATGTCTTTACCAAAAAAAAAACATTGATATGTTCATAACTCGAAATTATGTAACAACAAATTGGTTATTCGAGGAAAATTTTCATGAGCAATACTAATCTTGAATAATGAATACTACAAGATAGAAATATGTTAAACACTATACAATATGCTAGAAAATGGTAATGCCTTTATATGACAGCAACTAACATTTGGTTCGGATTATCAAGTAAGAGTTAATTTTTGTGAGTAAAGTTGGCACTGTTGAGTGTTGACAAACGTTTTTGATATCTAGCTAGGTATTTAGTTCAGGATTTAATTTCATATGTTAATTATTCATCAGAGTTTTGAGATCTAACTGTATCTTTGAAATGATATTTTCTACGTATTAGTCTATTGTTTTATTTAATGCGAGTTCGCGAAAAAAAAAAAACAACTCTTTTGTGGATGACCTGTGTTATCCGAGATAAGATGTGTGTATCAAAAATTAAAATTATTCATGAAACAAACGCGTTTTCTCATTACCGTTTATTATATACATGTCAGGGCACATAGTATACACTTAACATAATAGGATTAATAATCGAACACACATATAATATGGACATAGACCCGCGTGGCATTACTATACATGTCCTATGCAGTACACAGAATCAAAAAGTACGGAAGCCTTCATACTAAACAAGATTATGTATTTATAGGTTGTACGGTGAGTTAGAGCTTAAGAAGAAGAACAATGGCATGTGGTTCCACGTGGAGTTGTGCTTCTCGTCCTCTCCTTTAATGGCGTCGGTGGAGTTTTTTTTTTTATGAACTAAGACAAAGTGGACCCACGAAAACATAATAGTCAAAAGAGACCTTACAAGAATGACAGACAACAACAGAGAAGAAGATATCATTTGGTGGTTGAGTGATAAAAGAGTCAAACTTGTTTTTGTTTTTGGGTTTAGTTTACTCGACCAAGAATCTTTCTATAGTTTTCTCCAATGTCTCTCTAGGGACAGCTCCGATGATACTGTCTTTCTTCTCACCGTCTTTGAATATGATAACGGTCGGAACGCTGCGTATCCCGTAACGGTTGGCTGTGTTTGGGCTCTCGTCGGTGTTGATTTTGTAGAATTTGAACTTGCCTGCGAAGTCCTTGGCCAGTTGGTCAACTATGGGGTGAATCATACGGCACGGTCCACACCATGGCGCCCAAAATTCGACCAATACCGGGACATCTGATTCGAGAACCCGTGTTTGCCATTCTGAATCAGACAGGTTTGGTACTGCACATCAAACAATGTTCAGGTTAGATCTCTTCTCTCAGTGGTGAACTGAAAAGTGAGGAATGTTGCGAATCAGAGAGAGGCCTGCTCTGTCATAATAAGGAAGACTCTGGTATATTGAACCATATGCTATAAGGAAGCAATAAGGACACTATAGGGATGCATACAAAGACCAAATCAAATTGATAGATGAAGAAGTTGAATCCTCAAACGTAAACAGCCCAAAAATATATGTTTAAGGTTCAGACCTACGAGTTCGACTTTCAGATTCCAATCACTAAGAGTTCTAGTCTTAGAGAACTGATTCAGAGAATGTATAACAGACCAGAAACGAAACTCAAAACTATCCTCAAATAAGAATAACGAAAACACTAACGAGTTTTAGTCTCAAAGAATCCAAATTTCAGGAAAACTTGTACACAATTTGATGCTCCTTAGTAACGAACTAACGACTGCTAAATTTGAAAACTTCATAGCCTAACAGGTACAGATTCACTATGAATTTATACCTGAAAGCTTCTCTATGATCATTTCACACACAATCAGCAATCAGGAAACGCTGAATAAAATTCCATAAAATGAAAAACGAGAAGACGAAGAACAAAGTTAAAGTATGTACACCTTCGACGGCGGCAGTGGTGTCTTGAGCCTCACAGGCGATTCTTCCACCGCGAGCGAATCGGGATCTGCGATTCGGCACCGACTGAGACGCCAGACTCCGGGAAGCCTTTAGACCTCTAAACTCGAGAAACCTGGCGGTAGAAACACGGCGTACAGAAACAGACGGAACCGGTGAAGCAGATGAAATCGAGGCCGCGATAGGCAGAGAAAACACGCGGGTAACGGTGACGGAATCAAGCAACGACGCCATTGAAGCAGCGAGAAATTTGTTTAGTGGTAGAGAGATGTTTGGTTTGTTTGTTTGGCTCTGTTGATTTTGAATGACCCGAGAAACCCAGAGCACACACAAAATGCGATGTGTGGATAATTTCTTTTACGATTTTAATTTATTCTCGCCACCTCATTCTTCCTTCTATACTTATACCGACGTCATTTAGAGGTCTCCACTCTAACCACTAGACAATACAATATAACAATCCCGGTTTTTTTCTTCTCACACAAGACCCGACTTTTTTCAAAACCGATTCCGGTTAACTACAATATAACAATCCCGGTTTTGGCCTGAGCTTCATAAACTCGATTCTGTTTTTAAAGATCTCCTCTATAAACTCTAATAATAATCTGATAAAAGCAACTGTACATATGAGAGTAACTTCTCTCTCAGCTCTCTCAATAGTCTTATGTCATATAAAAAAAGAAGAAAAAAAAAAAGAGAGGATCCTTGATAATTAGAAAGGGATAAACTAACTCATCTGTTCTGGTTATTCATAGATTGGAAAAGAAGAAAAAAGAAAAGAAAAAAAGAAGAAGCAGTGGAGCTCAACTTGAAGAAACTCTGCTTCTGTTACTGTTGCTGCTTTCTGCAACGTTAGTCTCCGAGGGTTTGTCTTCTTCTTCTTCCGGTTCGAGACCAAGGACGCCTAGAAGAATAAACTCCTTGAGCAGAACCGTCTCCACAAAGGTAGCCACATCTGTCCTAAACATCTTGGAGCTGCTCTCGCTACTCTCTTCTACATCTTCTTCAACAGCTGCTCCCTTCACCACAGATCCCACTGGAGCTCCGTTTCTATAAGCATTACACGCCTTCAACACGTCGTGAGCACAGCTGAAGAAATGCCCATACGAAAAGTCTTCAAAAAACTGCATTCCAAAAACAGACTCAAGGTTTTAATAGTCAAAGCTTTTTGTTTTTTTAGTAGTAAAGGAGTGAGTTTTTTTTGGTTATGTTACCTTGGGTGGTCTCCTCAAGTTGTAAACCATCGTCTTCAAAGAAAGTAAGAATGTCTTTTCGCTGTAATCTTTAGACATCTTCTCACCATGGGGAGTACCCGCTGACCTCTCGTAGCCTGGCTCGTTGAAGTAAGGTTTTTCATTCAAGATTAGACCTTGGATTGAGACAAGAACCTGTAACATTGTAGAATTGTTGGGGATCCACTTCTCCCTCTGGGATCCAGACCAAGTGCCTAGAAGACTCAGGCACACTTTCCCACAATTGTACAGATTCGGGTTGATTCTCAGCCCACCAGATTGGTAATGAACGACCTTTGTAAAACCAAAAGGAAACAAAAAACGGACTTTAACTATCAAAAAGAGAAGACTTTGCGAGACAAGAAAAACTGACTTTGAGACAGTTAGATTGACTTACCGGTGGCACAGAAGGGTATGTATCCGGGAAGAAGATATCGAAAAAGAACAGACCGTCATGGTAGGGAGTTCCTTTGGCTCCAATGATTACAGCCCTCAGAAGATCCATCCTAGATTCATAAGCTCTGACAAAAATCATCTCTGTTTCAACATAAAAGAAAAGAGAAAAAAAATGTAAGGGAAGTTGCTAATATCAAGCAACGAAAATTGATGTCTAAGACAGCGTGTATTATTACCTGGCAAATCATTCTCAAGAATTCTCCATTCTTCTTGGATCCTTTTAGCCCATTCCTTTGAATGCTGATAAGACAAAGAGAAACCGTCAGTACTTGAAAAATAAAAGAAACATCTGAGAATGATGATAAACTCATGCTCATCTGGTCGCAAACCTGTTTCGAAGTGTTTCCCATAGAAGCATAATGGTGATCCTCAAAATCGTCGACTATGTCAAATCTTTTGAAAAACAGAAACTTCCCAAGATAATCCTCCATATTTTTCTTAACTCTGGAAGAATCCGGAGCTGAAATAACCTCTTCCACTCTAGGCCGAGAACTAACAAAACCTTTAACATTGAATGGTTTTTTTGGTCCCGGAAGCGATAAACCAGAAGGACCTGGAGCAGCAACCGGAGCCTCCCCCATCACAGTGTCTGGAGTCTGAGGCTGAAAATAATACACAGGTTTCGCAGTCTTATGTTTCTGTGGCAATGCATAAGCAGAGGACGGTATGACTCCTTGAGAGTTGTGCGGTAAAGCATTCCATGGTTGAGCGACAGGAGTTGGCAAATCTGAATGCTGATATTGGATTCCACTTATCTTCGTTGCCTTCTTGGGACTTCTGTTGGGAGAATCTGGTTTGATCCCATGTTCTTCACGAGAAGATTTGCTGCTCCCACTTGGTTTAGCTGTTTCCTTGTCATCCGAATTTGGAAACCAATCCATTGACACCTCCACGCCAGTTGGGATATCCTTAGAGTCAAACATGTCTTGATACATGGAGTACTCATCAGTTTCTTGCTCTTGCTCCAGCTCCTCGTCCATTTCATAGCCATATTGATCAGAATAGTAATCGTCGTCTTCGTAGATCAAAGAATCAGGGTCTAGCAAACCATTTGATAGTGGAGAGGATCCAGGATAAGATTCAATGTTGCCATAAGGATCGCTAGCAGATGCCTAGAGTGATAAATAAATAATGTTAGTTTAGCTGTGTAAGCATCAGCACACTCATAAATAATAGAGAGAGAAAAATAAATCAAACACTTACCTCAAATTGCTCATCGTAAGAAAGGGATCCTAATTGTATAGCCTTCCCTTTCTTATGATCAACCTTGTTGTTATCAAGAACACCACCGTTTTGCATTTCATATTGCTCCACATCATTCACTTCTTGAGTTACGGCCTACAAGACAATGATACCACACAAAAACAAAACTCAGCTTTTCAATGCATATGAAACACATCATCACAACACAGAGCAATGGACACTAACTATGCATTAACTGCACACAAATGAAAACGCCAAACAGAGAAGCAAACGATTCGTCACAAAGAACCAAAACACAAAAACCTAAATAGACTTGATGTCACATTACGCAATCAAAGAAGTCTACTATAACAACTTTAGTAAGCTGACAGATACAGAACACGAACAGCCAATTACAGTTTCTAGTGATCAGAACATGAAACTGCAAAAAGAAAAAGAGATCACCGAGAGAGAAGAATACGATCCTTCAGAAACCAACGATCATAACAGCAAAAAAAGTGTAATGCACCTTAGTGAACATTAAAAAAAAAAAAACTAAGGCGAATAAAAAAGATCAACGAGGACTCACTAAACCCTTAAATCAACAAAGCCCCCTAAAGGCCGAGAAACCCAGATGATGATCGCACATCATGCAATTACCCAGAGAGAATACACAATTACCCAGATCAATTCAGCATGTGAATTAGGTAAATCAGTGAATTTAAGAGGTACAGTTAAACAGAATTACCATCAACCCAGATAAATCGATAAAATTTTCAATTTTGATTAAAATCATCATCATTAACCTTATTTGCCGTTAGCGTTGTCGAGAAAGAAGCCACAGGAGGTGCGATCTCAGCTCCATGAACGATCCCACTACACAAGAATAATTCAATTTCACTCTTGTCAGCGAGACA